AAAAGTTAAATTAATATAAATAATAAAACTTACTTTAATTACTTTTATATTTTTATTAATTAAAACTATAACTTATTATAATACTTTTACTCCTTTTTCTATTCCTTAATCTACTTTAATATAATATTAATAACTAAATATATAACTTTAAGTAGAAAAATAAAGTATTATATATATATATTTCTCTAAAAGTTTACTTATAAACTTCCTTTAAAGCTAAATATTTTTAACTTATTAAAGGAATACTATAATAAAATAATTTAAAATAAAATTATAATAATAACCTATAAACTTTATATTTTATTCTAATTTCTAAAATTAAATAGTATTTAAAACTTATAAATAGCTATTATCTTATTTATTATAATTAATAATTTAAATTATAATATATAATACTTTAATACCTTTAATTTAATTTAAATAAAATAATATTTTAATAAAAATATAAAGTAATTATTATTTTAAATATAATAAAAATTAGTTTAAAATATTATAAATAAGCTTTAATATATTTAAAAATATTATAATATTATTAATATAAATAAATATAAAATACTATAAATATATATTAAATAAAAATTTTATTTAATATTAAAAAAGAAAAAATAATAAATCTTATAATAATTATAATTATTTACTTAAAGCTATAATAAGGGGTAATAAATATTATCTTTTAATAATTCTTTTAATAATAACTTATTAAAAAACCTTTAAAAATATTATAATAATAAAGACTTAATTATTTTTAAAAATTTAAATATATTATCTTAATAAAATAAAAGGTATTTATATAATATAAGCTTTATATTTACTTTATATAAATTTATTATAATATATAACTTATTATTATATTAAATTATAAAAGTAAAAGTTATAATTATATAATTATCGCTTAAATAAATAAGTTTAATAATATTTATATTAACTAACTTATTAATTATATTATTAAAGCTTTTAGTTATATTATAATAAATTATAAGGTTATTAAATAAAGTTATTAATATTAATATTTAATTTAAAAAATTTCTATTTTAATTCTATTATTAAAATAATTTAATTTAAAATAAAATAAATAATAATATTATAAAATAATTTAATAAACTTTCTTTATATATTTAAGTCTTTATAAAAGGTTAATATTAGTTAAATTAATATTAAAAATAGGGTTTAATATAAATATATTAAAAATAACTATTTAATATTTATTTTTATTTTCTTTAAAGGGTATCTCCTTAAAATCTTTAATAATAAAATAATAATTAGGATTTAATTTTATTAAATAAAAATATCTTTAAGTTTAAAGCTATAAAGAATACTTTAAAATATTTTAAAACTTACCCTTTATAAATAGTAATAAGGTAGTTATTAAAATTAAAAAAGGTAAAATATATATAATACTATTTATAATATTATTAATAAAGAATTTATAAGTTAATTTATAAAAGTTAATAAGAATTTATAGTTTAATAAAATAATCTTTAATTTAAATAAAAGCTTTTAAAATTAAACTTATATATTAAAACCTTTATTAAAAGAATTAAATACTTTCTACTAGCTTTTAAAATAATACTTTATTAATTTATAAAAGGGTTTTTATAGTAAATAATATAAATCTTTTAGCTAATATTTATAATTAAAATAGTTTTATTATTTATATAAAGCCCTTATTAAATATATAATTAATATTATTTAAAAAAGTTTAAAAAGATTATAAAAAGGTTATTAATAATATAAGCTATCTTTATAATAGTTTATAACTATTATTTATAGTTTAAAATATTAATAAATAGGTTAACTTAATAAGTAATAATTAGGCTATCTTTAATTTTAATTAAATAAATAGGGTTATTAAAGGATTTTTATTTTAAATTAAAATAATATTTAATAAGTAATTTTAAAATATTAAGGTAGCTTTAAATATAATATTTAATATACTATTAAAGAGATTACTAATAAAAACTATATTATTATATATAAATAATCTAGTTTAAAAGAAAAATAAGAAGGAAAATAAAATACTTAAATAAATAAAAGAATAATATCTATTAAAGGTTTTAAATATTAATATAAATAATTTAAATGTTAAAATTATTTCTTTATAATAAAGTTTTAAAGTTAAAAATAAATTTAAGCTTTTATTATTTTATTTAAAGGATACACTAAAAAAGTATTTTTAATAAATTAATAAAAATATTAATAGTATTAATAAAATTAAAAATAAATAAAGTTAAGGACTTTTAGTTAAATAAAAGTATTTTTATTAAAATTTACTTATTTAGTTTTTATTTAGGCTTAAAATCTTAGTTTAATTTAAAACCTTTATAAAAAGAAAGTTAAAAATACTAATAGTATTACTATATTTCCTTAATAACCTTTAATAATATAATTTTAAATTTATTTTTAATTAAAATTATATAAGCTTTAGTAAAGAAATAAAATATACTATTTATTTATTATTATTTATTATTAAAAGGTAATTATATATAAAGTAACTTTATTTATCTAACTTATTAAAAGTTAATTAATTAATATAATTTATAAATTATTTAAAAGTATTTTTATTAATTAAAAATTATTAATTATTTTTCTTTAAGTAGTATTATATAATAAGTTATATATATAATTAAGATTATAAGAATAACTTTAGTTATATAAATAGTTTAAAATTTAATTATTATAATAAATATAAAAAAGGGTTAAATAATCTTAATCTTTATATTATAAAGCCTAATTAAATTATTTTATTTAATTATAATAATTATTAAAGTATTTATATAAAATATTAATTTAGTCTTATAGCTTTTAATTTATTTAAATTAAGTATTTTTAGCTTTTTTATTTTTATATTATTTAAAGTAAATATTATATTTAATTTAACTAATAAGTATTTTAAAATCTTTAAATATATTCCTTTAAAATTATAAAATAATAATAGTTTATAGTTTAAAGTTAAATTTAATATAAATATATTAAACTTAAATATTTTTATTAATCTTTCTAATCTTATTATAAAGGTAAATTTTATTATTAATATATTTATAAAAAAATAGCTTATCCTTATTTTAAAAATTATAGTTTATTTTATTTACTTTAGCTATAAAGTTTTATAATTTACTTAAAATACTATTAAAGTTTATTCTTTTAAAAATAAGGTTTATTAATAACTTAATTTATTTATAATCTATTAAAAATATAAATTAATAAGTATTATTTAAATTTAGTTTTAATATAATATTAATAAAAAGTATATTAAAATAGTATTTTTATTATAAATTTAAATAAAATAGTTAATATAAGAAATATAGGTATTAATATTTATATTAGAAAATTTAAATATTTTTAATTTTAAATATAAAACTACTTTATAATTAAATATAATTATTTAATTTAAACTTAATTAATTACTATAATTATTTAAATAAAAGCTAATATAAAATTATTATAAGTATTTTTATTTTACTTTAATCTTTAAGTTATATAAAAGAAAATTATAAAATTAATACTAATTAGATAAATTATACTTTTATTATTAATAGTTTGAAAATAGCTATTTAATTAAACGTTATTTTAATAAATATTAAGTTAAAAATATTAATAATATTCCTTTAAAAGAATATAAAAATTTAAAAATAAGGTTTATAAAAAATATTCTACTATAATAATATAAACCTTTAAAAAATATAGCATTTATAAGTTTAATAAATAAATAATAAATAGTAACTATTTTATTTTAATAAATTTTTTATTAAACTTAAATATTATTTAATAAAAATAAAAAAATTAATTAAAATATAATTAAATAAAGCTTTTAAAGTATTTTAAAGGTAATATTTTATTTTATAATATAAAAATAGTAATATTAAAAATAATTTACTTAAATATAAAGAGCCACTAAGCTATAAATTTTAAAGATAATATTTTAGGTAAAATTAAGGGTTAAAAACTATAAAAATTAAATAATCCTACTTAAAATATAATAAAAATATAAAAGAAAAGAAAAATAGTTTTATAAAATATTTAATTAAAATAAGGAAATTAAAAGTATTATCTTTATTTTACTTAATAATAAAAACTATTTTATTAAAAATAAAATACTAATTATAAAGGAAAATAGGATTTTAAATATAAAAGAAATAATTTAATAGATTTAACTTTAAAAATTTAATAAAATTTTATTTTTATAAGAAAAAGTTTTATTTAAGTTAAAAGTTTATATTTAAAATAGTTTTTAATAAATTAATTAAAATAATTAAAAGTAAAAATAAGGTTTACTTTATAAAAATTATTTTAAAAGGAAAGTATACTTTAATATTTATATATTTATAGCTTAAATCTAAAAGGTTAATTAGAAAGAGTTAATTTAAAAGGTTAAAAACTTAAAAGCTTTTATAAATAAAGTTAATAAATAATAAATAACTATTAAAAATATTACTTTTAAAATAAACTTATTATTTTATTTTATTAATAAAAATAGTAAGATATATTTTATTTAATTTAAAAAGTTAAAAGTTTAACTTAAATAAAATATTCTTTAATATTTTTAAGTAACTTTTACTTTATTTATTAATAAGTAATAAATATTTTAATTAAATATTTTATTATAAGTTAAAAATATTAAAGGGTTAAATTTAAAAAAGGTTTAATAAAAGGTTTAATAATTAAAAGTTTATTAAAATTATTAAGTTAATAATACTTAATATTTAATAAGTTAGTTATTTTTAATAATTATTTTAATTATTATAATTTAATTAAAGCCTTTAACTAATTAAGTTAAATTATTTTATAAAAGTTTATAAAAAGTTTTATAAATACTTAAAGGGTTTTAATTATAATTTAATTTATATATAGTTTTTAATAACTATAAAATTAATTTTTTACGTTAAAAATAAAGAGAATATTAATTAGTTATAGCTATTATATTATATAATATTTAAGTAGAATAAAGCTTTAAAAATTAAATAAAAAACTAAATAAAGGTTTTTATAGTTAATTTTATTAAAGGTATTTTATTTATATATATATATTTGGAGAAGAAGCTAGCCTATGGGAAGCTATGGGGAAGGTAGTAGTGTAGGCCCGTCGGCCTGATTAGTTATCCCTAACAATAAATACGAAGAAGGCGGCGGCCTCGCCGTTAAGAGCGGGCTCCGAGGCGGCCTAAATCGAATTCTCATTATTAATATATGAAATTAAAGTTTTGATCCATTACACGGTCCTGGCTTACCTGGATACTGAGAGCCATCGCGGGGAAGAGCATCCCTGTCCCGATACCGATCGGGATGTTTAGAAAAACCCAGGCAGCTGTTGAGGTCCCTGCATCTAGGAGAAGTCTTCAACATGAGTAATTAGCCATCAAAGACCCCCAATTGAGTGGCTTCATGGGAGATTGGCGAGGAGCGAGCTATAAGGCGGCCACAGCCTGTCTCAGAACCTGAAGCCGGTGAAGCCTTTTACCTATATATATATAGGCTGGAGGTAGGGAGTGTTTGTCGTTGGAGGGGTAAAAGTTGTACCCAGAGACTGCTTGCTTACAGGATCCCGGCTCCAAGCGTGGTGAGTGCCCAGCCGATCCAGATGGACCAACGATAATGTCCTGTTTTGGCAGCAAAAATACCAACAACAAGTCCTGAGGGCGCGACTGTCAGGGTTTCAGGGAGGCAGGCAACCGCAGAGATGACGGGACTGTAGAGCTTGACGCCCTGGTAGTAGAGAACTGCTCGGCGCGTGTCAGCAACTAGGTCTGCTTGTGTCAGGAAAAGCATGCACAATGGGCGATCGTACTCAGGAAATAAAGTATACTCCACAGAATTATCCCGTGGCACATGGTCATAGCATATGACGAAAGCATATCCCAGTTATTGAAGACGCCCTTATGAATGATGGGCTCAGAGGCAAAGCGGAATTCCCAATAGGCAAAGGCAAACAACCCACAAGGCCCGATGATCAAGGGTAACAGCACCCTCCACGAACCCCATTCATACATTACGCCGCCTGTGGTGAGCCCGAAGAGAAATCCCGTTGAGCTGATGGTGAATAGAAGAGAGCCAAACCAATCGAAACGGCGGAGTTTGCTCATGATGTCGCCAGGGATTGGGGTCTGGTGAAGGAACAGGACCACGAACACGATCCCGACAGCTATCACAGGCAAGTTGACGTAGAAAATCCACCTCCAGGTGACATCCTGTGCGAAACCCGCCCCGATGAGCGGGCCGGTGACAGTTCCAATCGACCAGACGCCACTCAGCACACTGAGCCAGTGGCCCCTGAAGGCAAGCGGGACGAGGTCGGTGATGACGACCTCAGTGAGGGCGAGGAGGCCACCACCGCCGACGCCCTGAACAGTACGGCCGGCAAGAATGACGCTGAAATTTCCGGCGAGGGCAGCGACAAGAGAGCCGGCGGCAAAGAGAGCGGATGACAGGTAGATGAGTAGCTTGCGACCGAAGATATTGCTGAGGGAGGCGACGGTGGGCTGGAGCACGGTCGAGGCGAGCAGGAAGCTCGTGCCGGACCAGAATGCCTCGAGCGCTGTCCCGCCCAGGGCTGCGCTCATGGTAGGGAGGGCTACAGACAGCGTGGTCGCATCAAAGGCACAGGCGAGTCCCAGAACACACAGAGCGCTGAAGGCGAGCACGAAGTCCCGGGTAGGGCGGAACACGGGCTTGTCGTTGATAATTTCCACGGTTGCCGTGCTCATGACCGTGGGTATTCTCTGCAGGGTGTCATCTTCCGACGCTTCATCTTGGACTGGTGGCAGGGTGCTAAAGCCGAGGGTGGCCACAGACTCGGGTGTCTCTTTTGACGCCATGCTCGAGGTGGGCCTAGGCATCCAGACGAGCGAGCAGTCGAGTCTTGGGTGTCTTGCTTTCACTTTGCCTCTATCTTGTTGGGCTGGAGCATATCTCATATCGGATCTGTGAGCCCCAGCAGGAGGCGCGATCCTATTATCAAAGACACAGCAACCCACCGACCCTCCCGCATTCGGGCGGGCTTGCCGGGACCGGTATGCCAAAACCAAACTCGACCGGGTCCTTTGATTCGGGCGGGCGGCTCGGTGAACAAGGCCAATTGCAGGCGCCGGCCATGCCAGGCATGGGCTGGTCCATTACAACGAAGAGGTATGTATCATCAGGAGCGGCAGGGCCTGCGGGAGGTGGGTGGTGTGGCCCGCCGGAGCGCATCACAACGACACTGTCGTGAAAAGGGCACTTGCCAGGAAAGAAATATTTCAGCTCCGTCGTCGTCGTCGTCGTCGTCGTCAGGGTTATCCATCCCGTCCACCTTATTGTTGGGCCCGGCCCGGCGTACACAGCTCTGAAGAGCCTCGTCTTGCCAGCTGGTTCTGGCTGGGGAGCCGAAGGTGAGACATGGTAGCGGCTGAGGCTGGCGATCCGAGGCACGGACTAGCGGGCGGTAGATGAGGGTGGGCGTCGGCAGAGAAGGTTGAGCCTCAGAGGGCGAGCTAATAATAATGAGTGAGATGGGCTCGATGGGCTCGATGGGCCCAGATAAGGTTCTGGCCGTGCGACTTTGACACACGAGCGCGCATAAGCTGATCGTCCTATGTATCTACTTAGGTTCCTATGTACCTTGAGTATATAGGTATGCTGGAAGACAGGCCACATACGGTGTCTGTCTGGTCACCATCTAGATGCCTTGCTACACACCTGGGTATACATTGGGGCTGTCGGGTGCTGGCGTGCTAAATAAGTACCTAGGTACCTAGGTGGATGGCTGGATGGCTGGATTGCTGGACGGCTGCTCCCTCGGCCGAGGATGCCAAATGCTACTACTACACCATCACAGCACCAAGGCCTGGCTCGTTTCGTTTCTTGCCCGCTCAACCCCACCCAGGTCTGGACCACGGCGTTCATCATGTTTTCTTACCTGCCCGGCCTGCCCGGCACCTCGACACCAAGACACCAAACCCCCTCCTCCAACCCCCCCCTCCCCAAATGGCTCGCCGTCTCCCCGCCCACCCATGCCCATACCCATGCCCATGCCCCTCGCTTGGTGGTGCTGCCAGCTCGGCCCAGCTGCCGCCTGTGAAACCGCGACGGCTTAGCCATCGCCAATATCACCATCGCCGGGTTTCACATCTTCAGATGAGAGCCCTCTCTGAGGCTTGAGGCTACCGCCTGCTCTTTACTCGCCCCCATCGCCCTCTCCCGCTTTGACTCTCCCATCCTCGGCGTGGCATCTATCGTTGGACCCTCGGCACCTTCTGCCCGTAGCCCATATAGGTACGGTGCATACCGCTGCCGCATGAACATCCCCCATCCTGCTTGTTCGCAACCTCTTGCCGCCCCGAGCCGCAATCGCCTGCCAGCTGCTCAACATGGTCAACACGGGGAAGCCTTCGGGAGGCTGCAAGCTGTGTCGCGCCCGCAGGATCAAGTGCGATGAGACCAAGCCCTTCTGCTTGAAGTGCCAGAAATCAAAACGCCAGTGCCCCGGCTATAGAGACCCCTTCGACGGCAAGATCCGCGATGAGACCCAGTCCACCATCCGCAAGTTCAAGCGGACCCGCATCGTAATCGAAAAGGAACAGGTCTTGGAGGACCAGGCCCTGCTCGAGCTCGAGCAGATCAAGTACCATGACGACGAGCACATCGAGGCCCGCCCTGCCGAGTGGAAATGCGGCTACTTTGAAAACAGGAGGGGCAGCGACTCGGGCAACTCGTCAACCTCCATCACCTCCACCGCGTCGAGCAGTTCCTGGGGGGCGGTGCACGACGATTATTTCGCCTCGCTCGTCACCCCCGTCGAGCAGCAGGCCACCTGCTACCTGCTCTCCGACTACGTGCTCGTCTCCGAGATGCCTGGAGGGCGGAGGGGATATTACAAGTTCGCCTACAAGATCCTAGCCAGAGGCGACACTTCAAGGTGTCTCTTGTCTGCCTTCAAAGCAGTCTCCTTCGTCGCCTTGGCCTCCCGTCCAAACTCCCACCACCTCATGATCGAGGCCGAGTCTCACTACTCCAAGGCCCTGAGGGAGGTCAACAGGGCGATCCAGGACCCGGCCCAGGTCAAGAGCGACCAGACCCTCGCCGCCGTCTTGCTCCTGGCCTTCTACGAGGTAAGTCGGCATGTTTCTCGTCTTCCAGAACCATGGAGCGGGGAGGCTAACGGTCAACCCCGCAACCAAGACGCTGGCATCCACGCGTGAGAGGCTCGATGAGTATGTCAACCACATCAAGGGGGCCGCCCAGCTCGTCAAGATGCGGGGGCCAAGGCAGCAGGAGACCGACGAGGGCGCCGAGATGTTCGCAATGACACGCAACCAGTTCCTCGCCATCCGCAGCATGTCGCCCGCAGTCGAGAATGATGACTACACATGGCTGCTGCGCTCACACTGCGGCGAGCCATATGTCAGCCGGGTTGCGACCCTCACCATCGCGTGCAGCGAGATCCGCATGAAGACCGACCGGCTCCTTTCCGGCGGGGACCGAGACCCGCGAATGATTCAAGGCGTCCTGGAGCTGTTGCGGACCGCGCAGGCCATGCAAAAGAAGCTGTCGGGTCTGGACCAATCTCAAAGTGCAGTGTGGTCTGTGAGCACCGTCATACGAGACTCCCTCGGCCCGCGCGACGGGGCTGATGACCCACCTGGGGAGGTTTACACTTTCCACAACCTCTATACTGCCATGATTTATACCATCATTTGGTCCTCGCACATCCTTCTCACCACATGCATATTCCGCTGCATGGCCTGGCTAGTGGCTCCCGACGACTGGCGGGTAGGCGACGACTACGAGGCCACCGTGAAAGCCACCAAGCAACGCATCGCAGACATCGTCGCGGCCACCCCTTACTGCTGCTCTTGGAACGGGTGCGACACCGAGTATTCCGACTTTCCCGTTGGCTTGTCCACCCCGACCTCGCCCGCAAAGGGCGTCGCAGGCTTGGTCATCTACAGGCCTGCCTTCGTGGCCATGGTCTCGGATTATGCCACCCCAGAGCAGAAGGAGTATCTCTACGGCCGCATGAAGTTTCTGGCTGACATTGTTGGGATTAAGCAGGCCAATATCTTGCTGAAGGTACGTCTCACGTCGCGAGAGCCACCATATCCAGACGTTATCAACCTATACTAAGTCCTAGCCCAGGCACGCGACAAGTCAGCGACTCCCTCGCGCGACATTGAGCGAGACATGGCGCGGACATGAATTCAAGCGTTGGGAGCGCAGGCTGACCAGTACAACTGCTTCTTGTTATTTTTAATTTCCTTGTTCCTTTTTCCCCCTTCTCTTTTGAGCATACAGCCTGGGCGAGGCGTTCCTGAGGGCTTCAAGCTGGTAGAATTTGCTTCTGGGGCTCATTAGGCCCCCTCAACGTTGCATCATAGGGGTTCAAGGTGTTTCTGTCACGGTATGAGCGAGTCTAGCTGTTACTTCCGCCGACGTCCGTTGAACACAGTTTTCCGGAGCCAACCAGGAGGCATCTTTCACGAAAGTCTCAATATAGTTATAACCATGCCGACTTATTTTCCACCGCAAACTCCCTGAATGTCTTCGGTCCCCTCCCAGTTTCCCTTAATACCACGTCATTGAGCCTCTCCTCCGATCCATTTCTTATCGAGATGTCCATGGATGCCAGGACTCGGGCGTACTCTTCACTTAGCCCGGAATTTCTAACATGGCGTTCAACCAGCTCGTCCACGGTGAGGTTGACGTGAACGATTTTCTTGTCGATGACGTCGCCGAGGACGTCCGCACACTGCGTTTCGGTCAGTTCCACCAGCCTCGGCGCTAGAGGAAGTATTAAAGACATGAAACAATGGCTTGGCTTTGAGGGCCTCCAATTCAGACTTACCTGTTCATAAGAGAGCAGCTCGGGCCCCAAAACAACACAGTCCCTGTTTGGTGGCGCCGTGGCCGTCAGCGCAGAGAATGCACACGCGGCGACGTCTACCTTGGAGACCCAGGGTATCCTGCCGTCTCCTGATGCGGAGTAGACCTTGCCTTCGGCCCGGACCGCCTCTAACAGACCGCCGCGCTCTGTCCAGTTGTCCATGAGCCAGGTGGGGCGTATGATCCCAAACCCAATGTCGCCACGAGCGCCGAGCTCCTGCAGGTACTTTGCGGTCCCGCCGAAGAACGGCCCGCCCGCCTCAACCGAAGTGGCACTCCTGGTGGAGATCTGGGATTAGCAATGGCCTTGGTCCTTTTTATGGGGGCACGATCAGGTCTTCTGGTGCCCTGAGAACACTTGTATGCCATTCTTGCTGGTGGGAGGCTGGGAGACGCGCGTACTGTAGCACAAACCGCTTCACGCCGTGCTCCTTCCTGGCCAGGTCGATAAAGTCGTTCATGATGGAGCTTGCATCAGGCACCGGCGGTGAGATGAGGTATACCGCCGCTATGGGCGAGGTCTTGGTCGCCGTTATGAAGGGGTTCGACCATGTCATGCGGTCGAGCCAGTCAAACTTCACCATCGGGTGGACGGTGGCGGCGGTGGCCGAGGACGCTGACCGCGACGCGACGAGATAGGACGTGGACGATGCCTGGCATAGTTCGGCGATGCACAAACCGACCTTCCCAGTGCCACCGGTTATAAGTAGTGTCTGTTGTTGTCCTACGGGGCCTCGGGTGTGCCCTCCGTTTTTGCGGGTATGGATGTCTGATCTCATGGTAGTCTCTCTCGGTGGATCCATGTGAGAGCAGCTTAGTAGGGGGCCGCAGCCGCGGGCCAGGCTTGTTGTCCTGGTGCTTGGCTGGGTCTTGATTGTTATACTGCGTGCTGCTATTATACTAGTGTGTGCTGCGGACGAACATGATCACCAGCTTATATAACCAGCGGCATCAACAGTTACTCCGTACATGAGTCTCCCTATGGGCTAAGGAGCCGTGGCATGATGTTTCCCCGCCATAACTCGCAGCAGGAAGGTCTTCCTTCGTATACCCTAGGGTACATACCTAGGTAGTGTGATTCCGGTAAGTCCGGTCCCCGTTACCGGAAGTACGCTTGTGTTAAGTCCGAGCTCCAGCAGAATACACACCGCACACACACAATTCCACATTTTGACTGGCCTTGTTCAATTGATAAGTGTCTAATGTTGCTATCCCGCTATTTTATCGCGGTGGACTGGATGAGGCAAGGCTCATCTGAAAGTGTTCCAAGGTTCCTTGCGATTGGCCATTCCTGCCACGACATGAGCAGACTTTTCATGCCATAATACGTGTTGGTATGGTTCACGATATACCTAGGTAACCATCTGGTCAGGGCGAGCGTGCCTTTATCGTTCTGTGTGCCGGCTCACAGCTTCTGGCAATTGCGGTGCGATTTCAAGGCACAAGAATATCCAATACAACTTTGGTGCGACAAGCGGGAGTTCCAAATCCCGTCGGCCTTTACCCTTTTCCCGTTACTCCCTACTGTTATTCTGAAGATCCTATCAGATATATTAACTATGTAGAATGAAAGCGAAAACTCAGTGTTAATGGTGCCTAGGTAGTTACTACTATGCACCCCGTTACTATTTCCTGGTTAGTAGCAAATGTACTTTTCTCATTGGATTGTAAAGCCTTGTCGGTCGCAAGTCTAAAAGCACTCTCAGGGTGTTCATTCGCTTTTGGGCTCACGATGAGATCTTGAGTAGGGCAGAGACTATCTTCAACTGTGCAAGTTGTTTGGTTGTGTTATGGTAGGTATCTGCGCACCCTGGCGATCTTAAAGCCTTGTCGAGCCTTTTACCATTCTATCCTGCAAGTCGCATCATGCTCATTGGCGTCAAGCAAAGCCAGGTGGCTATGACACATTTAGAGTTCTGTGTGTTCACCTGTAACTGCTCGTCCGAGAATTGCGAGCAGTCCGTCCAGCCGATCGGGGCTGAACCAATGTTTTCAAGGTTTACTCAGACGTGCAATCATCAGACGGAGTCTTGTTATCCGCAGGTGAGCAGCCGATCGGCAGGAAGCAAAACAGTATCATTTCTGCAGTGTATTATCTCTGGCCACTATCTAAATTGTATTTCATTCATCACACTTGCCGTCTCACTAGGACTTCTGGACATTGCATATGTAGTTTTTAAAAAGATTGATTACGCTCCCTACCAACGCATCTATCCATGTTTTCTTTCTGGGTTCCGAGGTTGGCGTCATATAGTACCTGGCATATATAATCGGCGCCTTGTTCGTCTCAAATATATGCATGAAGCTCGGATGGGATGCTTCCATTGGTGAAATGCATCTGAACCGTGGCCGCTGCATGCAGGCTTTGGTTGGAGTTGTGGCAGTGGGCCAGTCATGTCTGACTCCGCAAAGCACTGAAACTCTGGGGCTCTTGTGTTGATGAAATATGCCTTGCCAAACATCCGAGAGGGGTAATTTTCAGTGCTTGGACCCAGGCCTTTGTCAAGGTTTGGATTTCGAGACAAAACAATGAGCAAAGACGTTGCATGATCGTCGCCGCACATCCCCATATTCGTCCGGTCTCAAAACCTTGGTGATGACTACTGCCACCAATGGTCTGCCAACAAATGCGCGCCCATTTCCGCTGAGATGATGCTAAGATGAACGTCTTGGTATCATCGGACTTCCCTCATATCACCTCGATGGCTCCATAAATTTCCCCCCAAGTCGAGACCGACCCGGTCACCTGCACAAATATGGACATAGAAGGGTGGTGGCACGAGTTATTTGTGCGGGCCGAAGGATTACACCTGGAAGGCAGGCAGAGCTGTGGAATTCTCGTGCCTGTCGACTGTGGAAATGGCGTGTGTTGTCCCCCAGCAAGCACATGCGTTGCTGCTGGAAGTGGGAGTAACTGTCTGGGGCCGATTGGCGGAATAACGGTGAGTCCATGCTCGGAAAAACGAAGTGAATATCTTTTTGCCTTTGGTGGTGGGTCTCTCGAGTTCATCGGAGACGAGATTGCATCCGCAGTGAGAATCTCACGATGATCACTTTTGTCGCCGTCTCTGGCAAGACTGCTAACTCGCCGTGTCCAGGTCCCAGGTCTAACCGTGAGCGCCCCAGCTCCGGCCGCAAGTGAGTTGAATGGCAGAAAGATTCACGCACGACGAGTCCTTACTTACAACGACAAGCATCGACGGCGGCATCGACGGCTGTGCCGCTCCCTCCGACTAGTATACCACCTCCCGAAGCATCCACTTCCACGGTAGTGCTACCGCCGCCGACCACCTTTACCACTTTGACAGTGTCACCAACGCCGCCAACCTTGGCTCCCCCATCAGCCGCACTGCCGACGGTCAGCCAGCCCGCACCACCCGTGGCACCACTGCCAACGAGCTCAACGATCCCAACGAGTCTGGGGAGCTCGTCAATCATCGCTCCCCCGTCCTTGGTGTCGACATTCTCTACCCCTTTGCCATTCCCATCTTCGTCGGCCGGATCGACAAATGTGGCGGGAGGGGTAGAGGGCTCCCCAACCACAGCAACGGGTGCCACAGGAGCTGCCGTCAGCGTCACGCCTATCACCAATGGGGCCACAGGTGGCAGTTCCGGCGCCAAAAACGAGCTGAGCACAGCCGATCTTATCGGCATCGCTGTAGGAGGGGGGACAGCCATTGTTCTCCTTATAATACTAGCGGCAGCCGCTGTGATTATGTGGCGGAGGAAGTCCTCGAGGAAAAGTCAACCAAGGGATTCAGATGTTCTGCCGATCACGAGGGAGGTCTCTGAACCGCACCGCAGCCTCCATACCCTATCCTATCCCGACGATGTCTCGGATTCGCGCCAAAGTCTTGCTTCTCCTTCGGATCACTCCGAGGAGGACGAGGACAGCCGAAAGGGAGACGAGCCCTGGGCAATGTCGGGTGCTCGGTCCACGACAGGAGAGGCTACCGATCAGACTCGTGGAAGCCACTGGTTCCGACTGCCAATGCCAGTGCTGGGGCGCAGCAGCCTCGGGTCGACCTTCTCGAGGCCTGGCCCCGCGACATCTCTGCACAGCCACCCGCTGACCCGGAGGTCAACAGCCCCTACTGTACGCCAACCTAGACGGAGCGCGAGGGATTCCGGGGGTGTGCCACGCGTGGTCAGGAAGCCACCTTTGGCGTCACCGCCCCGCATGGCTAGCCAGTCAAGCGAATATGCTGATCGGCAGGCCAGGAATTCAGACCCAGGGAGCATGGGCAACCTCACCAGCGACCCTCAGGCAGGAAGACAGATAGCTAGGGGAGTTCCAGGGGTGGAGGGCGCCGACGACTTGGATGGCTCGCAACGAGGCTCCGGAAGCTCGAGCAATGAGGGACAGAGGCAAGCTATGAGCTTCTTACCCGTCTTCCAGAAGCCGGTATACGTCCAATTGCCAGGGAGCTCAGGTGCAATCGTCGAGTTGATATAGAGAAGTTTGTGGTGGAGACTATAAGCTGATTTTATACTAGTATATTGCAAGAGTAATTGGTTAATGAAGTTAATAAGGGCCCAGTTGCGACTCTGTAAGCCCTGACGTTTTGACACATACATTGAATGCTTGGAAAGATAGATATCAGATTGCTGTATGGGGTGTGGTTGCAGTCATCCGCAAAAGTTTGTTTGACTACCTAGGTATGGAGAGCTGTCAGCCGACGCCACAACTAAGGAGTAATGTCAATATTAATAGAAAGACTCACCCATACTGGGGACCTTGGAGACCAAAGTCCACCTTTAGTTTAGTACCACCTATCGTATTTTACCACTATTATCGACACTGTATACTTTTATAACGCTGTCTTGAGCGTTCACCACTGTATGAAGGCGTCATGTATGTCTTCAGACGTGTGCGGAATATATGCGAAACCAGATAAATAACAGCTAAATGAGGAGGAAATATACTGCTGACTAACCTTATGTACTTGTAGGGAAATGATCGCCTGGGTGGTCGCGCGTGGGACCCCGATCTGACTGTTCTTTATCTGTAGGGACGCCTTCCCAACCTGTTATAATCTCCGAATCTGGGATTGATTATGGAAACGCTTCGCTGGTGTTATAAATGAGCATCCTAGTGGGTGTTCTAGTGCTTTTCGGCGCATGGCAACGAGCTGCATTCATTCCGCAAGGGAAGTTGGGAACGACTGAAGTGAATTAGGAGACGGGCTGGGGCTATGATAGATTAAACCTGTAAGGTCGTAGAAATAACATGATTCCCATGGGCAACGTTATGTACATAAAAGCCTGCAGTCCTGTCATGCCGTGTTTGCCAGAAAAGAACATTGCAATGCATACCGAAACGACAGACGCCATCCACAAGTCTCGTACCAACACTTTTGTTAACGCCATCTCCGATGCATATGGGAGGAAAGAAAACCAAGGCCTCACTCTCGGAGACGAGTAAAGACGGGGAAAAGCTTCTGAAAACGTATCATGGTCGCCCTGCCATGACACATCTTCTCTAGTAGTGAATGACACCAGTTACAAAGGTGTAGCAGCTGAGTTGGTCCTCAGGAACACCGTATAAAAGGGTGTTTGCGTCACAAGCGGCAGAACACCCGGTGTGCAGCGCTGTTCAGTAATAGACTTTCGTGCCTGAGCCAGCGAACGTATTGGCAGCCATCTCCAGCATGCGGGAGACAGCCTCATCGGGCTTTAATAACATCTCTCGCTGACTTTGGCCAACAAGTGTAGACGTAGATGATGCTGGCGTGCTGGTATTGGACGCTAGTTGCATTCCACCTGGCTTAACATGGGCCTGGAGTACGACTCGAGGGCCGGTGGTCCACGGTGGCATGTCAAAGGGCCAAGGGACTGTTTCGCCACCGCAGCCGAAGTCGTGATGGCCCGGCTGAGAGTGCTCAATGACCGGGCTTCTTTCCACCTCCTTGAAATGCGCGAGGTCCGCTTCCATATCACACAGCCTGAGGGTGCCCCTGCCAGCCCACTCGTCGATGGCGTCGGCAATCTCCTTGAAGCCCTGCGTGTGGCCGCCACAATGCCTCGCCTTGAACCCGCAACAGATAAACAGGTATGAGTGGATGAGCTCGTGCAAGAACGTTGAGATGAGTAGTCGGCGATTGAACTTGGTGTCTCTGAGAAACGGGCTGCTCAGGACAATGAGCGTCTCATAGCCTCCCACCAAGGGGGGTTGGGCCTCGCGCAGCGCAGTGGTCCCGATGATCCTCCTGCTGTAGTCGTTCTGTTCGCTCGAGGACCACTCCCATTGCACCCGGCGAGACAAGCGACCTTGGAAGAAAATCTCGTCTGCTGCGCTGAAGATGGACTCGAGCGCGGTCTCGTCGAGGGCGAAGTCGGCACCTCTGTGGTTTCTGGGGTGGATGAGGCTTCGTAGTATGCGCTCATGTCGCCTCACATCCCGCCGCGGGCTGTTCATGTGGCTCCTCACCCTGGCGGCAGCGGCCTTGTCCTCCTCGGGCGAAAAGTTGTTGCATTCGACAGTGGAGTGCGAGTCGGAGTCTGTCAAGATGGTGCGACCCGAATTCGTTCGTTCCATGAAACACGCAACGGGAGCGGGTTCTGGAGAAAATTGGCCATCGCCGCTCGGGGGAACGACGTGGCAATGGCCGTCCCGCAGTCCCGTGGAAGCTGGTGTGCCTTCTCTGATGACGAAGAACTGCGGCTGCTTGGGTGACGGGTCGACGCCTGGTGGTGTTGCAATCATGTGCTCCGATTCCCAGCTCCTCGGGCGCGGGTACAGTGACGTATCGTCCAGGTCGTATCCGTAGGAGTCATCGTGAAGTATGACAGGTAACCTGGCCTCCCTCTTGGAAGAGCATTTGTGCAATGCGTGGCCATCCGTGTGACCGAAAGATCGAGTGAGAAGGCCTCCAGCACCGGCCCAATGAGCCATTGATCATGATAGACTTGTTGTCGTGGGACAAGATCAAATCAGTAGCAGCGGTGGTAGATGAAAGTGCAAGATCAAAAGTGCATAAGCGCGAGCAAGAATAGTATAAAGACCCCGGGCGAGCGTGACAAGATGATTAAGCGCATAATTGAGAAGATCAGCGTGCCAGTTGTTCAAGTCATGCTCCGCAAGTGGTATGGCGATGACAAGAAGTGGCACTGGCTGTCTTGGACGGCCCGCCTCACTTGCATGGAATTGTGTACTTGGCCGGCGGGGCGGCACTTGAGGGTTGTGAAATCGGTAAGGTCTCAAGTTGGGATATGCCTTGGGAGGGAAGGAAACCAAGAGGCAAATAGGGGACCATGGACGGGATGGAGGGCCACTGTGCCATGGCTGTCCCTGGCAACCTTGGGAGTCTCGAACCCCCTGCAAGAAACGTCGTACTGTGGCAGTCCCGACAGCGAGGATGCCACGGGAGATGAGCACAGAACAGTGGGCACAGGACGGACAGCCTCAAAGTCTGTATGTAACGCTGTGGACATCGTACAGCAGACAGTCTGACAGTCCTGCAGTCCTGCAGCGTCCAACGTGATTGAGTGGCATCCTCGGCAAGCGGTGTGCGCGTGCTCGTGCGTGTGTAGGCCTGGTAGGATGGTTTCCAATGGGCTGGGCCGATATGGGTCTTGCTGGGACTTGGTGGGTTTTGCTGCGGGACCCGTGTGCATGCAGCAGACTAGCCAGCCTGCCAGCCTGCCAGCCTGCCAGCCTGCCAGCCTCCCAAGCCTCCCAGTCAGGGCCCGGGAGGACGACAGTTGTTGGTGGTCCAAGTGTCGTACAAGTATTGCTGTCTTGCACCCGAAGAGGCCTGGCTTATTTATACACCCCGGAGCACACAGCACAGCTCATGTTGCGGGTGGCCCAGCGCAAAGCCTTCTGCCGTGCACCAGCAATGGTGTTTGGATGCTCTCGACGGGGCGCGGGCTCGGTGACCTGTGTAGCGGGCCGTCTGGTCTTTCTCGAGGTTGAGTGATGTCCGCTCCCTGGCTCCTCAGGCTCCTCAGGCACAACAGGCTGGCAGGGCTGGCAGGCTGGCAGGCTGGCAATACAGGCACGGTCAGTCAGCAAAGCAAGAACGAGGCGGACAGCTGCGGCAGGCCAGAGATTGGCGGCGCGCGGCGATCGGCAGCGGGTTGGGGGCAAGGAACGCCCCAATCCCACTTGATTGGTTGATATCCACCGCCTTACTTTGCTGGAGCGATCGGCCTTGTGGCACTGGCCCAATAGTCCACATTACATGGTTCCAGGCGATCCCAACCCTGGTCCATGCCTACCATGCAACGTCGGACGGGGTGGCACTGGCAGGCCACCTGCGCGTTTCAAGGGTCCACATCCCAAGGGGCCGACAGGCACGGCCTACCTACCTGGCTGTCGGCGCCGCAATCAGCATCGTGTGCCGGCGAGCGTGAAGCCCGCCGCAGACATACTCCCAGACTCCTCACGTCAACCAAGCATGCTGACACGGCATGAACCTCGAGCTGACTCCCCGCCCCCGGCCACGTCCGGCGCACGCCGAGCCTTTTATGCAGGCCATTGGAGGCTCCTCCGGTCAGGTTTGACGCGCAACACTCCCGGCGGGACACTGCCCAGCATTGACGGCATTGGCTCCCATACCTCGCCTCGTCGCCTCGGAAGCCTTCCCTTAGAGCGTAGCCCAGGCCCTGCAGCAGTGTCTCCTCCGTCCGTTGTGCCACATCCCAGCGTTGTTCTCTCGAGTAATGTGTGCCACCTGGCCAGTCTAAGAGGTAGCCACGGCCCGGATGACACACGTTCAACACGAGATCCGACACTCGCACCCGCGAAACAGGGGGTACACCCGAGCCCCAAGGGACAGCCTCCTATGAGATACCCGGTTTGGTGTTGACCCGAGCACTGGGATCTCCGAGTCGTCCTGTGTCTTGTTCAGCTCTCATTAGATATATCTACTAACCTAGAAGCTCGCCTACCTAGGTACCCAGGTAGACAGATAGCCACCTCCGATCTCTTCAACAACGTCCACGACGGCCCACACCCAAGTTTGCAATCGGATTCAGGCCCCCGGCCACTGATAAGCATCCTGAGTGGACAAGGTTAACGCTCGTCGCTGTTGTACACGTTGCGCAACCCTCCTTCTCTCCTTGCGTCTCAGATCGCCTGCCGGCTTGGTCAAGCGCCGTAAGCATCAGGCATGACATTAGAAGCTTTGCTCCCTTCTCAGTAGCCAGGCAGCCAGGGCTGCGTGCGCAGCTAGGCCCTAAGCCCCAGGTTCCTGACGAATCGTACATCGTCCGCTTGCTTCAGGAGAGCCTGACGCATCTTTTCGCTGTAGATCCTTTCCTCTTTCTCCTTCTCTAACTCTGCAGCTGACCTTGCTTCTTCCTCAAAATCCTCAGCCGTGAAGGCTGGGGAGGATTTGAAGGCAACCAGTCCGAGGTTTTCGCCGGTCCAGAACAGCAGCTCATTTCCATTGACGCCGCTCTTTCCGCCCTGAGTCGCGAGCAGTTTTCTCGCGATGTCATCGGACCCTGGCATGTTTGCAAATAGAGAAGGCCCCTGCGCACGCTCACAGTGGCCGATCTTGACCCGGCGAACTTCCGTGAAGCCGTCTCTTTCAAACCACTTGAGCCGCCCTGAGCCGTCCGAACAAACTAGGCGCGTGCCTTGGTTCACGCACGAAAGAAGCTTTGAGTCGGAGGACGACTGGCGGTTTTTGAAGACCGAGTTCGACAAGCCACCCGGCACAGAGGTTGACGATTGCGAAGGAGGCTGCAGCCCATACATCTCCAACGAGCCTTTTGTATTGTACTCGCCACATGCAATCAGCGTGCGGCCGCCGGGCGGTGTTGTCTTGGATGTTTCAATCTGCTGAGGCGACAACAAGCCCTCGCGGCGTAGCTCGTTGTCCACCGTTGAGAACGGGACTGGTAATGATGCCAAGCTAGATAGCCGGGCGCCCGAGTGGAGGCTGCCTTTGATAGACGGGAACATCCGTCTGTCATATGAAAGAATACTGGGGAACCGCTATCTCGGAAAAACGAGAGTTGGCCCCCCCCCTGCAAAATACCCCCTATTCCTTGGCTAAACCAAAACTTTACTAGCAAAATAGAAAACCTAATATTCTTACTAAAATACTTATATTAACCTTATTAATGCTAGTAATAAGTTGTTTTTATTACCTAATTAAATAAAAATAATATTATATTAATTTTATATAATTAATTTAAGCCTAGCTTATAAAAATATATATAATTTACTTGCCCTAATATAAGGTAATATTAACCTAGCTAATATTATAAATAATATACTTTAATTAATTTATTAAGCCTAAACTATTTAATATTTATTATATAAAATTTACTTAAAAATTAAATTATATAATTTATTAATAAAAATATTATATTATTTAAATAATTATATATTTAAAAGCTAATTATTAAAGTAATTAAGGCCTAATAGATTACTTAAAAGCATTTATAAATACTTTTAAAAATTGCCTAAAATAAGGCTATTATAATAAATTAAATAATTTAAAAGGCATAAAAAAATATTATTAAAATTAATAATAAAAAAAATATATTTAATAATAAGAAAAAAAAGGCTTTAAAAGATGCTAATAATAAAAACCTTTTTATTAATAAGGCAAGGTTTTTAGTAAATAATAATAGTAATAATATTAAGCACCTTAAAAATTGTTTAGTTAACCCTTTAATATAAGCACGTTTAAATAAACTAGCCCTAATTTTATTTATTAAAATTTATAGCTTAAAAGCTAATATTATTTTTATTATATAACCTAAAAAATAAATTATTATATTAAAAAAGAAAAATAAAAATTAAAAAATTTAAAGTTTTTTATTAAATTATATTAATTTATTTAAGGATTTAATTAAAAAAAAGTATAAAAATTATTTAAATATAATTATTAAGTTAAAGAATATTTTTATTAAGGCTAGTTAGCTTATAAACTAAAAATTTTTAACTTTATAATTAAAAACTATAAAAAAAAATATTAATAAAAGAATTAAAATATTTAATTATAATAATATTATAAATATACTTTTTAAATTTTAAAAATCCTTTTTTAGTTTTTATATAATTATAAAATTATATTATTAGTATAAAAGTTATAAATATTTATATTATAAAATAATTACTTAATTAAATGCCTATTAATTAAGGTTTTTTAGCTATTACTAGCTATTTAATAAATAGCTGTTTTAAGGAATAGTTTACTAGCAATTAGGCAAGTAATAAATTTAAATATGCCTAATAAAAATTTAAATTTTAAAACTTTTTAATTTATATTAATAATTATTAGGTAAAAGGTTAAAATAAAAATAAAAATAAACTTTATATAAAAAAAGTATAAGTAATTAATAAAAATATAGTTATATTTTTAAATAATTATTATAAGGCTAATTATTATTATTAAAATTAAAGAAATTTTTATAATAGTAATATTTTATTAGGTAAAATAATATATATATTAGTTTATTTAATAAAAATTTAAAACTAGTTTAATATAATTATAATAAATAATATTATAATTAAATATTTATTAAAAGTTTTTAATTATTAAGTAATTTAAATAAAGCTTAATAAAAAAGCCTAATAATAATAGGGTTAGCCTTATTTTTTAAAAAAGTAGTAAAATAAAAGTAAAAAATAATATTAATATAATTATTAATTTATTATTTAATATTAATTTATTTAGGGTTAAATATAATTAAATAGCTTTAATAAAATTATTATTATTATTATTATTATTAGCTTTTTTTTATAAGTTTAATAAAGCCTTATTATTATTAATAATAATAATAATAGTGCTTAAAAGCCTATTATAAAGGTAAAGGTTGTTAGTTATTTTTTTATTATTGTTGCTATAAATAAAGGGGGATAAAATAATTTTATATTAAAAGTTTATTATAAAAGTGCTTTAAAAGTATTTTAAGAATTTATTAAAAAGGGCTTAATTTAAGCAACTTATAAGAATTATAAGGCATAAAAAACTTAATTTTTATAAGTTTTATAAGAAGAAAAATATTTAATTTAATAAGTATAATTTAAAGGTTATTTTATTAATTAAAATATTAATTAAACTATATTTAAAAAAAAACTTTATTAGTTTTTTTAATAATAATAATAATAAAAAAAATTTATTATTATAATAAGGGTTATTAAATAGCTATTTAATAAACCGCTAAATAAATATTAAAAATATATATTTTATAAAGCTTATAAGGGTTGCCTAATTAATTAATTAGCTTTATTTAATATTAGGCCTTATAATTAAGTTAGCTATTTAATAAAAGGGTTAAAAGCCTATTAAAATAGTTTTTTATATTTAATAAAATAAAGGAGTTATATAATAAGTTTTAAAAAACTTTTTAAATAAGGAAAGTAGTAATTAGGTATATAAGAAAATATAGTTAGTAATAAAAGTAATTAAAAGAGGAAAGTTAATTATTTTAAGTAAATAAAGTAAATTAAATATTTAGCATTAAATAATTAATTAATTAAATAAATTTATTTATAGCTAATTTATTTATTTTAATTTTAATTATTAATTTAACTATTTAATTTATAAATAATATTTTTACTTATATAATTATATTTAATTAAAATTTTATTAATTTTAGTTTTTATAATTTTTAATTAATATTATTATATTTATTTTATTTTATATTTTTTAATATTTATATATAATAGAAATGTTTTTAAATAGCCTTAATTTTAAATTTAATTTTTAAATATAAAAAATAAAAATTAAGTAAAATTTTTATTTAAATTATAGTTTAATAATTTATATTAGTATTAATAATATAAATAGCGTTTTAAGTTATTAAAATATATTTTAATAAAATTAAAATTAAAAAGTATAAAAATAAATATTTATATTTTATGCTTTTATATTTATTGCTTTAATTATTTTTATATTATAGTACTATAAAGTATTATTTATTATAAAAATTAATTTTAAGTTTAAATATAAGTTTATTTTTAATAAAATGTTTTTATTAGCTATTATAAAAAGTATTTTTTATTATATAACCCTTATATATTATAATAGCAAATAAACTATTAAATATAATTGTAGGAAGATATAAAAATAAGTTTTTATTTAAAAAACTTTTAATTTATAAAGTATACCTAATAGGTATTTAATTTGTTTTTATATTATTTTATTTATTAAAACTAAATTTATTAATAAAATAAATATTTTTATTATATAGCTTACTAATATATTTATTAAAAGTAGTAGTTATAAAGCTTTTATTATATTAGTAGGCTAATATATATATTTATTTATTATTTTATATATGTTTTAAGGTATTACTTATTATTTTATAGTAATATTAATTTAAAATTATTTAGTAAGAAAGTATTATATTTTATTAAAGTATAGGTTTAGCTTATTAAAAAAAACTTTTAGTTTTAGTTTATATAATTTATATATTAATTAAGTTTTATAAATTTATTATAAAAAAGTAAGCTAATAAATTTTTAAAGCCTATTATTTTAATTTAATTATATTTAATAGTAATAGTAATAATATATTTAAGGTAATTATATAAGTAGTAGTAATTCTTTAATAGTATTTTTAAATTATAATATAGCTAACCTAAAACTTAGCTTATAGCTATTTATTTAATAGAAATGGGTTAAAATATAAATAAAACTTTAATTATTAAAATTTACGGCTTAATAGGTAATGGCTTACTATTATTAGCCTTTTTTTTTTTTTTTTAGAGTATAGGTGGTGTTAGGTATGGTGTTTTGTTAAAAATGTTGGGTTTTCCGCCCTATTAGCGAAGTTTTGGTTTAGCCGAGGAATAGGGGGCATTTTGCAGGGGGGGGGCCAATTCTCGTTTTTTTGAGACAGCGCCCCGCAATAAAGATCTTGTCCGCAACATCTGCTTCTGCTCCAGGTCGCTGCATGTGAAGAATGCTAAGTGGTCCAGGGTGAGACAGTGGGGCATATGGGGGCAGTGGATTGTTGTCAAACAGTGCCTTTAGGCTTCTGGTATAGACATCAAGTGCTCGGAGCCCATCGGTGTCGTCGACCCTCTCTGAACTGTCGCTCTGCCGTGCTGCCCTGTACCTGTGGTCATATGGATGAACTAGGGCTCCGTGTTAGTGCATGATACTCATTTGCCTGAGTTCCGCAAGCCGTGGCCGAGACGCCTCGAGCTCTTGATACCTGGCCGTTCCCATAGAACTCAACTTTGAAGATCATCTAGCAGCCTTGCAGCAGCCGATTCCGGTCAAGCATTACTTACTACCATTGTTGGTTCCAACTGTTAGAGGAACACCCGCATCTGTGGTAGACAGAGCGGTGATGGACCACGGGAACGACTCGCACCCCACCACAGTGAGCCTGCGCAAATCCACCTCGATCAGGTCTGTCGGATCCCTTATCAGCACTGAAGACCATTTTCGACTTGTTTGAGACGGCTAGTCGACGGCGCACGGAGGTGGCAGACTCACGGTTCTGAACGGCGAAAAAAGCAAGGTGCTGTCTACTGTCGACGCTGACACACTCAGTGACACCAGAATCAATCCTCTTGGATCGGCTACTGTTATCTGCAGAAGGACCGTCGATGTAAAGAATGCCTGGCCTGCTGCGAGCGCAGATGGCGCCCTTGCGGCCTTTCGTCCCTGTGACATCCCACACGCAGACAGACCCGTCGTCCAGGGGCGACACGGCAAGGACCGTTTCTAGTCCCTGATGGTCTTGCTGGGCATTCTCGGGGGTATAGAGAGCAATGCCTCGTGTCTCGATACAAGTGCTCTCTACCCCGTCCCTTAAGACCGGCTGTTGCAGCCAGTTGACGTTAATAGGTGCATTGCGCTGTATGTATTCATCATACCAGTTCACATTTTCACCCGGGAAAGAAGGATCCCAATTTGCCATTATCCTAAGACGCTCGTTTCTTCTGGATGTGGCAGGGTCAGGGCGACCCAAAACGGGTCCCTGGTCCGTGCCCGGGGCATCAGCTGAACGGCCTGGCTCACCAAAGCACCCAAGAAGCCGCTGGCGCCGGCACAAGGATTCAAGGAAGGTGGAGTTCTCGAAGCACTGTGAGCGCCAGAATGTGTTGTCTCGGCATATCTCCAGGAGTTTCTTTGAGACAAGCTGCAGGCTTGTGCTCTGGGACGGCTCGAGAACTAGGGAGGGGGGCAGCCTGGTTAGTTGTGACTGGGCAAGCCATGGTTGAGCAAGTGAGGGACCAACATGATATGATTTGGAACAGGATCTCATTGGGGAGGTCTGCAAGCCCCTTGGACTCGCCAGACTCCTCGGACTGCATTTCAATAAGGACTTGGGGTGGTGAGGGCTCCGCAAATCTACCGTGTTCCAGGCCCAAGCTACAGGGCGAAACCACAGGATTTGTTTCTTGTCGCAGGTTGTGAGAGAGGTGTGCCGATCATGCTATGATGTATTGGGGTAGTGTAGGTATGCAGCCCCTCATATCACTGCGATACGACCGAAAGCTTAAGGAGGATAGACTCGGAAGGAGAAGAAGAAGAAGAAGAAGTAAAATAACAACGAAGTCGGAGCTTGGAGCTTTGGGGACTCGGGATCCGGGGAAGCACGGCTGTCGTTCCCAAGCAGTCAATCAGACAATCAGCCACAGGGAAGGGGCCCCACTTACCCACCCTACCCCGCCATACCCATCCTCTGGCCCAACGGCTGTGACAAAGCCAATCGGCCCAAACTAACCACACCAGATAAGCGAAGGTGGAACCCCGGCTCCAACCTGTGCTCATGTGTTCTAAAGGTACCCCTGTTGTGGTTCACAGAGCCGCTTGTGAACTTGACCTCTTGTCTTTGCTTAGACACGGCACAAATTGGCCCTTTCACCTGCGTCCCTGGTCCCCGAGTCATGATAGCTCCTTGTGTTTGACAGATTAAAATCCATTCCATGGCATAATGGTCTCAAATTCCCTTTGTCTGCTCAGTCTCTTGCCTTTCCCTGAGATCAGAGACTCGTAGTGCTACTGTTACTGTGACCTTGGTAATTTAATGCTTTCCTCATCACCAGCAAGTCCTATAGGTTCCCTTCTGTAGGACTACCTCCTAAAGATCCTTCGGGACGAGCTTCTATGGGTGCATACATAATACACTACCTGGCACATGGAGGGAGCACCAAGAACATTGGAATATCACACTGTGCAAGTCGTGATATCAGATTGAATACATCCAGCTGAAAGAATTTCCCAGGTGATAAGATGCTCAAATTTGGGCCGTGACAAGGAAAAATGTGGCTACCCTCATCATTGGGCAGCCACATCATTGGTATATCCCATATGAGTGGCGGAACTAAGCGCAAGATCACTCAGAGGCCATGATGCTTGAGCTTTTGAAAGTCCTGTGGTCCTGTGGTCATGTGGGTGGGTGTATCAAGTGAAGTTGAGATTGATCTTGAAAAGACCAACTCGACCTGCCACCGTTTAACACCACCCAGGTGCCATCAAGTGCTAGCCCAACACCAGAGTGACGTACCTAGATACCTAGGTACTTACTTAAGTAGGTAGGTAATTAGTGCAGAGTCCCAGGCCTTTATCTGTTTGACATACACCATATCTCCTGTTTGCCAGAGAAAATAAGCTTCACAAAGGTTTGGTTGCTGACCATGATGGCCAAAAAAAAAAAAAAAAAAAGCCACCCACAACGCGTAACAGGCCTGTAGTCTCGCCCGACAGCACAAGTCCAAGGTATCTGAACCCGATCACTTCTCTTCCAGCCTCTCAAACGCAATTCCCACAGCTGCCTATGACTTTCACCTTGATTTCATTCAAGAGACCCTCCTCCTTTCGGCCTCTTTCTCCTCCATCTCACCATCCCCCATTCGGTCTGTCCCTCACTTGCTTAGCCTTACCTCACCTCTACCCTTGACCAGGCCTCTCTGCCCATCAAGCATAGTAAGCTCAACATCGCTTGTTTATGCTCGTCTCACAGTTCAGCTAGGGGAGAGTTGTTGCGATGGCCAGACGGCAGCAACAGCCAGCAGGCGGGGAAGATGATAGCTCCTGCCTCAAAAACCGACCCGCACAGCCAAACTCAGATGATGGTGGCGAGTCGAGGGTCGCCCCTACCCTTTTTCCCAGCCACCAAACACGTCCGCTCTTCAGCAGTCTCGAGGAAGCACACAACCGCATAACGCGAACGCAATCGACCAGCATTTCCAAGAACGCCACTGACGATACTGCGAGCAGTAGCAGCAGTGGCGACGACATTCTCCTCGGGGACATGCGGCGCCTTTCTCCCGTCGACGCAAGAGCAATCTATACCAATGTCGGCTACCCCGTGACACGCGCCTTTAGCCGCAGTGTGACGGATGGAGTCAATCGCACGGTCGACGAGCCAGCCCTGGTTCCTTCGCCCCTGCTCGTCCAGAAGGAGCTCGATCGTGATCTGCGGAAGAACAACATCTTCGATTGCTCACCGTCTTCCAGGACAGCGCCCGTCGTCTGGCAGGGCTCAGGCGAGCCAAGGAAGGATGCACCAACACGATTTCCAGAGGCTCAAGCGTTCGCAGAGGCGAACACTTCAAACCGGCCCCCGCCGTACTCTCCCAAGAGCAAGCTGTATCACGCCATTGGCTCACACGGCCCCGTCGCTCAAGACCCTCATGCTGCTGTATGCAACCTCCTGCCTCACCGACCGCGGGAAATCAAGACAGGCACCATTTGGGGCCGTCCTTCTGAGGAGGGGGTCCGGTCACCGCCCCAGATTGCACTTCCAGACGACCCTCCATTTCATCTCACCAACCATTCTGCTGCCTCGTCCCAGCTGAGAACCTCCAAAGCCGTGCTGCGGGTCATGAATCCATCTCCATTGCCGCAGTGGCCCTTTCCCAATCGGATTCCGTGTCTTGGTGACAGTCAGGATGGTCGTGTCTGTGTTAATAGTGGTCTTGGAGTGGCATCCAGCGTCGAACATGATGCAGATCCCGGCATCGGATCAGAGAGCGACGCGCCCAAAATGCCCCCTGCTCACATGCACTCTGCACGACAAAACGAGCCACACAGCCAAAGCCCTGTCAGCAGTAATAAGTCATCTGTTTTCGATGGTGGGATGACAGAGCGCTCTGAAGAAGACCCATTCCACTATGACAGCGTGTTCTTGCGCCCCTCACGAGAGCGCGAGGTCTCTGCTTACCTGCACCAAGTCAGTGGTTTTGAATGTGGAAGCACGGCAATCATTTGCTCGCCGGATGGCTCTCCTTTGAGGACTTCTCAACGAAATCTGGACAAGAGATCACAGTCTCCCGTAGCGCAGACAACGATGCTAGACCGTCAAGTGTCACCACTCTGCCAGCAGCAGCATCAGCGTGCAGCTTTAGGCAATGCTGAACTGAGAAAGCAAGCGGAAAACTTCTTTGAGCCTGGTGCAATTGATCCTGGATGGGCTGTAGGGAGCCCTGATATTGTTAGGGTGCCTGTCAGGGAGAGAGTCCAGTCCAAGCAGAGGCGGAGCATGGGAGAACAACACTTGGATGCCAAAGGGACCATGTCGAGCTTGGTCTTGGAGGGCCTTCGTGGGTGTGAGGAGCAGAACCGGCTCCCAACTGGAAATACTGAAGGATAGGAAACTGAGTATTCTGGTCTTGGAGGACGGTCTGGGCCTGATTTAGGAGCTGGTGTTGGCCTGAATTTCAACACACACGTCGGCACCAATGGTTTCAAGCAGTGTGGAAGCTCCATCGCCAACTTCTCTGACTACGAAGCTCTGTCTGACGCAGCCTCAACGAACGGTGTCATTCCAAGCTCTCCCACAGCTCACCCAGCAGGTGGTTTTCGGCCTCCCACGGGTCCATTTCACCAGCAGCCTCACGTCATCCACCCCCCAGTCAAGAACAACAAACCCCAGGACCTTCGGTATCGCAAGCACAACATCAACCAGGCACCTGTGCCAGTCTTTGTCCCTGAACAGCGTTTTCACAGGGTCAATGGCTTATTTCAGGATAGTTCAAGGCCTGCTGCCCAGGTTCCCTCGGCTAGTAACGTCCCAGATCAGAATTGGCACCAGATCTCTTGCCCAAGTGCAACTCGAGCCCCGTTTCGCAAAGGAAACAGCAAGCGGACGTTTCGTCATGACTTTACGCTCCACCAGGCCATGTCGCCCCGTCATCCCTTCAGCGAGCTCCAGTCGGACGACAGCTCTCTTCACGAGTTGCAGCCTGTCACCTCACAGCCTGATAAGAGCCGGCCAAGTACTTCAGGCGAGCTTTGGGATTCTCCGCCCAGACCTGATCCAAACAGGGAGCGAAGCCTCCAGCCTGATACAACAAGCCGACAGCGCCAAAACCCCTTCCGGCCAAACCAGCTAATGATTCCTGTCACTCATCTGTCGAGCCCCGCAAAAATGGCACAGGCCCACCTCTACAATCGCAACCGTGGTGATAGCATTGACTCGGGCGAATCTATTAGCCTCATGGGCTCCGGCCAGTTCGAGCTGATCCCCCTCGAGGTGGCGCAGCAGAGACAGGCTGTCCGCCGTGCAAGCGGCCAAGAGGACCAGACACTTACTGGGCGCGCACGCCTCGAGTCGATGAAAAACCCAAGCTGTAATACTAATGCCAGCCAGTTCGGCTCTCAAATTGAGACCCCGGCTCCTGCCATGGCGCCTACCACTCGCAAGGTCTCGCGTTTCGTATCTCGTGGGTTTGCTCAAGCCTCCAGTCCTCTTTCAGCACGGGACGGCAACGATGCTAATGGTAAGAATTTCTACAGTAAATTTTAAAAAGTCTATGCGAAACCTCAAGAGCAAATTTGGCTAATCTTGAAAGATCCCCTGGTTCCTGGTGACGATACTCTTCCGACCGTCAGCACAACCACCGGATCTGATCTGACAATCACCACAATTCGGCAGCGGGATGGTACTCAGTATCGCATATTCTCCCCCTCCCCGCTTCTTTATCCCTGGGACCGTCTTCATCGTCGCAATGCGGCCCAGAAGTCGACCGATCGTTCCCTGCAACGCATCACTGGACAGGGTTTCAGCAGTCTTGGCAACATGGAGCGCGGTGCAGTTCATCAACGCCTCTGCGATGCTGATTTCTGGCTCTCTGAAGATGCTCAGGCGAGAAGGCATTCGTTTTTTTTAATTGTTGCCTTGCTCTCCATTTTCCCTTTCGTTTCGCCTATTGCCCTCTGTGGCGGCTTCAACAGCGCGCTCTCGTGGCACACCGGCGGCGAGGTCGACCATTTTAGCAGGAATCAGAGGCGTTTCCTGATGGTGGAATCCATCACTGCCTTGTTTGCTGTTATTGCAATTATTGTCTTCGTTGTTATCAAGCACGGGCGCCACCACTAAATAGCCGCGCTCTGATCGTTTCCTCGCCACGACAGCTGCGATGCGAGACAGAACAGGTGACACAGACACTGCCAGAGGCCGCCTCCCAACTGGTTACTTCTTTATTCCGACCAGCTGGACTTCGCCTTTGTTCTCTTCTGCATTTCTCGCCGAAAATTATCCCACTAACCGACCTTTCAACTGCAGCCACCCTCCGGCGAACTGAAGCTGGTGCGGGGCATCCGACTGCTGGCATATACTCACTTCGTTATCTCTGGCGTACGAAGTGTTATGTCTCATCTCTCCTTACAATTTCCTCGAAGATGGCGTCGCGCGGAAAGACCGATTGTGCTGCACACAAAGGATCCAGTTTGATATGGCTCATCACGATACTGCAGCCAACGACAGGAAGGGATGCAATCGAATACTCGCTTTGTTCTGTTCTTTAAACTGCGTTCTTCTCTCTTTGAAGCATGTTGGATCCGACATTTCTATCGTTACCTCTAATTTCTCGGGTCTTGATTCATGGACATATGTCATAGCAGGGCGTTTAAAGACGGAACGGTCAACATGCACGGCAGACGCGGTGCACTCGATCTCGACTTCTTCATGACTCTTTCACGCGAGTCTCGGATTAAACCTTGGAATCGGTCTCCTGTTGCCACAGATGGGCACCTGGGGCACAAGCCGTCCGCTCTTGGCCTGGATGGCCGTTGGTGGACCAACCTGCCTGCAAGGCGTGAATTTGTTTTGTGTATCTCGATCCGCCCGACATTATTAGGAGCTTGCGGATATTTGGACAGGATGGAAAAGTCTTTCTTGATTTGGATTCCTGACTACATCCCACCCACCAGGTTGTCGGTTGGTTTTCAATGTATGTATCTGTCTAAATTTGTAGTAACTATACCACCACGTTGGTGACAACCATCACGTTGAAATGGCATTCATGAAAAGGTGTACACAATCACACATGAATCAAAACCCCTTGTAAAAGCAATATTGTGCCTTGGTGGGTGCCCGCGCTCTGACATGTGCTGACATTGCGAAATCCAAACCAAGCAACGCGAGATCGTAGGCTACAGGGCGGGGTGCACTGTTTTTCTCAACCCCTATATCATTGCGAGCAAATCACTTTGTGCATATGTATAGATGTACAGGTGCCCCTCTCCCCTCATAAAATAACAAACTTGAGCACTCCTTGTTTTATGAAGAGTAACTATGTTTGAAGAAGGATTACGCCTCCGTCGTTTGGAAATTGTTGTCTATATCATCAGACTGGTCATTCTTCTCAGGCAACGTTATTCTCCGAACGAGAAGCCATGTGTTTGGGCCTCGATAAATCCACGCAGCTTTTCACGCAAGAGTTGGAGGGAAACCTCCAAGCAATCGGGTCCATTTGTAGTGGACCAACCCATCGCCCCGGGCCGAGCCCCCGGGGGGGGGGGGGTGGCGACCCAAAAAGAAAATTCTATTGCCCAAAGACAATCCGTCTCAATCGGTCCTTCTCCCCACTTTCCTCGCACATTCCGCGAAATACACCTCTCCCGCCGTCCCGCTCCCAAAGGTCCCGGGGTGTGCCGTACTCGGCCACGCGGCCATCTCCAAGCACGAGAATCCTGTCAAAGTCGGCGATTGTAGACAGTCTGTGCGCGATGACGACAAGGGTCGCGTCCGTAAACTCCTCGCGTATTGACCGCTGGATTAGGGCATCGGTTGCCATATCGACGGCGCTGGTTGCCTCATCAAGGACCAATACTTTAGGTTTTCCCACGATGGCGCGTGCCAAACAGAGCAGCTGACGCTGGCCCTGCGAGAGGTTCAGGCCACCTTCGGATATGGGCGATGTGAGGTCATTGAACACGTTAGAGTTTCCGTTGACGGTGTCGGTCGACGAGGACGGAACGGGCGTCACAGTCCCCCCAGTGCCGCTGATGAGGTGCACCCGCTCAAGAGAGTCACGGAGCTCAGCATCGTCGTGTTGCTGAAAGGGGTCGAGGTTGGAGCGAACGGTGCCTGAGAAAAGAACAGGGTCCTGGAAGATCAAGGTTAGCACTTGAGCGCGTTACGGTGAGTGAGATTCTAAGATGTGTATCGCTCACCTGAGGGATGATGGCGAGCCGCGACCGCAGATCATGAAGCTTGATCTTCGAAATGTCCAAGCCATCAATATGAATGGTTCCTGACCTCGCCTCCAAGAACCGGAAAAGGGCCAGAGTCAGAGAACTCTTGCCTGCGCCCGTTCTTCCGACAACGCCAATCCGCTCGTTAGTCTTGACGCTGAAACTGAGACCCTTGAGCACAGGCGGCAGGTCCGGCGCGTAGCCAACAACAAGATCGTCAACATCAATGCTGCCTCCGGTCGGCCACGCAGCGGGTGGGCTGGACCCTTCGAGAGTCTCGGTTGGAAGTTCGGTGTACTCGACGATCCTCTCTGCAGCGTTCATGTTCAGTTCCAGGTTGGCATATAATCGAATGGTCCAAACAACGCAGTTGGAGAACTCCAGCGCAAAGGCCAGCGCAAACCCGGCTAGAGCAGCGTCGATTCCAGGCGTCAACAATATGAGGAGTGAGACGATGACTGCGAACATGGAGCCGACAAGGGCCATGCGCCACCCCATCCACCTATTGAACAGCCACAGGTGCCAAGTTGCGGTATCATAGTCATCGATCTTCTTAAACATCCTCTCGACGTAGTTCTGGGCCTTATCGAAGCCCCGTATGGTAGCCACACCGGTGAGGGCTGAACCAAACTGCTCGAAGACGGGAGATTTCGCATTGCTCTCGAGCCTTTTGGCAGGCCTCGCCCCGTCGAGGTACAGCAGCGCAAAGCGCAGGCAAGCGAGCAAGAGCACAAATGCAGACAGGACGAGGTAGGGCGACACAAAAACTGAGGCCACAATGACCCCAATTAATTGAAGCAGTGAGCTACCGCCGAAGGAGATGGAATTGGCGAGCTGAGAGTCGATGATATGGAAGTCGGCTGTGAAGCGGTTGAGGATGCGGCCGACTGGCACGGTATCAAGCCACCGGAGCGGCGCTCGAAGGATAACGAAGTTGAGCTTGGCGAAGAGCTCGCGTGATGCCCTGATCGATCCTGTATAAGTGTAGTAAAACTTGAAAGTGGCGACACAGGCGGTTGATATCGCTAGCGCAACATATATGCCGAGATAAAAGTTGAGATCATGGTGTCCACCAGCAGCCTGCATTGAAGGTGGGATATGGGCGTGGGGGTGCACATCGACAGACTGCTGCAGGGAGACGGCATAGGCAAACCCGTGGTCGTTGGAGGCGTTCGCGTGGAATGTGTTGACCGACTCCGACTCTTCGTAACTACCTGTCCAAATGCGTAGCCACCAACTGCGCCCTAACGCGAGGGTTTGGTTCAGGAGGAATATAGACACACAAGTTCCCCAGAACCAGAAACCGCCCGAATTCTTCAGATATACACTGTAGACGTGTGTCTTGATTGCGCCCTGCTCAAGCTTTTCGTCCTCGACGAACTTGCGAGGGTCGTTGTCTTGCTTGGAGAGGATTTTCTTTAAAGTGTTCCCATCAGCCTCGTCTTCTCCTTCTGACTCCTCGTCAGATGGCTCGTGCGAGTTGACTGCTGTGGCGTTCTCGTCCTCACGGATCTCCGCTTCGGTCTGTTCGTGGCTCTTGATAAGGTCGAGCGTACCATCACTTTGGAGCTCTGACAAGAGGCCAGCATGCAAGACCTTACCGTCACCCAGCTCAACGAGATACTTGGTCTTATCCTGACAGAGCGCGACGTGGTGCGTAACTAGTATTCTGGTCCGGCCGGCTGCCAGTTCTCCCGTGAGGCATTGCTCAAAGATATGGCGTCCAACATGAGCATCGACAGCCGAGAAGATATCGTCGAAAACAAGGATGCCTGCTCTTGAGTAGATAGCCCTCGCAAGTGTCACCCTCCACTTTTGTCCCCCGCTGAGGTTGATACCATTGGCACCAATTTCCGTTTGCTCACCATCAGAAAGCATGTCCAGGTCCTTCTTGAGAGCGCATACCTCGATGGTCTTCTGATACCTCTCTTCGTCATGCGGCAGCCCGAATTCAATGTTATCTCGGATGCTCGCATTTTCAATCCATGGGATTTGCGCAACGTAGGCGATCGCCTCAGGTATGATCCAATTCGCCTTGGTGGCCTTGCTGTCCTTTCGGTCCTTGAGAGCTGGTGGTCTGGGAAGCGAGACACTCCCGGATAAGACATCGACCTCTCCAAGGATTCCTGCCAGCATCAAGGATTTGCCGGTCCCGGTCTTTCCAGAGATGACACTAAGTTCGCCTTTCGGAAATGTCACGGTAACATCGCGGAGTACAAACCTCTCGTCGGCGTCCAACTTTTCATCCGCTGGCCAAGCGATGGAGGCGCCGTCGAAAATGACCTCCTCAGATTCCTTTGTGTTCTTTTGGATCTCGGGGGAGTCCAGGTACTCCTCAATCCGCTTCACAGAAGTCCATGCATCCAGAACGTCGGTCGTGAGCTCAGGGATGATAGAAAGAGTAACCTCGAGCGCCCGGAACACCCCAAGACTGACAAATGCCACAGAGGGTAGCAGGGTTCCGTACAATGCGGCGTAGACGGCCAAAGAGGCAGCCGCTAAAGCAATCGGACTGGTAACCCAACAGCCGAGTAAGGCAGTGTCATTTGCAAAGACGTCCCAGACGGACTTGAGTTCCTTTTCCCGTATAGCAGAGATTTTCCTCTCCCACTCTGGCTCGAGGGCAGAGAATTTGATCTGTCGTATGCCTTGAAGAGCTTCGTTGACGATGCCGAGCTTCTCGTCGCGCACCTTCATCAGTTGGTCTTGAGCCGCGGCATAACGCTTCGAGAAGTATATATTCACGGGCATGATGGCGACCATAGTGGAGAATCCGGCAAGGAGGGCCTTCCATCCGAGCAACGAGACGAGGAAGGCCAGGGAGACGAGGAGCTTGAACAGGCTACCCGGGAACAGGTTTTGGAAGGACATGAAGTCAGATACGCGCTTGGCGTCGACCCCAATCAGGTTGACCACAGCCTGCTTGCTCTTTTTGAGAGCCTCAGCCTCATCCTCAACGACTTCGGGGACTTCTGGTCGGTCAGTCGCTGTCGATTCGGGAACGGGCCCTGCAATGACAGGCGCGGTGCCGTCGGCAGTCTCAGCGGCCTTCTTGTTGCTGGATCTCCCACTTCCTTTGACGTCCTTCTTACGCATGCTCTTTTCAAATATCAAGGCGCTCACCTGCCCGCGGACAGGAATAGCCAGTTCCGCAAATGATAGCCAAAATACATGGCTTTCGATCCAAGCCTGCGCGACAATCACGATACCAAGCCACAACACCCACATGTAGACACTCAGTGAGAAGTTCTCCTGGTCACCCCCTTTCTCAAGGATTCGAAGAAGCTGCAGAATGACCCACTGGGGCCCGAAGTTGAGGAAGGATGTGATGAGGGTGAGAAGCCACTGCTTGGCGAGGGCCATCTTGTGGGCGAGAATGATGGCCAGCCATAGTTTCCGTTTCGAGGCGCGCCTCTTCCAGTCGGCGGACAACTCAGAAGCCCGGGTGAAATGGTCTGGCCGAGGCAGATCGTCGAGGTCGAGCCGGTTCCGCTTACTGGCCATCTTCAGTAGATAGGCCGGCCAGCCCCAGGTGAAGCGGTCGAGAGCAGTGGATGTGTACATCCGATCAATGGGCTTTCCATCCCTGTCAAAAACTAAACCATTGCTGTCAGCCCGGAATTCCTCTTTCGTGTCGTAATTGTTCCACTCACTCTCAGGTCTTCGAGGGATACACAAACTAGCGACTGATAAACCAAGGGCTGCGAGGATTTCCAGGATGCGCATGGCGAAACGGACCGGATGGTGGGCCAACAGCTGCTCGAACACGGCTGTGCCCTGCACAAGAAGAATGACGAAGAGGATGAGACAGGAAAAAAACAAGTAAAGGCCCAGATTGTAAGCCTGGACTGTCTTCCTGCACGAAGCGACGGCGACGGCCTGCCACAGCAGCAGCATCTTCGCACACATGCCAGTCAGCACTGGATATCTGGAGGTGGGGTTATACAGGACGCAGTATGCTCACCGAAGCGCCTGCACCTAGCCAATCCTGGAGGAAAAGACCATCGTGGCCAGGTGGAAGAGTTGCAAGCACGGCCGTGGCGATGCCGGTGCTGCAAGCCAGAGCGGCAAAGAGCAAGATGAGGGTCTTTGGGAGCCTGGCGGAATAGGCTGCGACGGATTCGGGGGTAGCTTTACCATCCTCGTCTTCGTAGGTATCCTGCCTGGGCTGGCGGGCTGTGAGATGCAGAGTTAGAGTGAAGAGGGCGGGGATCGACACCAGACCAATGATTCCGAGGCCGGTCGCAACCGCCACCACCATGGAAGAGTCGTGGTGCATCTCGACTCGGTGTGTGATGGCAGTGAGGTTGGGGCGTGTGGGAGTTGGAGGTGAGATTTGTCTGCTCAATGTGCACCAACGCCTTGCTTTATTTGATCTTGGGGGCCGGGCTGTTGAGGAGGATTAGGCGATGGCATGGGTCCGATGTTCCCCGTTCTGGATAGGCAAGAGCACGCAAGCGTTCCCGCCTGGTAGACGCGGAGGCCCAGATAAGAAGGCGAAGCCGTGGACTAGTTAAGTACTCGGTAGGCAAAAAGGCCACTCGCAGAGGAAACCAGTCTCTCACTCGAGAGACTGGGCCGGCTGAGCTGAAGAAATAAGGAAATCGAAAGAGGGGCGACGAGAAGCTACCTCTGTCTCCCTCCCTCTCTCCCTCCCCCCTCCCCTTGTCTGTCTGTCTGTCTGTCTGGCGGAGGTGAGCAAGGCGATGATGACACTGCCGGTCGACTCACTTGCGGCCGCGGGCCGTATACCTTGGCACCTAGGCAAGCAAGTGTGTGAGCGGCTCTGCAGGGAGGCAGGCAACGTTGACTCACGCCGGGAAATGGCATGGCACATGATGGCAGGCAGACAGGCTGACAGGGGCGGCACAAGATTGGAGGTGCTTCCTTAGCTGCAGAATCCCACTGCTGCAGGGCTGCTGTGCGGTGAGCAAGCCTGGCAAGACCAAGGGTCCTGGTGCCGGTGGGTTGATAGCTAGCCGAGAGGGGATAGTGGCATAGTAGATGCTAGGATTCTAGGTGGCGGCCTTGGGGACGGTCAGACGGGTGGACGTGGCCGGACCCGGGCCTGCCCTTGAAGCCTGGCGACCGGGGCACCGGCGAGACAGCGGCCTTCAGTCACGGCAGCTCGAGAGGGGGAGGGGTGGTAAGCAACGGGCCGTTTCGAGGTCCGGTCTGGGAGAGCAGTCCAGCCAGCTGCCAGCCTTACAACGCAAGAATATTGAAACATGCTGATGATCAGTAGTGGGAGAGGAGTATGCTGGCAGGCTGGCAGGCTGGCAGGCTGGCAGGCTGGGGCCGCCCGAGACAATTCGAAACAGCACTTGGGTGTGCAGAGGTAGCTAGACTGGGCACAGAAACGTTGCCGTTTCTATCCCAGCTTTCTCAGGCGGCCGTTGCGCCACCATCTTTCCCGCCTGTTACCGTGGTAGGCAGGTGGTAGGCAGGCAGGCAGGCAGGCAGGTGCTGACCTAGCCACCTGGGTCGCCCTACCCACCTGCCACCGCAGCAGACGAGCAAGGGGACAGACATAGCCAGGCTTGCCAGGCTACCCGGCCAGCCAACAGCTTCCCACCCACCACCACCCTCTTGCCCAGGCACGGAGCACTCGCCCGCGTGCCAGCGGCACCACCCTACCACTGCCTTCCAAGGTTCGCAGCACAGCACCTGTTTGGAAACCGAGATCCGATCCGATCTGATCTGATCCGCAACAGGACAAGACAACCTGGGAGGCAAGACAGGCCCAAGTCCACCTCGTCCAGGCCGAGCCCACATGCCCGCTACAGATACCGCCCTCCCTCCCCCATTCAATCACCTTCACCTTCACCTCTGCCCGCGCGCAGAGACGCACCAAGCTACAGCTACCCTGGACCCCAAGCAGCAGGCGTCCAGTCCGAGGGCACGAGAGAGACATAGGCTGCCTACCTAGCCTACCCTAACCTACTCCCAGCAGCAGGCTCAGACTGCTCGCCGGACCGAGCCTCCAGTCGCGTCAGGGCACCGCCTCCACTCTGCAACGACGCGCCCTGACGAGTCCTGACGAGCCCTGACGAGCCCTGACGAGCCCAGCCCGGCCCAGCCCAGCCCTCCACCACTCGTGATCCACCGCTCGATACTCCCATCGAGCACATGCCACCATGAAGAGCACTCCCTTGATCATCAACTGGCATGATCAAAATGCCCCAATATATTCTGCCCATTTCGAGCCAGCAGGCAAGGGCCGTCTAGCAACTGCTGGTGGAGATTCCAACGTCAGGGTACGCCGCCCCCTCCTCGCCACATCCCCCATCCTCCTCCACCCCCAGCATCTTGGCTGACCTCACGTAGCTCTGGCAGGTCGAGAGGGACGGAGAGGACAGGAAGGTCGAGTACCTGGCCACCCTCTCCAAGCACACACAGGCCGTCAATGTTGTCCGCTGGTCTCCGAAAAGTACTTACTTCCTTGTCCCCCCGCACACACCAGCCGACGAGCTTCTGACGAGACCGTTCTCAGGCGAAACCCTGGCCTCCGCCGGCGATGATGGGAACGTCATCATATGGGTGCCCTCCGAGTCCAGCAATCCGGCCTTTGGCAGCGATGGCTTCGATGACAAGGAGAGCTGGCGCACAAAGCACATGTGTCGGTCATCTGGCTCCGAGATATACGACCTGGCATGGTCCCCAGATGGCTCGTACTTCATCATTGGGAGCATGGACAACGTCGCGAGGATATACAATGCTGCTACCGGTGAGGGATACCGCTCGGGGTCCTGTCTCCCTCGGCCGAGCTAACGGGCTGCGCGACAGGTACGCTGATACGCCAGATCGCCGAGCACAACCACTATGTCCAAGGCGTGGCATGGGACCCTCTGAACGAGTATATTGCGACCCAGTCATCTGACCGCTCCGTGCACGTTTACTCCCTGAGGACCAAGGACGGCCAGTATACGTTGAGCAGTGAAACCGACAAGTGTCCCAAGATTGCAAGTCACATGAAGTCTGACCTGCCCCCACGCCGCATCTCCTCCAGCAGCCCGGCGCCCCCCGACTTTGGCCACCGCGCCCAGCTGTCTGTCATCGATGCCGTGCCCTCCGTTGGCCCCGGCCTAACATCTGGTGCGTCGGTCGGGTCACCGGTGCCGTCCGCCCCTGGCACGCCCACCTCGGTCGCTCTCCCTATGAATCCGCCCAGCGTCATCAGCCACAGTCGAAGGTCCTCTTTCTCTTCGTCCCGTCGATCCGTCTCTCCGGCCCCCTCGATGCCCCTGCCTGCCGTCATGCCGATGGAAGCTTCGCCTAAGCCCATCCCAACAAGCACCAACGTCAAGAATGCTAGTCTCTATGCCAACGAGACCCTGACCTCTTTCTTCCGGAGGCTGGCCTTCACGCCAGACGGCAGTCTATTGCTGACACCGGCCGGGCAATACTCGTCACAGCAGACATCAACAGATGGGAAACCACACTACGAAGTTGTCAACACCGTGTACATCTACACAAGGGGCGGTATCAACAAACCCCCAACGGCACATCTGCCCGGGCACAAGAAGCCGTCCGTCTGTGTGCGTTGCTCGCCAATATTCTATGCCCTCAGGACGTCCCCACCTGCCACAAAGCACATTACCATCGATACATCCTCGTCAGAGGAACCAATCCCATCGTTACCAGAACCACTCTCAAAGCCGTCCCCTGCGACGTCTGTCATGGATCCACCACCACCACCGTCCTCCGAGCCCATGGGTAGAAGTCTTAGCACCGCTTCGGAGACAACGTCCACCTCAGCAGGACCGAAGGCGGCTTTCGCACTTCCGTATAGGATGGTGTATGCCGTGGCAACGCAGGATTCGGTCTTCATCTATGACACCCAGCAGCAAACCCCCATCTGCATCGTCAGTAATCTACATTGTGCCACTTTTACAGACCTTGCATGGTAAGATCTTGCAGTTGCTCCTTTTCAATATAGGCATTTACTAATTGACCACAGGGCGGCCGACGGCACGACCTTGTTCATCACGTCGTCAGATGGATTCTGCTCGACAGTCTCGTTCGCACCCACAGACCTTGGTGAGGTCTACAAGGGCGACATCTCCGCACACAGGCGCCGTCAGGACAACCCGGACCCTGTGGCAACGCCATCACAGAACACTCCTGTTCCAACACCAACTTCTCAGTTTGCGCCACCATCGCCATTCCCCAACGGCTCCCAACATCGGCATCGTGACTCCACGAGCTCCTTCGCGGCACCGTCCCCTCCGCCGGCAGCGGCTTTTGCCAACCAGCGGCCATCATCCCCCACCCGATCCAATTCTACCTCATCCGTCATTACGCAGAGCTCGACAGCACCCCCGCCACCAGGACCGCCTACCCTCGTTGCAGGTAGTGTGCCTGGCCTGACCGCCACCAATTCTGGCAAGGTGACCGGGGTGCCTATTGCAACTCCACCTGAAACCCCTCGGAGCACGGCTGGTAGTGTAGCCGGCACAAAGAGGGACCAGAGCGAGAGCGAAAAGGAGGATTCGGGGTCGCAGCCCAAAAAGAGAAGGGTCGCACCCACGTTGGTCAGCGGGCCCGCCACTGACCCGAAGCCTTGAAGGGATGTCCGTAATCATCGGGAGCCTTCACAATTTTTCCCAAGCAGGAAGCCGTTACGTGATCATCGGGGCGTCAACTGAAATAGCTGCTTCGGAAGCCTAGCAGAGCATGCGGTGGTGAGATGATGGTAATTCTTTGTTTATCTCGAGGGTAAAGCCCGTGAGCCCTTCCTCTTCAGCTTCAAGAGCTTCCACAGGTCAACAACCTGGCGTCGGGCCCCAACCCACGAAATTAAGATGCAGAACACGCGGAGCACAATCGCCTAGCGGTTGCTTTTAATTTACATTTGGCCGGGCGATAGGAGTGCGGATTTATGTTTTGATGAAACGGAAAGCATCACGTGTAATGCAAATCCTGGCAGAATACGCGGCAGTATAGTCCGGGCACATGTACGCCTGAGGCGTATCACGAGCGATTTTGGCGCGTTGAATTTCCTCCTCGTCTTTTCCGCACAAACCAGTGATGGTTGCCCTTGATCCTAACCGAGACATGCAATTCAAACCTATCTCCGGCTGGTCAAGGGCATGGTGGAACGAACCTTGCTTTGCCAGCCAACCTATGGACAAAACCAATGGAAGCATAGGCTAAATATAGGCAGGCATGCTATCCAACAACAAGAACCACAGAGGCTGGTTCATGTTTGCATTCTAGGGTTTTACCCTGACACGCAGGTGGAACCCTTCCCCAAGTCCCAAAGAGCCAACCCCCGCCCCCGCATTGTTCATATTCGCACTTATATGGCGGGTAAATACTCCGTGGGATTTCTTGGGACCTCCATGACGCTGGAAATCCCAGAGCCAAGCTCAAGCTCACGTGGCCGAATGTCAGTCCTTGTTGGGGCCCTGCTATTGAGGAATCGACGAGATCGACGACCATTGGCAAACGACGGGTGTTTTCCGCAATGGCGACGGGTTTGTCCTGACAGAGCTGGGCGTTGATAGTCAGTCGCTACCAAAGACACAGCAGCTCACAAGATGAGTTCGCCTCCACGGAAGAAGAGAGTGAACTCCGGGTTCGTGTCCAACCCGTTCGTCAAGAAGCGTAATCTGGAGTGGTCCATATCCCCGCCGCGTCCCCTCCAAAATGCCGACCGTGGGCCTAGTGAAGCAGAAGGCCCACGAACCGGAGCCCATCCACCTACGCAACTTGCAGACGAACAAAGTAGCGCAGGGAGATGCCTCCAAGACGACCCTCAGAAACCACGGGACGGGCTCTCAGCATCCGCAGCCATCGAGAATAACACAGTCAAGGTGACCGACCACCTCGACTGGTTTTCCAGCCTTCTCACAAAGGCTACCCTTCAGCCCTTCCCAGAAGGCCAACCCCGCCTCGCCATACCAGCATACCGGTCTCTGTATAACAATTCCTTCCAGTCCTCAGCCGGCGCCCATTTTGTCGTAACGCAGCACGATCATCCAGTTGCCGGACCCCACTACGATCTCAGGCTGCAGATCAATAAGGACTCATCGTGCTCCTGGGCGGTCATGTACGGGTGCGTATGTCTCATGGTGTTGTGTCTGGCTCAGTGCCTCAAGTGAGGCAACCCAACATACCAAACGAAAGTGCTCAGTATTTACGCCGCGACGCCTTGATAACCAGTCATGCCTTGACTAACAAAGAAGTCAGCCTCCCAGGAGATCCAAACTCGCGAGGCCGTACGGGGCGTGCGACGGGCGCGGGTGTACTCCGCTATGCAATAGAGACGCGGGTTCATTGTCTCTGGAACCACCTGATCGAAACAGCTGGCTCGCACACGGGCAGCCTTCTGGTGTGGGACACCGGATCGTATGAGGTCCTGCCGCCGCGGCAGACCGATCACGCCCCAGCGGACTCTCAAGAGGGGAGCTCGGACGCCGGCGAAGAGGAAGATGGCTGGGCAAAACTCACCCAACAGGAGAAGCTCGCCGCGGCTTTTTCCTCGCGCAAGATAAGACTGCGACTAAATGGCTCGAGACTTCCTCGGGGCTACGCCGTGAACATGCGCCTAACGAAGGACGAGGATGCCGCTGGGCGCGCCAAGGCGGCCAGGCCTGCAGGCACACGGAAGAAGAGGGGTGGGAAAGCGCCTCCGAAGAAGGCGCCGGAGGCGAGCAGTGAGAGTGATGGATCTGGCCCTGACACGAGGCCAGACCGCGAAGATGGAGAGGAGGAGGAGTTCAACGACGATTCCACAGCTGCGGGCAAGCATGTCGAAGGCATCTCTGGGGCGGAAAGAGAGCTTCGTGAGCTCGAGAATGCCGAGACCCGCAGGACAAACGCGTACTCTGGGGCTGTCAACTCTATTGGAAGTGTGTACCAGCGCCAGTGGTTCTTGTCTATAGATAGAGAGGAATGTGGGTTCGTGAGAACAAAGAAGGATGGAAGGGTGTGGTGGCAGCGGCAGCGGCAGCGGCGTGGTGAACCGTCAGTAGAGGACGAACAAGAAAATGACCAGGTTAAAGGCAGGCTTCAGTGGCCTTTCTACGTACGCGGCCCTGACCACGAGAGGAGTATCGTGACCGGTCGGCTTGGGGCCGATATACTGAGGGACGAAGGTGTTATTGGTTTCGTTCGGAGGAAAGGGTGGAGGCCTATCCTTGGGTGACGCACAAGGCCAGATTAGGCCTTTTCCAATGAGAACGGATATTCGCACAGGAATAAACGGCTGGTACACAGGTACAAATGCCCACCTGGGCTGCAGCCAATCAGAGGGCTCCATTCAACCTCCCCCGACTATACACACCACCCACACACACCACCTATACACACCACCCACCCTAAGGTACACACACTACCTATATAAAGTACTTTTTATACTCTTATATAAATTTATTAATTCTTTTTTATTTATTAAATAAAACTTTTTTATTAAAAACTTTATATAAAAGTTTTTAAATTATTAATTAATTATTAATATTATAAATTAATTTAAAAGTATAAACTTTTATTAATAATAAAAAATAATAATAAATTATTAAATTAAAAGTTATAATAAAAGATTAGAAATTAAGGGTTAATATATAGAGTTAATAAGTGTGAATTTTGGTTTTATATAGTGAGTGGGTAGTGCAAATTAAGATTGGCGCACTGGGGGGCATTTGTACCTGTGTACCAGCCGCTTTTTCCTGTGCGAATATCCGTTCTCTTTCCAATAATTTCCCTAAGCCATTAGTAATCGTCAGCTTTAGCCATTGCTGAGTAGGATACAGTAGATACGGACTGGGATGGTGTCAAAGCCGAAGGTAGGTTTTGCGCTGACCACATGCAAGGATTGTAGAGTCTGTGGGCGCCGGAGGAAGTCGAGTTCGGGGACATGGGAATAAACTCCAGAGATAGAACTACCCACTGCCTCAGAGACAAGCTACAAAGTACTGTGTATGTCAGCTGGGACAACAACAACGAAGACGCTGCTCGGGGTCCAAATAGAGGATCAAGTCAAACTTGTCCAATCGGCCAAATCAAATCGGCGGCAAGTACCGATGTCTTCACATTTAAATCACACCAGTTGATGTTCCTGGCTTGCGGTAATGAAATCACGGTGCATGTCCATGTGCTTCGATGTTGAACACCTTTTATTTTGCATATGGAGTGGGGATGAGCCCTGAAGACCGACTGACGCGGCGCAAGTGCCTCGCTGGAACTTTAATTATTATCTACCTAGGTATTTGCCTCTCCGGGCACATAATAGAGCTGCGGCATCAGCGAAATGCTATGATAGTTTCAGTAAGTGTGAGCTCTTAGGGACTCGCAATACTCCACAGATATACGTACATCTACAATGTCACGTCGACATTTGAACGTCCTTCTCTTGTACTGGCCCAGTGACAGCATCCCCACGTTGGCTCCTGAAGTCGTCTGCCACCTCATCAAGTGACGTTGTTGTGCTCGTAACAAACAATTGCCCAGTGTTGAGTAGGAAAACATGGGTCGTAGACAGTTGTCTTCATATATGGCCACCACTATCCTTGCTCATAGTTTCAACCCATGCTCAGAATTACTTGTAATTGTGACTTGCAACATTCTTTCAATCCCCTCGCTGTGATCCTTTGATTTGTACACGATCTCCGTCGCATTCTCACACCAACAACCCACGCCGATCTTCCTTAAACTCATACCATGACATGTAAAGTCCACAGAATTGTCCCCTAATTCGGGCTGATCGCTGGATGATACTGCTGCTGATGACCAATAGGCTGGCCCTGGGCCTCGTGACTTCCCATGTGAGGACCTGGGACCTGTCCCACTGCGGGCTGCTGATAGATCACGCCCTGCTGCTGCTGTGGATAGTAAGAGGTAGGCTGCACAACGGCAGCCGCGGCGGTGGCTGGCGGCGGCTGGTACATCTGCTGACTCTGCACCGGACTTGGTGTAGCCACAGCCGTCGGGTATGAGCTGGCATACTGTGGGCGGGGCGAGACGTTCTGCAATGGCTGAGGTTTCTCGCCGTGGACAGGACCGGCGGCTGGGAAGCCAGATTCCTCGCCGGACTCGGGGGAGATCGGCCTATTGTGAAGACCCGCTGAGCGGTGCCTGTGCATCATGACGGAGTGCACGGACAATGAAACGATGAAGAGGATGCTTGCCTCAGATATGAGTCTTTTGCTTCTCGAGAAGGATGATTGTAGGATGGGTGGTGAGGTATCACTTACAATTCTATTCCGCCCACCCCAGCCGCGGCACCTGCAACATTAAGAATCAGCTTTATCTCAACACAGGAAGAGTAGGCCACGAAGTGGTCATAGCATGCATGTCTTGAAACCTGCAGCCCCTGGGGTCTTTGTTATATAGGCTCAAAATGGTGTACGCGCAAAGGGGAAAGATCGTATCCAGAAGCTGCTTACATAGACACCCTGCAATCATCATGTCGGTTCCGCTGAGGTCATAAGTTGTGCAAGTAACATAATAATCGCCAACGCATACAGTGTTTCCCCCAGCAATGAAACCTGCTACCTGGGAAGCTAGGAGGGCGAAGGAGGCGATCCAGAAGACCATTCCAAAAATGTCCAAGGCCAAGATCGCCCAATAATTATCTGCAGTATTTGGGCAAAGAGATCAGTAGTTGACACGAGGGAGAAGAATAGGGTGTCTGGCTGAGAATCCAAGATGTGCAAGTGTCCACTTACAAACAACTGCTGGGCCAAACTTTGCAATAATAGAGTAGACTGTGATGATGAGAGTGGCGACGGCCTGGTTCACTACGAGGTCAGATCCGTCTAGTGTTTTCAACCGTACTTAGTAGTCATAATAGAACCCACAGTGAATACACTCAAGGCAATGCCGGCAGCGCTGTAATAGATAAGCGAATAGGCACAGAGACCCAGGACGACCACAGCCAGGATGAGCTGGACGAAGCGCAAGGCGATGAACCCTTTTGGGTAGTTGGGTACGTGTTGTCGACCCGCAGGGCGGTGAGGCGAATACTTGCTTCTGCTCATCGTAACTGGTTTCTGAGGCAACAAACGGGGACGAACCAATAAGACTGAGGTCCCCTACTTCTCAAATTTGTTCAGAAGTGCACTCGGGAGATAGTTGATAGCCCTCAAGCAGATATACTGTTATTATAGGCCCGCTTGTTTCATGAAAGAGTTTTCGAGGCAGAGAAGAGCAGAAACAGACACAGGTTTTGTGCTCGAGGTGTCATGGGGAACATAGCCCTTTCTATATAAGTCCACCACCCTTAGGCCTTAACAATGCGCCTGTGAGCCTCAGCTTGATCATTGGATAGCCTAGACCACATTCGGATGAGAGGCTTGTATTGGGATCCCACAGGCCCCTTCTGGCAATTTGCGTGGTGGCTCAACCATTGGTGAGAAACCTATGTGCTCGGGCTGAGACATAGCCTGCCAGCTTGATCCTCAAAAGAACCTATCATACCATGCCGTGAGGGCGGGCACCATGTTGGTCGCCTCAAGGCTGAATGGTGTCTCACGCTGATTCGCCCGGGCAGCGAAGCCCGCAGAGCAGCGGGGATGCGGCTGAAAGTGAGCTCCGATGGACGGCGTGCTGAAGGCTTTATTTATACACATTTTCCAACTAGTTTTATCCTCATTCCATACATGTTTAAAGCTATATATAAAACCTAGGCATAATAATAAATACTTAGAAAACTAATATTTAAAAGAAAGATAATATTTATAAATAATTATATTTAAATGTTAAGTTTGAAATATTTAATATTATATAAAAATAAATATATTATTTTATTAATTAAAATATAAAAAAATGTATTTATTAAAAATTATAAATTTAAAACTCATATAATATAATTAAAGTATATATACTCATTAAGTAATAAAATAAAGTAATTTGTAATAGGGTTTATAATTAGACACTTATTAGTTTAAATAGTCTAAATTACTTTTTTTCTATTAGGAGCTGGTCAGCCCGAGTCGTCCGTACCCGTTCTCAGAAGACTCATCAACCTACCAAGCAAGGCCTCTCTATCTTTGCACACCTCTAGATGGTATTAAAATTAACGAGCAGTAGTGTATCTTGTGAGTTTGTAGGAGAAGATGCCGATTGGCCCGACGCGCTTCTCTGGTTGACCAAGCTCCAGACCGCTCTCCCGCACCTTGTGCGACTCGATCAGGCGGCATGCCCTTCAGCTGCCACCTGATCTAGCGAGTGACTCGACAGAAAAAGCCGGAAGTGGTCACACCTCGAGTTGAACTTGCCCTTTTTTGCCGGGACGCCACGGCCCGTTCCCGACATGGCGCAAGTTACTCGGTACCCATGACTGACTATTGAATGCTATAATAGATACCTAGGTACGTAGCTGACCATTGTCCAAGAGATCCGTCCCTACAGCCTCCTGGACTTTTAAACTTGGAATCCAAGGTATTCCCAACGCGCAGATGGCTTGTTAAGACGAGATGACCGGAGACAAAGGAGCCTAGGCCAGTAGCAGTGCTCGAACACGTGGAGACATCTGCAAATACACTAATCAGCAAAGTCAGCAAAGTCGGAATTTTCTTCTTTCTTCTTCATTTTCGTTTTGTGCCGGCAGCTCGTACCTCTCTCGAGTTTGTATCATATCCGCCTGAGGACGAGGCTGAGCCGGTACCATGTCTCAAGCCATCTCTCAGGCCGGGGCTGAGATGGGGCCGATTGAAGCGAATGCTCAGTCCTGAGGCTGATCTTGATAGACCTCCCTCCCAGTCTTTCCGCTTCCAGGTCAAGCGGGGCCCGTGTTCCATGGAGATTTCGCCCCAGTGCAAGAGACCGTATTGGGCTGATTGGGAGGTCCTCTAAGCCGTGCTTATCTTACAAAATCCACAGAGCTGCACCCTGACGTCAGAGCACCCATCAGTCAGTCATCCACTGATCGGTCATCACAGGCATCTTCCATAGAGACACTGAGGTAAAAGCTTCTTAATATTGCCTGCGGAAGACAACTACGAACAATCAGCTGCGTTTCCTCGTCGTCTTGCACCCGCCCCCCTCTTTGACCGACCATCATCCGGATCTGTCTTGAGTAGAAAAAGAAAATACGTATTTACATGCCCATCTATAAAACATCTCCCCTGTTCCCCCATGGTGGCATATATATGTACAGTGATCGAGTGTCAGGTAGTACAATGTTCCGTGAACTCATAGGAACCATTCCTCAAGGACAAAGCGTCCTGAAGGTGCCAGAGCGTAATCTGGAGAGAACGCCACAGCCGTGCCACATTATGATGAAAACAGTGAAGTTATTAACTGAAAGCCTCGCGCTCCTCCGGTCTGGCAACGCCATGAGCCGAGATGCTCATGTTGGTGGGAGGCTCAGTTGAAAGCAGGAGCGAGGAAATGGAGAGCCGGGTATCAAAGCGCACAAAACATGCTGACGTTGAGCTCCGTGGATCAAGTGACGAAGCTGGGCAACGTAGGCCCAGTGCCCACCGGAGCTAACGCTTGTCTCACTAAACATCGCAGTTCCAATACTAAGAGAAGTCTTCGTCTGCCGAACCCAACTGGCCGATGCGTTGGACAAGCTCCTTGGTCTCGCGGGCGATCTCAAACGCGATGGGCGGCAGCGTCTGTGTCCACATGCGCCACTCGCGGTCGCGCTCATCCTTGCCATCAGCAGCCAGGTCCTGGCCGCGCTCGCCAGCCTCCATCAGACGCTGCTGGGAATCGGCGAGACGTCCGATCATGTCGCCGTTGCCAGATGCCTCAGTCTCGGAGATGACCTTGCCCACGGTCTCAACAATGGAGCGAATCAGGGGTTCAATTCGGCTAATGTCAGCGGCGCCTCGAATCAAACCGACGAGGCTTTGGATGGTCTGCACCAAGATGGCAGTCTGGTCATCAAGATATACCTATTTCAGCCTTGTCAGCGAGGCAGGTCCTGATAATGTGGTCGGCGGGAGTGGGTTCATGGACTCACCTTCAGATCCTCGGTCCTGGAGTCAACCCGGCGCATACCGTACCCGTTCGACGCGGGCGGGAACCCATTCCCATTCGACTTATTGTACGTTTCGACCGATTCGCGCGGTGAGTTCACTGGGCTGTACGCAGATGAGTCCATGCTGGATCTCCTCCCGAGGCCCTGGAAAGGGGGTGGAGGGGGCAGTTCCTGTGGGTAGGGATCTTGCTGGTAGGCGCTCTGTATGGATTGCGACTTGGCCGTTCGAGGGGAGAAGACGCCGACAGAGCCTACCGGGGTCGCTGTGCCATCATCCTCCTCCTCGAGCTCTCCGTCGGGAGTGACCCGGATCTTGACAGCGCGCAGCAGGTCGACTATTGCGCCAACGAGGTTTGAAGCCGCGGCGTCAAGAACGGATATAGGTGACATGCCAGCTGATGTCGCAAAAGTCTTGGCAGCAGTGATTAAGTTGTTCGCCATCGAAGAGACGCGGCTCTTGAGCTGCTTCCGCTGTTGTTGCGATTGGTCGTTGTTTGATGGCGAGGCGTCGATATCCTTAGTGATGCGCCGCACGCTCATAACAACGGATTTCATGGAATCGATGACCTTATCTGGCTCTTCCACACGGGCACGCCTGAGCAACTCGTCGATGGCAACCTGGAACTTGGTGACGTGGACGTCCTTAACAAGTCCAGATTCATCAGTAAAGCCCTTTTCACGGACGTATCGGCCAGCGTCTTGATCGACAGGCATGCTCATGGACGAAGATCGCATGCTGCGCAACTGGGTCCTTGCCCTGGCATAACGGTTGCGCCAGTCCTTGACTTCCAGCTCCAGGGTCTCGATCGTCTTCTCGAGTTCACCTTGCTTGGCCCAAGAAGAGCCGCTCTGCGCGGACAGCATCTTCATCTCCCGCAGAAACTCCTGGGCTTCCCGCCTGACTTGCATGGTCGTTTGCCGCTGCTCCTCAAGCGCTGATCGCAGTTCTTCATTCTCTCGTACCAGCTCGGGATCGTTCCGACCAGAACCAATCTCTGAGACGGAGGATCGGGCCTCCTCGATTTCGTCGCGAAGTTGTCGGGTCTCGTTGGAATGCTCCTCCCTAAGACGGTCGATCTGCTCCTTTAAAGAGTCGTTCAGGTTCTGGGCGTCTGCAAGCTGACTTTCCAGTCCTAAACGCATGTTCGACAGCTCCGTCTTCTCAGCATTAGCCGCAGTGGATCTCGACCGCTCGCCGTCAAGTATCTCGTTCATCGCTTCATCTTTTTTTCTTAACTGGTCTTCCATGTTATCCAGCTTTTCACGTAGCTCTCGTAATTGTATCTCGTAGTCGTCCATGATTCGTTTGTCATTCTGTCGCTTCTGATTAGATTCGCTCATGAGAACTGGTTCACGGCCTTTACTTACTTCTGACGGAACATCGCTCTGGTCTCTTCCACCGAGTGCGTAAGCGTCCTGTGCTTGATCGTCTTCAGGTCCTTCATCGTCCTCCTCGAGCATGGTGCTCTTGTTCGGTATTATCGTATTGCTCTGAAATTGTTTCGGGGTTGGGCGATCGTAGCCATTAGAGGGCATGCTGGGGGAAGGGGGGATATCGTACCCATCAACGATGGATCCAGCCCCGCGTATGGAACTAGCATTGCTAGGCTGTCTTCTCCCCATGCCGCGTGGGGGATACCCGCCCATCGGAGTCCCAGCTCTACTAGGAGCTCTTGTCGAGACTGGACTCGACAATCGCGGGATGTCGCCGGCCACGAAGCGCGGGTATCTTCGCTCCAGTTCGCAGAAGACATCTGTGGCGAGATCGCGGAAGCGAGGAGGGCCGAGCGAGGAGAGCTTCTGCCGGGCCTGGTTTCGCTTCGGGTGGAAGGTGTCCTCTGGGATCAGGTAGGGTGGTGGGCCGACATTGGGTGGTGCATTTGGAGGCCGACGGCTGAAGGCCTGCCGTCGCAGCAACTCGTCGAACACATCGGTACTGAGTTCGAGAAATTGAACCCCGGTAAGCCGCTGCAGCTTGTCGCGAGCCTTGTTCGCAGGAGGATTTGGCTTGCCGTCGCGCGACGTCTGCGATAGATAGCGCTTCAATGCCACGTAGTGTTCCCCTAATACTGCTTCAACGTTCACCTCTCGCCCGCTGCGGCCGCTTTCGCTTCTCGCGTAGAGATCAGTAGCTGTGCTCGATCGACCGACAGAAGGTGGCGGCGAGGGCCCGCCGGCACTCCTTGGACCTGGTGGGAAACCACCGTTCATTGGGCCGTTTGGTCCCCCTCCTCCGGAATATGGTGGTGATGCTAGTTGACCCTGCTCTAGGAGTGGGTTGGGACCTCGAGGTGCGTTTGGGTAAGGACCATCGTTGTTCATTTCTGTTCCAGTCGGCCAGATTGTACCTGCTGTAGACACCGGGGATAATGGGGGGTTGGCGCGAGCAGCAAGCATAGTTCGTCAGGCGGTGGCTCGGTCGAAAAGAGTCTGGTCTCTAGGTCTCAGGCCGGCCGGGGTGGGTGCACCAGGTGGTTCAGTCCCCTGCGGCCAAAACGATTGCAAACAGTATGGGGTTGACGGTCTTTTGGAAGGGGGGAAGGCCACTTGGGCTGCACATTCGCAGACGGCGATGGTCGCCGTTGCCGTCAGCTGTGGTGTATAGTGTGGTGTAGGAATGCAGAATGCGGGACGAAGCCGCGCTCCGATTCACCCCGTTGCCCGCGTCGCAAAAGTGGGCAGGCAGCTGAGGCTGGGTGACTGTTTAAGCAGGAATCCGAAACGTCAACCCGGCCGGGCAAGGATGCAACGCCCCAATTAGGGAGATCTGTCTCGGAGCGGGAGGGATGGGGTCGGTGGCTGCAGCCCAAGGCGTGACCGGGCGGTAAGATAGTTGGCCGTCTGTGCCCGCTCGAGGTTAACAAAGGCGATCACGGGGGATTTTAAGTTGGCCGTCCTAGCAGCAGCCTCGTCCGTCTTGGCCTGATGGTGCGATGCTGGATTAGGTGTGTGGGGGACGTTGTCGACGCCAAAGTCAAAAACAGAGCCGCCGTTTCGCCGCTGTGACAAAGGTTGGCAATGCAACACGGGGGGTGGATGTTGCGGGCTTAAAGGTTAAATAGGGCTGAAGCGAGGCCAGATGTTGACTGAGTCGAGGTCGAGCGACCAAAAACAACATTCGCTCCTGGCGTGCCAACTTTTGGATGCTTGGCCGTAGGTTTCCCCGTTGGATAGACCACGCTGACACGACGAGTCCAGGCGCACTTTTGGAGTGGACGGAGTTCCCCTGGCCGTCGGGGCGCACAATGGATATCGGATGATTTGACTGTGCTCGAATCCTCGCGGGTGGCGGGTCGCTGACCTCGGAGCTCGTGCAAGACGCAGATGGAGGCGGCGGCGGCAGCGACCAAGCTGCTACCAGAAGCGAATCGGTTGCAGTGTGGGGCCCAGGTCGTTGTGAAGGCAAGGTCGTGGGCAAGAAAGAGGTCGGGAATCTTTAGGGGGCTTATCGAAAGTCGGTATGGATTCGAATTATTATGACTAGGCGGGCAGGTGAGAGTGGCCGTTGCACTGTCATATGCATCTGCTTGACTCGATCTTGGTCGAATCGGACTGGCGGCAGGCGACAGCGATTGGCGACTGGCGACTGGCGGCGGCGCGTCTAGGAGGAGTCGATGTCGAGCTCGAGCTCGAAAAGAGACGAAGCAGACGCGGCGGCTCGTGTGCGAGGGCGAGGGCGAGAGCGTGGCTTGTCTCGGGAGCTCGTGCTGAGGGACGAGCAGAGCACAAGCGCAACACCGAGTACAGCAAAGGAGAAGTGGCCAGGGTTGGGTTTAAGCGAGTGAGCGGTCGAGAGATATTCCACGCATCAGCTACTACCTATGCGTACAAGGCATGAACAAAGAGGGGGGGGGCAAAAGGAGCGTCGAGAAGAGTCTGAAGAAAGCGGAAGAGGGGGAAAAAAGAGGTGTCTCCCTAGCCCGGACTGAACGATTTGAGGATCGATAAGGACAAGGACGGACTTGCAGAAGTTTCCGCAATTAAAAAAAAAAAGACCACCACCACAGATGCAGCCAGACGGAGATGGTGAGCTGGTTGCTTGAAGAGTGCTTTTACTGTTGGACTGGCTCCTCCCTCTTTGGCCGTGATGGCTGCTTGTAACCCCCCTGGCTAGACCGGATTGTGCCTGGCAGCGTCGGATTTCATTTGATTAGCAGCGAATCCTAGGCTCCAATTCGAATGTCCTGTACACCACCATCTAGGTACCCAGATACCTGGGTACCTCGGTCTCCAGGCCTGTATTCCGTACCGCTCGCTGCTTCGATGGCATCGATGGTTGCGCCCGTGGTACCTGCCAGCCAGCCCGCCCGCCAGCCCGCCAGTTCAAGCAATTTCTCCCCAAGGACGGTTGCTTGGCAGTGCCTAGACATGCTTGCAAGGTGGAATAAAGGAGGCCCTGCCAGAAGTTGGCGGCGGCGGCCTGGACGCATGGAAGCGACGGTGGGAAGGAGGCCTTTCCCGGCGCCTTCAGCAGCGACAGGGGAGCGACCCACCAATCATGAGGCGTGTGCTGGACGTCCCCAATCTCCAGCATGCCATGCACCCCCCTGATCCACCCCCTGGCCCACTGCTATACAGTGAACCCGGGACGGACCAAAGGCGTGGGGCACCACCCAGGCCATCGACGCGCCGTGCAGTCGCCTTCTGGCAGGTACGGACCTACGGAGTACACTACATACAGTACCTAGGTGCCCTTTGACAACCATTGACGGCTTGAGCCAGGTACAGGGAGGCAGTACTGATCGGTCATGCACAGGCACGCGAGTTTGTCCCCACGTGAAAGAGGCCGATAGAGGCCGTCACGGTGTGAATACCATGTGTCCTCTGCATCTGTGCCTGCCGATCCACCGGTCTCGACCGCGAGGACGGGGGCCAAGGAGACTTGGGAGATGAAGTCACGGCAGCCCAGCGGTGGTGCTTGCCTGTGTGTCGGCCTCCGTCTGCTGCTCGCGGAGCCAGCATTGCACATACCACGGATATGCGTCAAACAGTTGGGTCATGGGCGAGCAATGCTGGCACGGCGGGACAGGGCCAGTGACAGGGCCAGTGACAAGGTTCTGCAAATCCCATTTCATAATCCACTCCGCTAATTTGTACCCCAGGAAATTCAACAGCTGCGCCCACAACCGTGCTTGTTCAACCCGCAACGCCAATGCAGCCTCGGCGCCCCGAATCAAGCCCCCGGGTTTGATCAACCCGTTGGTTCCCTCTCCCAACGCGTCGCCCGTCACCTGAGATCGGCTGAGTCTCCGGAGTTGACATTCAGACCGGGCTTCCGTGGGCCTGTCGTGTGGACCTTTGGAAAAGCCGCATTTGCTGCCGTTGCTGTGTACAGGGGCCTGGTCCGCAACCAGCAATCAGCAACCAGCAACCAGCAACCAGCAACCAGCAACCAGCAGCCCGCAGTCCGCAAGGCACCGTGTCCGTATCAACTAGTGGTAACAACCAAGCGGAAGATTGCAATCTCGGCCATCGTGAGGCTGTGCAGCCTTCTCTCTGCCTCCCTGCGTTCCCGCGGCCCCGTCCATTAGACCCTTGCCGACTCAGCCCTCGAGCTCAATTTCAGCGCCTGGCACTCGTGTGCTCCGCGACGGCGATTGGCCCCGAGGTTCGGGGGTTTGAAAAGTCCATGTCGCATTGCTAAACTTCATCCCAACTTTTCCCATTCTTGTACCCCTTCCCACCCCGGCCTGCGGCATGAGAAAACGTGGTCCCTTCGGCAGCTGACAGAAGCTTCGATAATCCGAGTCAGGCCGCAGCGCCGGGGAATGCCCAGTCAAATATACGTGAGCACGTACCACAGTACCGCTCAGGCGGAAACACGCCCGTTTTCCCCACCAACTCTGCCCAAGTTCCCTTGTCACGAACACGACGGGACGGTTCCGGGCTAGGACCTTTCCGGGAGTAAATAATAGATTGGGTATCATCAATTGCTTCGATCAGTTCACCGATGGTAGGCAACGGCCATGCCCAGGAAGCCCCGTGCATCTCCCCGCCACTCCCGATGTCTGCTCCCTCCGCAACGAAACGCCTGGGGCTCTGTGTCCCTGCCGGCCTCCATGAAACGCAATGCAACCCCAGCTCAGCTACTCTTGAGCTTGACCGGAGCTCCTGCCCGGGGCCGATCTTGTTACCTGGGAGAAACATGTAGCCAGCCCTGCTGGCCCCGGAGTGATTGGCCACAATTACACTTCGGTTTTGCGGTAGCACCCGTCATTGATCAAACGGATTGCAAACATTCCTCAAAACCAAGATAGTGTCCACGTAGCAGGAAGATTGGGCCACCGCTCCTGCCACTCTGCCAGGATGTCGGGGACCCGCTCGTCGAATCCGGATCGTGCCGCCGCGCTTGCCCCGTCAAAGGCCGCCGCACCGACAGCCTCACGCTCCTCCTGCGCGGCCTTGTTCAGCGAGTTGGCCAGGTCGACCATGCCTCGCCCCCCGACCGATGCCTCCTCGTGATTGTCCTTGATGTCAATATTGATGACGTGGACCGGCCGATTGAGCGGTGAGCCCCTGGCAAGCAGGTCGTCGACCACGTTATCCCAGCACCTCTCCTCGCAGGTGATGACGATGTCGACCAGCCCCATCTCGGTGCCCTCGCGGCCTTGGTCTTGCTCACGGCCGTGGCGCGGGTGCCCGACCTGCCAGTCCTGCCACCTCTCGGGTCCCCATTTGATGCCTCGATTCCTGCCCAGCATGTTGAGCAGGCCGTTGGCCCGGTACAGGCGCGGGTCCTTTCCCTCGAGCTCCTTATACATGCTGTCGTAGGAGGTCTTGTTGAACTGGTAGACGTTGGGCTGGGTGATGGTCGGGCCGGGTAGACGAACGAGCGAGCCGGTCCCGAAGGAGATGACGGGGTAGCCGGCCTCGGCGAGGCGAAGGTGGCCTTCCATGGATCTTGGTGACCATGTTAGAGAGGACGAGCCAGCCACAGGATGTGGGGAGACGACAAGGGCCGTACCTATTCTGATTACTTGCGCACACCGTGCAGAAACGCAGCTTATAGCTCTCTGGCCCCTCGCTTGCGCCATCCTGAGCCCCGGGCGCAGCTACGGCCCCATTGGTCGCTTCTGCGGCCGCCATGGTTCTTCTCAATGAGGTCACGGCGGATCCTGCTGGTCACGCGTGTTAGCCGGCATCAAGACAACGAGTCGAACAGCGGTGGTTGTTGAGGCGGATGTAGGCGTGGCACGATCAGAAATAAAAGCGTATACGGTATAAAGTGAGTCATCAAACGGTTTCAGACAGCTCCAATAATGAATTTCATCATGTAACGGCAGAGGGTTGGTTGGGGAAGAGGAGGCAGCCTACCCAGATCTTGTAGTCCTCGGTGGCACGGAGGCAAGTCGCGACGTGGCTGGGCTTTGATGAGATCTGCACCTCGTCACAAGACGGGCAACGCCTCAAGACCTCTCACTTCATCCGTAGATCTTGGCTGGGAAGACGACGGCCGCTCCTCAAAGTCAATGTCGCGGTGTTGCGTCGCGTGGCTGAGGTTGGTGGTGGGAAAAGCTTGGTTGACAAACAGATGTGTGCGTGAGGGGCCTGGAGTGGGGTGGGGCGACGTGCGTCCCACTCGGTTCAATCCGGCGTGTGATTGGTGCCAGCGAAAGAGCCTGCCGGTCTTGCAGTCCTGCCAGGCTGCAACCGACGGAACGAGTCGACCTGAAACGGACGGGCTAAGCAGGGGCGGGTGGGTCCTTAAAATAGAAACTGCCCATCAGCCTTGTGAGCACAGGTTGTTTACTGTAGCAAAGAATGCTCTTGTTCTGCACCGTGAATGTGGGAGAACACCAGGCGGGCGGATATCCTCAGTACTACTAGTTCCCCGGGCACGGTGCCCGTGTGTGTTTGTGTTTGTGTTTGTGTTGGTACACACGTGTGTGTGTGAAACAACTTGATACGGGCTGAAAGCACGGGAGGGTTGTGCAGATTGTTCTGTTGTACATTTCATAATTGACAGGGCGAAAGCTGAAGATAGTGCAGCCAGTTTGGTGATGCTGCCTGACCAGCAACACTTGAAAGCTGGTGACAGTGGGTGTCGCGGACTCGCGGGGAGCTTCGAGATGTGCTCCTTGGAGCGGAACTGACCATCACCATCAGCTTGGAGAGGGCGCCGACTGACCACGGCACCAGAGAGGGCTCGGCAAGAGTCATGATATCTCGGCCGAGATCCACAGCACAGGGACCAAGGCATCGGACGATCCGCAGGATCTCGATCAATGTAGTTTGTTGTTCTGCGGGCCCCCTGACGTCCAGAAACCCGCCCAAAGGGATGACACCGACACCGACACCGACGACGAAGACGAAGAGGAGGACGAGGACGAGGACGAGGACGAGGACTTTCGGGGCCTGCACGTTGGTCCAGGCCACATCTACCTAAGTAGCATTTGAGGTAACTGGGTACCTGGGTGTGTATGTGGGATGAGAAACCCAAGGCATAAAGTCCAATATGGTCAGTGTGCCTGTGGCTTGTGGGCCTGGGAATGCAGCGCAGACTACCGGCGCTGCCATGGCTCGCTCATGCTCCGTGATGAGTGCCTCGGTCAGCCAGTCCGGCAGACAATGACGGCGGAGTTCGAGTCCTCGAGTCCAAGACAGACAGACAGGCGGACGGACGGACAATGACCCCCCTGACCACCCGACGTTCCAGGCCATGCTCACGGACCAGCCTGCAGCTACATCAGGCCCTCTCTACCTAAGCTTGTACGTAGACATGCGCACTGCGGGGTTGGCAGGTTGGGTGTTCGGCGGCTGGGTTGGACGCCTGAGTGGTGGGTGGTGAGTGGTGAGTGGTGAGTGGTGAGAGCCGAGGGCGAGGTTGTAGAGCGCGCTTATTTAGCCCTGTTGCCCGTCCGGTTGGTGGACAAGGGCACACACACGATAGGAGGGGGGGCCTGCAGATCAAACTGACTGACTGTCCGTCTTTGGTCCGGGTGGATCCTACCGCCAGGCCTTTCCAAGGTTCCAGTTTGCTCTCCCGCGCGAGCAGACTAAGTAAGTACACTAGTCTACCAGGACTACTCAGGCTGTCAGGCTACTCCGTACCCCGTGCAAGCCTCCTCCCCCTCCTCCCCCCCTCAGATCCCTCACAATAGCATACCTAGCATCGACATTACCACCGAGATTCGACCCGACCATCCGGATCTCGACTGGGGCCCTCTTTTGAGGCTCATTCCAGCCCGCCGTCAATCTTCCATGCCGTCCCATGAATAGCATCATCTGGCCCCTCTGCATTAACTCAATTTCTGGACCCGCCAGCGACCCCAGCCTGCTGCGTGTTTCCTGGGCTGCGCTGCGCTGTGCTGCACGACCAAGCCCCAAAACCCGCAAACCCGTAACCGCAACAAGCCTGCTTCCCCACGCCGTTTCGTCAGCAGCAAAGCACCTCTCGCTCCGGGCTACTCCTCCCCCTCCCTGCCCCCCTCCCCCCCAATCGGCCAACTGCACTGCACCGCACCGCACTGTGACTGTGAAGCCACCCAGCAACCTGGTCGCAGCGTCGTCCGAGGCCCATCCTGAGCCAGACACACGCCTACCCTGCTGATCCGAATCGATTCGAATACTTCTCGATTCTCCACACAACTCGCGACTGACTCCTGGCACCACCGCAAAAAGATTTCGCCTTGCGCCGCCGTCTTCCCTTGTGGCAAGCCCGGCCAGGCAGAGGCAAGGCAAGCCGCGAGTCCACCAGGGCTTCCTCGCCCTCGCAGGATTGCTCTCCCCCCCTTCCAATTGACCCAATTGCTCCTTGGGCGCCCTGCCACCGTGCCCGCCCACCGTCCACCACCCACCGTCCACCGTCCACCGTATACCGTATACCGCCCACCATCCACCGTCTACTACTACCGTCCACCGCCCCTCGTCCTCCAGGTGGCCCTCAACGACACCGCTCCACAGCCGAGCGACCGACACTGGCTTTGGCCCTGGGACACTCGTACTGGGCACGGGCAAGGCGGTGCTCACTGCCCGGCCCGCGGCATCATTTTGCGACATCGCACGCGGCGTACCCACGGCCTGACTCCAGCCGAACATGACCACAGCCATGTCCGCGACCTCCTCACCAGCAACATCGCCCCCTCCAGCCGTCTCCTCTCCGACGTCCAACCCCAACCACCCGCCTCTGCCCCCAATCATAACCTCCTCGCCCCAGGCGAAACGATCCACCCTGCCCCGGCCGGTCTCCATGTCACAGGCATCCAAGGACAGGCTCTCGCAGTATTCCGTCGGCTCCGTGCCTTCTCGGTCGCGCCCGCCCTCTCATATATTCCCCATGTTCCCGTCCAGCCTCCCGTACGCCCTCGTGCGGGACTTTGCCTACCCGACCGCCCATCCCATGCACTATGGCCCCCCGCCGGAGCCCTCGCAGCCGCCCTCGGGCATGTCCACCCCGGCGAGCGAGTCCCGCCGCCTGTCCGACTCGGCATGGGAGGGCAAGACGAGCTGGGACACCGGCGCATGGGAGAGCCTCAGCAAGGTCAACGACCTCGCGCCAATCTACCTCGGGGACGGGCCTCCCTGGAGCGAAGACGAGGACCTTCAGAGCCCCGTGGTGAGCTCGAGGCACCGGAAACACAAGTCCTCGGGCGCCGCCTTCATGCAGAGCCGCCGGCGCAGCAGCCGCGACCAGGGCAGCTCCAACGTCATGCATGCGGCCGATTACGATGCCGAGAGGGGCTACTACATAGGCACGGGCGGCGACGGCAGTGAGCGGTATTATGTGAACCAGGGGGGAGAGGCGAACGGGCCTGGCGGCGAATATGTCACCTACCCGCCCACCCAGGCGCGGCACTCGGGGCACCCCTACACGTTGGCTGAGCTGCAGCCACGGCAGTACGCTGAACCCAATGGCGGATACCATGATGACTCTGACGATTCTAGCACGGGACAATCCCCCGGGTACGACCAGGAGGACCAATCCAGGTACTCCAGGGACTACCAATTCACAATCACCTCGCCCGATGAGGAGATGCACGGCAAGGCGGTCGCCCTTTTCGACTTTGAGCGGGAGAACGAGAATGAGCTCCCCCTGGTGGAGGGCCAGATAATATGGGTTTCGTACAGGCACGGGCAGGGGTGGCTCGTGGCCGAAGACCCCAAGACGGAAGAGAGCGGCCTGGTCCCTGAGGAGTACGTGCGGCTGCTCAGGGACATTGAGGGCGGCATGACGAGCCTGACCGGGCAGGCTGAGCCACTCTCCGGGAGTCCTGGCGACGTGGGCACGCCGACACAAGCCGAGCACACGAACCTTGGCCACAATCCTCCGACTGCAAGTACCTCCTCCAACGCCAATGGATATCATCAGCCAGTCGTCTCAACTTTCTCTACTTCTAGCAAGGACCTTGAGCCGTATCCACACCACATGCTAGGCAACCAAGCCGGCCACGTACCCCCACAAGTCGTGCACTACCACGGCCAAAGAGGCGGCAGTCAAGCCAACACGCCGACCCTCTCGACGCACCACGACACCGGCTTCCTGAGGCGCGGCAGTCAGGGAGGCGAGGAGATTCCACCGAAGAAATACGAAGGCCAGACCAGGTCCGACGCGAAGCGGCAGTCTGCGACAGAGGAGAGGAAGGCGGAGGCGAAGTCATGAGGACACTCAAGAGGGGAGGGGGGCAAGGGCACCCTGGACGGGAGGAATTTGATAATTGAACCCACGCCGGTGAATTGGAAAGGGCCCTTGTATATTTGGCCATGTGTAATTGTAACGACCTTATCGGGACGGAGCGTTGCTTGTACGGCAAAAACCAACTGTTGTGGACGGGTCAGCTCGTCGATGTTTGGGCATGAATGGTCAAGAAGGGGGGGGGCCGAAGGGGGGACAGGGGGTGAGCCGGGCAGGACCAGGCAGGGTGAAAATCAATGTCTGTCTCCTTGCGCCCGGGTTGCGACGTTCAGGAGGTACACCGAACCAGCAAGAGACAAAGGATACGTGCGAGTAGGCGGGTGGTTGGGCGGAAGTCTCCGGTCCAGAGCAAAGATTGGATCTTGCATTTCAGGAGTACATCACGGGTGATCTAGGACTGCAGAGAGGCATATCATCTCTTGCGATGGGGTCTCGAGACCGTGATGAAAGGACTTCACATAGCCGACCGCTTTGTATAATGTTTCGAAATGCCAGATAAATATATTGCTGGAGCTGTAGGCAGTCAGGGCCGCACAGCTAATTACCTGGGCGGCTATCAGCTTCTTGCCCCCTGCTCTCTTCTATGTTGGTTGCTGCTTGATATCTGCGTCTCCTCGAGACGGTTGTCACGTTGCAGGCTTGGTTCCTGTGCTCCTGCGGTTGTCGCTTTGCAGGTGTGATTAGAAGCGGAATTTCACCTGAAATCAAACCAGGTGACAATACCTTATGTTTGATGGGGAGTAAGTAGCCTAGGGTCTCTGGCTTGGCCGGATCAGGCGTCCCTAGTGAGTGCACCTGTCCGGTGGCCCAAAACGTACTTTTAAGCGCAGAAAGCTGGTCAGAATCTCAAGGGATACATTGAAGCAGATCGACTGTGACAGTTTGCGTATACCTATCAGACCTGTTTATGGTCTTGGCCAGCTAAGAATCGTCCTCGTCCTCGGCCACTTTGAACATCGAAACAAATTTAAATCAACTACGTAGTTTTACGCGATAGGTACTAGAGGTTGTTATGCATGTTTGTTTCTTGGGGGGAAGGGGGGGGGGCGCCGCCGGTGTCCTATCTACCACCTATCTGCGCAGGTACCTAGGTACCTCGGTAGGTACGTCATGGCGGTTGTAGTGTATCTATAAAGGCACCTTTTTGGAGGGTCCGAGGGCAAGCCCGCAATTCCGAGCTCAGCAACAAAGCTCCCATAGCTTCTCTCCCCCAGCCTATCCACTGATTCGGGTCTCGCATTCTCCAGACTCTCGGCCCCATTGACGTTTCTTTGAGGAGGCAATTCATACCGTACTTCTCGGGTCTAGCCTTGACGTCTTTTCAGTTGCCATCAATTTCTACTAAAAATGTTTGCGCGATCAGTATTCCGGGCGTGCCAGTCGGCTCAGCCCACCAAGCGCGTAAGCCCGCCCACCGACCTGCTCCTGTTCGTCGGCGCCAGCCCATCACTGACCCCAACCTGCGCCAGCAAATCCGCCGTTATGCCGACAAGCCCTCCGCTTCCTCCGGTGGGAGCAACAGCACGCTGCTCTACTTCCTCGGTGGCGGCGCGGTCGCAGCCGGCGGCTATTACTACTTCACTCAGAACCCCGGCGCAGCGCAAAAGGCCGAGGCCAAGGTCAAGGGGGCTCTCCCTGGTGGTGAGCCCAAGAAGGCCCTGACGGGAGGAGACCAGGGTTTCGTCTCCCTCAAGCTGGACGACGTCGAGATTGTGAACCACAACACCAAGAAGCTGCGGTTCAAGCTGCCCGAGGACGACATGGTCTCCGGCTTGGAGGTCGCCAGCGCCATCCTGACCAAGTTCAAGCCTGACGGTGACGCGAAGCCTGTGTTGAGGCCCTACACGCCTACTTCCGATGAGGGTCAGTATCACTCGAACCTCTTGATAATTTGTGTCACTCCTCCAGACGCTAAGACCGGTCCCTCGCGCAGATACCAAGGGCTACGTGGAGCTTATTGTCAAGAAGTACCCTAACGGCCCAATGTCTACCCACCTGCACGATATGGTCCCCGGTCAGCGTCTCGACTTCAAGGGCCCCTTGCCCAAGTATCCATGGACCGAGAACAAGCATGAGCACATCGCCCTAGTTGCTGGTGGCACTGGTGTCACTCCCATGTACCAGCTGTGTCGCGCCATCTTCAACAACCCCAACGATAAGACCAAGGTCACTCTCGTTTTCGGAAACGTTAGCGAGGACGACATCCTGCTCAAGAAGGAGTTCCAGGAGCTCGAGAACACATACCCCCAGCGCTTCCGTGCATTCTACCTTCTGGACAAGCCGCCCAAGGAGTGGAACGGCGGCAAGGGTTTCATCACCAAGGAGCTGCTCAAGACGGTCCTACCAGGGCCCAAGGACGGCAACGTCAAGATCTTCGTTTGTGGGCCACCTGGACTGTACAAGGCTATCTCGGGGCCCAAGGTGAGCCCCAAGGACCAGGGCGAGCTGACGGGTGTTCTGGCGGAGCTCGGGTACAGCAAGGACCAGGTCTACAAGTTCTAGATTGCTTGCTGGCAATGAGTGTCACGCTTGGTCGCGGCTGTATATAAGCATCTAGACGATCACGAATCCTATGAAAACTCAAAGCCACCTCAGGCATATGTGGGCAAAGCATCAGGACTCGAACTTGTAGGATCGTGACAATGTTGAGCAGTCGCATTGGAGCTCATGACAAGATCATACATACCTCGTCTATGGCGGGGTCTCTTTTTTTTTTTTTTTTGACCCGTTTTTTCATGGTCAGGTGTCACGACTCACCTGCCCTGTCAGTAATTATCCCCATCAAATCGTGGTGCCTCTCCATTTCCAGATACTCCCCGGCGAGCCTCCACCTCGGCGTCATTCTGACCAGCGCAGCCCTTGTCTGTTCCATTGCTTGCCTCATCTCCAGCAGACCAGTTTCCTTCAATTGCCAGTGAAAGGTAGCCAGCGAGCAATAGAGGGCGTCGAAGCATAATGGGCTCATCCTGTCAGCCGCCTCGCCGCCGCCGCCGCCGCCGCCGCCCACACCGCCCATCCTCACGTCCGGGGAGGCTACGGGGCTGTTGGTCACGCTCAGCAGCTCACCCGCGAACTCCTTTATCCTCTCACTCGTCGTTGTCAGGCCCCTGATCGCCTCAACCTGCATCTTTAGCTCCTCCTCAGTTCGTCCGTCCTCGCTGCCGATCCCAGCACCAGGTCGCAACTACAGCATTGGGAGTCAGCGGCCAAAGAATTCATGGAGTAGCTAAATGCCAATAAAGCAAAGAGTGGGCCACAAGGGGGTTATAGCCTGTCCTCAGACATGCAGCCCCTGAAGCATTTGTTGCATAGACTGAGAATGGGGTGTGTTTGTTCTCGAAGGAGTAAGGATTGTATCCAGAAGCTGCTTACGTGCTCAGGGCAACTGTACAGGTCCATCACCATGATCATTGTGCTCCAAACGAGACACCGTGACGGGCTCAGCGCAAAGTACGCGTCGCTACCCACGCCACCGGCGCTCGCTATTCCCGTCTCGATGGCGCGGCAGAGTATGTGCAGGTCTCGTATTATTTCCCTGACCTCCTTGACGCCGAAGGCGTCCTGGTTCTTGTTGTTCTCATCCGAATCCCGGCTCGGGTCGCTAGCCCCGCGCTGGGCGTATCGCCTCCTCGCCTCCTTACAGTGATTCATAGCCCTCGACGTGAGGATCGATGCCTGGGCCAAGCGCGCAAAGGGGCTAGCTGTTTGGTCCTCCAAAGGCGAGCTGGCGGCAGACCTCTGGAGCGAAATGGCCATCTGGAGTGTTCAGAGTCAGCTGGAAAGCGACAACATGGCAGTTCCACGTGGAGAGAGAGGTGAGGTAAGGGGCTACGGTGTTGTTCGCGCCCGTATTAGACCCAAAAGCCTCAGAATTCCTCTGAATTGCAGACTGGGCACATGTGGGTTCGAGATATTGTACAGAAGCCACTTACATCGCCGGAGTCCCAGGCCTGGTCGTCAACGGGGAGCATCTCCGTGTCTACAGGCAGGTCGAGACCGCTGGCGAAACGCTTCTTGGAGCCCAGTGAGATCATCCTGTCGAGGATTTGCGTTGCCCACCATACCCTGCGGCGTTCCTCGGCCTCGGTCCAGGTCGTACATGGACCGAGGACGGTGGTCGACTCGTGGTACGACGGCAGGCCCAGCATCGCAGCGTAGCGCACGCAACTGCCCGATGTCATCCATGCCGCCGGGTAGATAGAGTGCCCATACTCGTATAGGGCCACGAGTATCATGGCTTGGAGGTACAGTGTGGATAGCGTCCCTGCAGATTCGAGCTGGGCTAGGAAGCGCTTAGACGCGGCGTACAGGTGTGAGTCTGCTGCGGAACGCATCTCTGGTGTCGGCGCAGTTGTGATGAGTTTCATGGCGAGGAACAGAAGCGCAAGGTCGGGCCCGCCGTCTGAAAGTGAGATACCAAGGCTCATACGTTTTTTGGAAATGAAAGGGAACCACCGGTGGATTGTGTCGAAGTACGTTGTGGCAGTCTCCTCTACAACATTGCTGGAAGCGAGAATTTCAAGGACTTCCTAGTACTGATTAGACCACCTTCGTCATATGGCGTACATGAGCGCGGAGGGCCAGGATTGATGACAGGACAAGACCAAGCATCTAAGAGCAGCATCACGTATATTCAGAGGTTGGATGCCTTATTCGAAGTCTGAAGTGTTCATCAACGGGCCACTTGACTGTAGTAATGAAGGGGCATCCAGTGCAACTAGATCACTCGCTTCCCAAAACGAGTCCCCTGCTTTTGCTTCCTCTCCGTCCGTACCCATGACGCTTCTGTTCGGGTCGGGCAGCTACGAACATGGGCCTGGGCCGAGGCCAGAACAAAAGGAGGGTCGAGGAGAAGGCAATCAATGCTCTAGAGGACGTAGGGCACTTCGAGTCCCGCCAGCCTCGTGTCTTGGGCCCCTCCTCCTCGTATGGCCTATGCTGCGTGAAGGTGTCACTTGAGCACCCAGGTGCACATTTGACTCAGGAATGGGTTGCAAGGCATTAACGACAGCGTGGCATTTGTGTCTTTAGGAAAGCGTACTTACCATTGGTATCTCGGTGTTTGAATTAGGTCTTGAAGCCTCTGCCCACCTGTGCACATCGCTGTCGAGGAACATGACTGCTGGGAACTTTGTCTTCTTAGAAGATGCTCGGCCATCCACCCACATCTCACCTCCGGGCCAGACGATCCCCGGGCCCTGATGGGCAGCCGCACTCTCTGGGCTGGACTCGGTGCCGACGTACGTACTGGAACCCGGAGTGCCGCTCGCATTCGTTGGGTTCTGGGCAGGGTTGGCCCTGACCGACTCCAGCCTCGCCTCGATCTCTGCCAGCTTCATCTGAAGGCTTGCAAAGGCCTCTGCGGATGTGGAGGGGGCCACAGCCGGGGACGCTGGGTCCGAGTAGTCGCAAGTGCGCTGCAGTGACGAGCACCTGGAGCACGATGGCAGGGTCTTGTCACACTTGCGCTTCTGTTTCCTGCATGTCGCACAGGCTTGCGCAGCTCGTGAACCGGTTGAACTGTACATTGCTGTCTCCTGGTCCCTTGGCAGGAGGGTGAGAGCCATGACTTCCGAGCGATTTTTGCACGATGCGAGCCTTTCTGACAGACTCACATATGGCAGTGGGTGGGGTGGTTGTTTCAAGATTGCGTTCTAAGGTTTGGCTGATACGGGAAATAAGGATTACCGTATGGCAGAAGCTGACGAGTGAGCACGGCACAAGGCCTAAATAAGCGGAGGAAAACGGAGGAAAACGGAGATAACGCTGTTTAGTAAGCAGAGACCGCCCCACTCAAGTCTGGACCTCACTTCGTCCTTGTAAGAAGGGCCATCAAGCAGTTGTTTTGGTCCGCATTAGCATTTTTGATCACCGGCAAGTGGTTGTCCTTACCTGGTTGATTCTATCAAAGACAAACCCCTCCGCTACACTGGGCGACATTGTGTGCGGGGACTTCCAGAACGGCGCTACATACTTTATCTTCAATAAATTGAATATGTCTTTATTCTATTGATTCTTGACGTTAGTTATCATAACTATTTATATATAAAGTACTTTAATATTAATGTTTATTGTTTTTGGAAGAATACTTGAGTAAATTGTTTTGAAACATTTGATGGGCTGATTAAGGCCGGGCGCTGTGGTATGCTCGCACAGCGCGCCGTTGGACAAGCCGTCTGGTCAAGTGGCCCGTCTCCCCGTGGCTGGGGGCTTAATCGCTTCATCCGAAAGGAACATTGAACTTGAAAATAACGTCCTCTGTTGGAATAGGGGCAAGCACACAGCACTCACTTATGGTCACATGACCGTACGTTACGATCTATACATGATACCCATACCAATATCCTCTTTGGTCGTGTAAATTTGCCCAAAGAGCCCGGCCCACCATCCTGATTCTGCTAGGAGCCGTCAAATACTGAACATCAATGTGAATAAGCATTCTGAGCCAATATAACAGCAATATGATGGTCCCCGCTTCCAGACCACGGCTTACTGTGCCATCTTCTCTGCTTTTATTCTTGTCTCTGTCGGCCTTGTCTATGAGCTCGACATATTGCCGGGCCGCGAAATACTTGACGGCTCACAGCACTATGATATTGGCCCGCGGTCTATTCAAAGAGAATCAAAACGAGCAAGCCTATCTGTTCAGGACGTTTCTGAGCTTGGTCATCTTATGGGAAGTCATCGGGCCTGACTGCCACGGTCAGACACTGTCGCCATTGTGACAACCACACACCCTCCTTGGACACCAATCGGAAGTTGGTTGCCAATATCAGCTCTCACATAAGTCTGGCAGGCAGATTCTGTCTCTACATCACTGGAAAACTTGGCATTGGTCTCCTGTTGATAAGATGGATGCCATGGCAAAGATTTGTAAGAGCTTGTTTCGCCCCCCCCCCAGCTTTTCTTTCCAGGGCGGCAGCGAGGATGCTTTCTCCATTCTGAATTACAGATGAACTGCTGTTATTTTTCCACTTCCGTAGGCATTATACATTTTACAACCGCTGAGTCTTTGACCGTTTACCTCTGGATGAAAGCGCCGTGCATGGCTTCGGACATATAGGAGTAGAAACGAAATTAGACCAGTTATATTCAAAGGCTAGCACTACGGCAACATACGGCTTTCATGGTCCTTGGTATGAACGATGCGCTGATTAGAAGTGCTCCAACGACCCTCCATGCTCGCTTGGGGGGGAAAAAAAGAGAAAAAAAAAAGAGAATATGATCCAAAATTTTCTATTCCCCAACGCCTTGGTGTAAACCAATTCATATGGATGCCAGGAGCCCAACACGTCCAGTCAAGAGTAGACAAATTGAATGAAATCAGTCAGCCTACTGTTGCTCTGCATGGTCATGGCAACGTGGCCTCATTGCATTACAGGTGCTGGCCCGTCTCGGACATCTTTCGAAGCCGTGTGCTGGGCGGAGACCCCTTCAAAGTCCCGTACCCGGCGCTTCCCTTCGAGGCCCTCGAGCTTATTCTTGCCAGCGGCTGGAAGTCCTCCTCATCTTCTTCGTCGTCCACAGTAATCACGGCGTCCTCGCGGGTGCCGACCAGGTCGGCCACGTCGCCGGCAATGATGGCGCGATTGGCAGATGTCTCTTCTATGGCACTTTCGTCGGCATCGTCGAGCCGGGCGGACTCTTCATCGTCATCATCCGTGTCCTCCTCACGGCTGAGGCCCTCGCCCTCGACGATCAGCCACGCGGGGATAGCCTGAAGCACAGCAACAGCGGCAAGAAGCCACCAGGCAGGGATGACATAGCCGCGCTTGACGCCCCAACTAAATGTGGCACCGGCCACGGTTGGACCGACGGCCCGACCAAGGCCGGAGAAGGTGGTTGCAAACCCGTTAAGCGTGCCGAGGATCCGGACCGAGGGTGCCGAGTTGGTCAGCAAGATGGTGATGCAGGGAAATCCAACGATGACGGCGAAGCCCTTTAGCAGTAGCAGCCCCATCAGCGCTGCAAACTGCATGCGTGTGTCTTGAATGAGGGCCGTGTAAGGGACCAGGACGTAGACGACCGGGAAGAGAACAGTTCCTGCTTTGAAGCACTTGAGCGCGCCATAGCGCGAACACACGGGCGGAAACAGGAAGAACTGTATCACGCCGCAAGCCAGCCCGTATATGGTGAAGATGGTGCCGATCTTGTTCGAGTTGAGCCCGAACCCACCTGAGAAGTGAAAAGGCAGGTGAGTGTTCTCGCTGTCGGGGACTTGGCGGTGGTAGTTTAGGAACACAGGGAGCACCTGGTCGAAGGCCACGGAGTGCAATGCCAGGATTGTGTAGGCGAGGATGTTCATGGTAACCTGGGGCGTAAAAATCTCCTTCATCGTCGGCGGCGGAGCTTTTGATGTCTTCTTCATGACAACGCCTGACTTTGGCAGCAGAGGCGCCGAAGCTTCTGCATCCACAAAGGAGGGGCGGTGGTGACGCCCGTGGTGACGGTTATGCTTGTGGCGAGGCCTCGTCCTGAAGGGCAGCGATATCTTCTCTCCGAGAATCAAGCCCCAGTCCTTTTCGTGTCTTTTGGTCTCCAGGGTCTCGTGGAGAAACAGTATTGCCACAACAACGGAAACAAAGAAGAAGGCACAAGCGACGAGGTTGGGCAAGAGGAACGGGTACTTGTTGAACAACCAGCTATTGCCGAAAAGCCCCGGATACTGTTCCGCAGGCCTTGCGAAGAAGCCTCCGAATGAGGGCCCGAAGACGGAGCCGATGCTCCAGACGAGAGGCATCAAGGAGAAGGCGCGTGGCTGTAGTTCCTTCTCAGGGACCATCTCAGCAACCATGGTACGAATGATACCAACTGCGGCACAGGTTAGAACAGTTGCTCAAGTGTCGTTAGCTTTCAAGAGGGCATGCCTTACCGTTTCCATTACCGGCACCCATGACAAACCGTATACAGATGGCCATGGCGAGACTGGAAGCAGTCCCCCATATTATGAAGCAAACCATGGTCGAGATAAGACCCGTGATGATTGTCGGTTTGCGGCCGATCTTGTCTGACAATCTCCCCCAAGGCACCGCAAAAGCACTCTGTGATATCGAAAATGTCGAGCCCACCAGGCCGGCCCATCTTGCGACATTATTGTCCTGTACGCCGAAACTCTTGATCATCTCTGGTAGGTAGGGAAAGACGGACGTTAGAGCAAGCGGCTCCGCGAACCTAGCGACGGCTGAGAGTGGGAATGTTAGCAAGCCACCGACACGATGAGAGACGGCGGTACCTGGAAGCCTGGAAATGCCGGCATGATGTCCCGCCTAAGTCTGCAAAGCATCCGGCTTCAGGTCGGCACGGTTGTCAATTCGAGTACCCGCATGATGCTGAGCATGTCGTAGTAATGCGGCAGATACTACACGCCCCCACCTGGCCGCCCTGTTCGCAACGAGAGCACACAGCCCAGACAATGCACCTACTCGACACACAACTAAGTTGTCGGCACTGGGAACTACTGGTGAGGACGCCTGGCTAGGCTATTGTGGACCGGCCTGATGTGACGGGGCTTCGCTTGAGGCACGGCGGCAGGACAGAGGCAGACACAAGCACGGTGCATGGGGCGCGCGAGTCCGGGTATACCAAAGTACGCGAGGGCTGGAGGTTATGTCTGCTTACCCAGAATCGCAAGCTGCTTTACTGGGAGCTTCGGTCCATTGGGAGACATTGTAGAATCACCGATGGCGGAGAGCACAGCGGAAGTGTGTCTATTGTGGAGGGGTGTATGTAGCTAGAGAGTTTCGTCCTGCAGGATGGTTCTTGACAAGAAACGACTTGAGAGACTGGGGGCCGGTCGACAAGAGTGAAATTCCCGGGCCCTTGGACTCTGGCGTGTGGCCGGTAATGAGTTTGTATGGGGCACAAGGCGCCGTCGAGACCATGCAATGTTGGGCTGCGTCGCGATGTCAAAGGTCAAGGCAACAGGAAGGGGAAAGAAAAACACAAGGCACACGGCAGGGCAACGTACAAGAAGAAACCACCTTCTTTTGACTACCACTAAAAAAGACGGCTCGCCACCCCACAAGGAAGGGGTTTTCAGAAAGCGAGTCACCGGGCCGCAAAAGAAGTGGGACCTTGGCGGTCGACGATGGTGCGGATTGTTCGAGATGTCCACTCAGATCTCTCAGGCATTCAAGCCAGGGAATCCTAGGATGCAACACAGCCCGGCGTTGCCTAGTGTTAGGGCGCGCAGACATGGCCGGTCGTCCGCCGATGGAGCCCAACATACGACGGGCTGTGGCCGAGACGGGCGGCACACAACATGCAGACATGCAGCACGGAGGAGGCGGCACGAGGCTTCAAGGCAGGGTGTGCAGCGGGGGCTGGCTGCACCCCAGCTTGCACCACTCTTGTGCATTGGTCGAGACCGTCGCAGCGACTCGCACGGCAGCACGGCTGGTGTACACTCGGAGGGGGGGACGGCGAGCATGCGGTGAACCCTGGGAGTAGTGCGGCGTCCGTTGTCCGTTGTCGGCCGTGTCAAAGTTGTCGAAGGAATATGATGTGGTTGTATTTCATGCGGGTTATCAGCCCGGGTGACACAGTACTGAGTGTGGTCTGAGTGTCTGAGTGTGTGGTGCACGACTTGGGCTGCTTGGCTAGTGTAGATGACGTTGCCCCGGTCTGTTTTGCCGGGTTGCGAGGCTCACACGGGTGCCAGGCCAGGCTCTCGCTGGCCCACAATTCCAACGGCCGTGGTTGGCAAGCACGCCGACCTGCCTTGCCGTTGCAGGCAAGGCGCCGATGTCGAAAGGGCTGCACACAATGTTGTGACAGTGGCCTCTTATTGGAGATGCCGATCCCTGCTCCACCGATGACTCTGTCGCTCGAAGGCGAGGCCCGAGGACCGAGCCCCGCTGTGCACCGGCAGACTGGACGACGGCCTCGAGGAAGCCCCAAACATACCTAAGTACCCACCTAGGTAGGTAAGTACTTTAGCAAGTTTAGGTATGAAAAGGCTCCGCGACGAGGCTACACAGCGCAGCAGGATGACGTCGCGAGTGCAGCTGGGGTGCCAGAGAAACTTTGTGTCTGTCGTCACATCCGGCTTGCGCAGCGAGCACGGGAAGCTTGTTGTCTGCACCGGCGGGCTGCCGTGAATCTCGAGGGGTTCTGGTGATTCGTGAAGCAAGCCACAAGCCTGAAGCCTGCAGGCTGGCATGTGATTGGCAGTGCTGGTCTTTGCTCAAATGGCCTGGCTAAACTGGCCCAATCAGAGGCCCCCTGGCCCCCTGGTTAGAATGGCCCCCTCTGAGCGGCCCGCTGCTTGCCGTTGCCGGGATCTTGATAATGATGACATCCAGCCCGCGATGTCAACGGCGGAGGCTTGGGGAGCTCTCTGTTAGTGAGCCCACGGCATTCTCCTTTCATCCTTATCTATACTGCCGCTTCTTCGCATCATCCCGTGCCGGAAGTGGGAAGATACCAACTGCCATCTACCTACTTAGTGCCTAGGCAGCCAAGCACTGGTGAAGCACCTTCACTTGTGGCTTGTGGCTCTTCAACGCCCGGGCAACTCTTGTACAGACAGCTCTTGTACGACACCAGTCCGTCGTACCCACCCGTGATGCGGCTGACAGGCAAAGAAGCTACCGCCCGTACCATGGTCAACCCTGAGAAGATGCCGCACGAGCACACGCCCCTCCTCTCGACCGTGGCCACTGCTCCTCCGCGCCATCGCTATGCTAACCATGCCGTGCGACGCTTCTGCACCATCGCCCTGTCCTGCAGCCTCATAGCCTTGTTCACCACATTTCTCTTCTCCTTCGGCATTGATCGCCACGGCCACCAATCGGGCTTCTCATGGCCCTCGCGCAAGGGCAGCCACCTTAGTTACGAGCATCTCAAAACGATCCTGCTGGAGACGCCAAGCAGCGAGAAGGCCCAGGAATGGCAGAAGTACTACACCGAGGGCGCCCATCTGGCTGGCCAGAATTATTCTCAGGCGCTCTGGACCAAGGAGAAGTGGGCAGAATGGGGTATCGACTCGTCAATTGTCACATATGACATCTATCTGAACCGACCCGTCGACCATCGCCTCGCAGTCTTGGACAAGTCAGGCTCGAGTGACCCCTCGACATGGAAGGTATCATTCGAGGCGTCACTCGTTGAGGATGTCCTCGACGAAGACCCCACGACTGGCTTCGACACGAGTATCCCAACTTTCCACGGCTATTCTGCCAGTGGGAACGTGACTGGTCAGTTTGTTTATGTCAATTATGGCACCTATCAAGACTATGAAGATCTCGTCAGGGCTGGCGTCGCCTTGGACGGCAAGATCGCTATCGCACGATACGGTGGCATCTTCCGAGGTCTCAAGGTGAAACGGGCACAGGAGCTGGGTGCCGTTGGTGTCATCCTCTACTCGGACCCTGGCGACGACGGGGAAGTCACCGAGGAGAAGGGCGTGGAGAAGTACCCCAAGGGCCCCGCGCGTCAACCCAGTAGTGTGCAGCGCGGAAGCACCGAGTTCTTGAGCTTTGCGCCGGGGGACCCGACTACTCCTGGCTACCCTTCCAAGCCTGGCGTTCCTCGAGGACCGACCGAATCGTATATCCCAAGTATCCCGAGCATCCCCATCTCGTACCAGGACGCATTGCCTATCCTCAAGGCTCTAAATGGCCACGGGCCATCTGTCAAAGACTTCAACAAGTACTGGCAGGCAGACCTCGGTCTTGGATACAAGGGAGTAAATTACAGCGTCGGTCCGTCGCCTGAAGACATTGTTATCAACCTCTACAACGAGCAGGACTACATAATCACACCCAATTGGGACGTCATTGGCATCATAAACGGATCCATCCCCGATGAAGTCATAATAGTTGGCAACCACCGCGATGCCTGGATCGTGGTTAGCATCCCTTCTTTCCTGTCATAACCCCCCCCCCTCCGTCATGTTTCGCAATGTTCTCGATCGCAGCACTTTGTGAATTCGTAGCACGACTAACGTCACAACCAGGGCGGTGCAGGTGACCCAAACAGTGGATCCGCTGTCATCAACGAGGTTATCCGCAGTTTTGGAGAGGCTCTCAAGAAGGGCTGGAAGCCATTGCGAACCATCGTGTTTGCCTCGTGGGACGGTGAGGAGTACGGCCTACTAGGAAGTACAGAGTGGGTGGAAGAATATCTGCCGTGGCTATCGCACGCCAACGTCGCCTACCTCAACGTGGATGTTGGAGTGCGAGGACAAGACTTCCATGCCTCGGCCGCTCCTCTACTCAACGGCATCATCCACGACGTCACGGCTCAAATCCCCTCACCTAACCAGACAGTCAAGGGCCAGACGGTTTACGACACATGGGATAAGAAAATCAGCACACTGGGCAGCGGAAGCGACTACACGGCCTTCCAAGACTTTGCTGGTATCCCTAGCATCGATTTCGGGTTCGGGGCCGGACGGAAAGACCCGGTCTATCACTACCACTCCAACTACGACAGTTTTCACTGGATGACTGAGTTTGGTGACCCAGGCTTTGTCTACCACCGAACAATGTCGCAGATCCTCGCGCTCGCCACCGCCAAACTCGCTGATGAGCCGGTGCTTTCCTTCGAGGCTGCCACCTACGCCACCGCTCTTGACAAGTATGTCAGCAGGGTCGAAGAAAAGCTTGCTGCCGCAGTCATTCAGTCGGAGCCAACGGACAAAGACGAGATTATTGCAATGCGCGGGAGCTTTATTCGACAGGAGGCCGAGGTCACAGGGGAGGTTGAGGGCTTCCGCAGAAGCCTCGTGAAGCTTCACGAGGCCATCGCAGGCTTGGCGACCGAAGCGAGCAAGTTGGACGCCAAGAAGGCCGAGCTTCAGAAGGAGGTCAGCGAGGAGATTCCATGGTGGAAGTGGCCCAAGAAGCTGAGGCTCGGATACGAGATCCGCAAGGTCAACACAAAGTACAAGTACCTGGATCGTGATTTTATCTACCCAGAGGGGCTCGATGGACGCCCCTGGTTCAAACACATTGTCTTTGCGCCGGGCTTGTGGACTGGCTACGCCGGAGGTACGAACTCCCTGCCCCTTCCGGTGATTCCAAAGGATGCCCGTGTGCCCCCTTTCTCATTCCGTCCTCTTCCTTCCCAGTTTGTATTTGAAGCACCCGTAGCTGACCAGATTCACAGCTGTTTACCCGGGCCTGGTGGAGAGTATCGACGCGAAGAACTATACCAATGCAATTCGCTGGTCTGGTATCATCGAGGACTCTGTCAAGACGGCTACTGCCAATATCAAGGTTGGCCATCATGGCTAGATGAGGAGATGGCAACAATAAAAAGAATATTTACCTGTCTAACAGGTCTGCTTGATTCATCGTGGGCAATAAGGCGTGCTGTGGAGACAGCAGTATTGGTGCCTTCATCGCAAATTCAGAAGAAGCAATTCTTCGATCTTCTTCAGTCTCAAGTGTACAAATTTGATACTATACTTGAAATCACCAAACCGTCTTGCACAAACATCGGCGTTTATGCAACGCTGGCGCTGCGCACTTCGCTGCCTGTAACAGGCCACTCATTAACACGTGCCATCCGCACACATCTTTGTACTTGTTGAAGGCGAGTCAATACCATTTGGAGCCTCTGCAAAAGCGACTGCGCAAACAGTGACTCACCGTTCTTCACGTACGATACCGTCGTCCAGAAGACAAGCGTGTCTCCACCTCCTGTCTCGGACCCGGCTTTCTCCTCGCCAGTCGTCTCGCCGTCGTGCCGCTTTGAACGTGTCTAGGCAAAGCGCCAAACGCGGCAGGTCCCCGTGACACGCTTCTCCAAAATGCCCAGAGGGAATATCCCAGCGTTGCACGGGGGCCCCTGACCTTAACGCACGTCATTAATAAGAAGGTCCCTGCCGTCGCCATGGGATAGCTCGGCCATTGTTTGTGTTGGCTTGCGCAACCAACAAGTTGTTTATTTTTCTTCTCCTTGCGACCGACTCCGTTAGGAAAAAAGGGCCCAATGAAGCCTGCTTAAAAGAGTTGTTCCATCGATGTCTTGAGAGAGCAGCACTCCAACACTATGAACGACCGGGTGCCAGGGGGCCGCTTTGCTTCCCGCTCCGCGAACTCGTCGGCACGCTCGTCGGCCGCATTCGAGCGTGATTACGACCAGCACCTTCAGCCGCACAGCCAGCCGTATTCCAATCGCTACAACCCCAGCCTGCGCTCCGTGGGATCGCGCTTCTCTTTATCAGACCAGTTCGCAGCGACCAGGAGGGAGTATGAGTTTGGCTTTGACGACGGCGCATCTCTCATCACAACCGATACTGAGGCAGAAGCAGAACAAGATGACACGCTGACGGGCGCTGGGAGCTTCGACCGCGTCGTCGTCATCGATGCTCCTGGGTCACACCGCGAATCCGGAAGTGAATTACGGCAGTCTGAGCTGGTGAGGATACCTCGCTCGTGTTATGAACTGTTGTCACTTCCACCGGGAGGCGAGGCTTCTGAGAAGGACATCCGTCGGGCTTACTTCCGGCTCTGTGACATCCTTCGCTCAGACGTTATCCCCATACAGCACCAGGAACTAGCTGGACAGTATCTCGACCAAGTTCAAGCTGCGTTCGAGACTCTGATCAGCAAGCACATCAGAGACGATGGCGATGATGCTGAATCGTTGCCAGACAACGAGCTTGAGGATAGCGAGGGTGAGGGCAAGGACGACATTGGCGGCAATGCACGGCACGCAAGACGAAAAAATGCGCAGCTGGTGCGTGTGATTCGACGACAGCAAGAGCGAGAGTCAACAGAAGCAAGGCTCAGTCTGGATGCGCAGTCCATAGCTCCCCTGAAAGACCGCCGACTGCCTACACGACAGGCTTTTCCCGCAGTTCTCTGTCTCTCCCAGAACTCCATCACTTCTTTCCCTGCCATCAGCCAATTCTTACAACCCAGACTACGTCGGATCCGACAAAGATTGGCTGGCAACACCACCCCGGGCTCGGTGGACATGGTCAAAAGCCAGCTCTACTGCACCCCACCTACCCTCACTCTCACCTCTTCTATTTTTGCCACCTCGGAGATGAACTCGTATCTTATTCCTCACAGCACCCAGGGCCGCCAACCCAATGTCGGTCCCGACGCATTACCAAAGGACCAACCGCTGGCGCTCAATATCAAGCTGCGACAGGAGCTCTTCATCCGGGCAGCCGGGCTCTCGGAGGCCGAGCTGAGGAGGACACTCCCAGATGCTGTGTTGGAGATCGAGACCGAAAATGCCATCAAACTCACTGTGAGAGCCTCGCACATGTTGCGCCTCGGTGGCGACAAATGGAGGTGCCACCAGCTCGACGAGCCATTACACACCGAAGCCAGCATCTCAGTCACCCGCCTGTGGCCAGGGGCCAGCCACAAGCCTCGGCTCGGTCTCGGCTTGCACAGGCATGTCGGAGGCCGCAACGGTGGCACGGTGTTTGCCTGTGCAGACAGCGGGACGGCACCCTTCTGGGAAAGCCTGGACTCTTCTTTCTGGAACCGATCAGTGAGGAATAGGCTCGACCGCGATTCCACCGGAGCTACCTGGCGCAGATACATGGACTATCTTTCGCAGTTGCCGAGCTACTACAGCCCTCCCACGCTTGAAGTTGGGTACAAGTTCGGTAGTGTCCCTGAGGAAACTCTGGGCTTGCGCTCCGGTCGAGCCTTCACGAAGCCCCCAGGCAGTGGCATGCAACGGCTGCGCGACAATGTCTGTTTGAGTGGTCCAAACAACAGGGGATCATGGACGGTCTCGGGTGCTTTGACCGCCGGCGGCGTGGCTGGGTACGTCAGGTTCGGGAGGAGCTTTCTATCAACGCGTAACGAGCTAGAACAGAGCTTGATTCCGAGTCGTTTGAGGGGCTTGCGTTTTGAGGCCGAACTCTCAACCTACAAATCTACCCCCAGCAGTCTGCTTAGCAGGGTACGATCTCTGGGTCGGTCAGAAATCAGCCAGCTTGCCGTGCGTGGCCTGAAGAAGATCGGGAAGTCGAGGAGCCTAGGCCTTGAGATGTCTGTGAACAACGCCACCAGCAGCGTGGTTTTGTCACTGTACTTTTCAAGCAGGAACAAAAGCTTCGCTGTTCCTATAGTACTCTTCCGAGACCAGCCTTCCCCCTACAGATTCCTCACAAAGATCCTGATGGTTGCCGGCTACATTCCGGCCCTAGCTCTCACGCTCTTCGACCTCTTCCCCCTTCTGATACCCCAAGCAGGCGTTACTTCTGAACAGGATGAAGCAAGTCCCTCACATGAGATCCAGAAGTACATTGCCTTGCGCCGGGCCGAGGCGGATGACCTCGTTGCTGTCCTCGCGGAGCCCGTGTCACAACTCCAACGTGTCCAGCGCGAGCGCAGAGGTCTCGTGATTCTGAGCGCGAAATACGGCGTCCTCGATGAGCGCCTGTCCGGTACGCCAACTGCCGGGCCCCTGGCCGCCGGCGGCCCTGCTGCTGCTGCCCTCCACCTTGGGCCCAGCTGGGCGTCCCCGGAGGAGGTCGCAGACGTCACCGTTGCGCTCGCGGCGCTGGTGAGCGACGACGGGAGCCTGCATATCCCCGAGGGGCTGAGGAAAAGCAGGCTGCTCGGCTTCTGGGACCCTAAGCCCCGGCGGACCAAGTGCCTGTTTGTGAGGTACATGATCCGCGGCCAGGAAAAGGTGAAAGAGGTCAATGGGAGGGACGAGCTGAGGTTGCCATAGGTTGGGGATGGCCGGGTCGGTCTCCTACAGAGTGGTGCATATTATGTCTGAGTGGCTGTATGAGTGAGTGATGACAAAGGTGACGGAGACCTGGAGTTTGGTGTATGCAGTACTGGCCGATCAGCCCTAGCATCAGCTTTGCTATTTCCTCGATAACAACACCTCTCACAACTCGATGCGTTTGCAAGCTTCCCGATGCCGTGGCCTGTTACCTAACTCGCGTTACATTCGGCCCAGCGCGGTCTTGTTCAGGGCAGGGTCAATTACAGCAGGTGGCTCAGAGGACGGACCATCATTGCGACGAGTTTCTGATTGATCAAACGTCTAGTCAAAACAGGATTTTAGTCCTCTGTTGACTTCCAGGAGGCTCCACGCTAGATGCCCCATAAATCAAGACCAACAATCCGGTCGAGGTGGCCCTCCACACAACACAACCCATGATATAACCCAATTTTCAGTACCGAGCCAAATCCAGCACGCCGAAAACTCCTATAGAAACATGCATAGTTTAGATCGCACCTGGACGTATACTTCAGACTCAGGCGTAGAGCTTCTTCTCATACGACTCCATGTTGACACCACCCTCGAGCTGGGCGCTGGCAGTCCTGATCTCAAAGCGAACCACACTGTCGTGGACGCCTTGGTGGAGCTCGTGCAGGCTCTTGATACCAGCATCCTGCATGGAGTGCTTCAGACCAGCGGCAAGGTAAGGGACGAACTTGGTAATCGAGCCACGGTGAGCAACGGCGCCAGCCACACCCTGGGCGACAAGAACGCTGTCGCCCTCGGAGAAGTAGCGAGCCGTTCCGGCGTTGCTCTTCTGGCTATCAGCGCCACCGCCTCCGGCCTTCTTATCCTGCATGGCGTCGATGCTGCCCATGCCACGGTAGGCCTTCACCAGTTTGCCCTCTCGGGATACAAACGAGGTTCCAGGGGACTCGGTGGTACCGGCAAGGAGACCACCCATCATGACCGTGGAGGCGCCGAGGGCAAGACCCTTGACAATGTGGCCAACATTCTGAATGCCGCCATCGGCAATGCAAGGCACACCGAACCTGGCAGCGAAGGCACTGACGTTGTACACAGCAGTGGCTTGAGGTCGGCCTACAGCCATGACTTCCTGGGTGATACAAGCCGAACCGCTACCCATGCCGATACGAAGACCGTCAGCTCCGGCGGCAATGAGGGCAGCAGCCTGCTCACGGGTCACGACGTTTCCGCCAATGACGTCGAGTCCAGGGAACTCGTTCTTGATCCACTTGATCATGTCGATCTGGAACATACTGTTACCCTGGCTGCTGTCAAGGATGACGATGTCGAGACCAGCCTCCACGAGCCCGCGGAGCCGGACCTTGTCCTCTGGCCGTGTGCCGATTGCGGCAGCGCAGATCAGCTGCTTGGAATCAGGCAGCTTGGAGGCGAGAGGGAAGTTGAGGTTCTTGCGGAGATCGGAGCGGGAGATCATAGAAACCAAGTTGCCGTCCTTGTCGACGATTGGCAGCTTGCCCTTCTTGGACTTTGCCAGAATGTTGTTGGCCTCTTCGAGAGTCACACCCTCCGGGGCAGTGATCAGCTCAGTGACCATGACGTTGGCAACGGGCTGGTCATCGACGTCCTCGAACTGCAGGTCTCGGTTGGTAACAATACCCAGGAGCTTGGAGCCAAGCTTGCCACTCTCTGAAGCCGCAAATGTTAGCTGTCTGCGTGCTTGGTGTTTTCTGGTGCGGCACTTGGATATGAATTGAGCAAGAATGTCATTGAAACAAGTTTCTCCCCATGACGGCGACCGTCGATACGGTGGAACGAAAGTTATAAAAATTGGGATTATAATCACGAGAGCTGGTGGGAAAAAGTAGAAAGGGTTGGCAGGAGACACTCACCAGTGACGGGGAAACCACCGAAGCCCCACTTCTCCTTCAAGGCCTTGGCCTCGCCGACAGTGGTCTCCTTGGTGATCAGGACAGGGTCATTGATGAAACCGTTCTCGAAGCGCTTGACCTTGCGGACCATGTCGGCCTGGGCCTCGGGAGAGCAGTTGTGGTGGATGACACCAACACCACCCTGCAGGGCCATGTGGATGGCCATCTCGTGCTCGGTGACGGTGTCCATGGGGGAGGAGACAAAGGGCGTCTTGAGGGTGATGCGCTTTGTCACGGGGGCGTCAAGAGTGACGTCGGAGGCGGGGAAGCCGATGTAGCCAGGCAAGAGGAGGAAGTCGTTGTAAGTAAGACCTCCGTGGACCTTGGCGTCCATCAGGTCCTGGATCCCGAGGCCATCGCGGCTGTCGTACTCCTTGAGGATCTCCTCGGCCTTGGAGGGGTCGAGGGCCTTGGACATGCCGTTGACGGGGGTGGCACCGTTTGAGGCAGGCATGGTGATGCTGGCAGACTCAGCTTGGAATGCTGTAGTGGGATTGTAGCCAAGAAGGAGACGAGATGCAGATGAGCTGTCAGCTATCTTGTCTTCTCGACGGGGAGGGTTTCCCAAGAAAAGAAGAAGAAGAAGAGAAGAACAAGGCGAGGCTATGATGCTCATGCATTTAATCAATTTTTTTTTCCCACCCAGAGGACCGACCCCTGCTCTCTCAGCCAAAACTCGACGCGCCTACCCCACTTTCGCGCCTTGTGCTAGGTAACCCTTACTTGGAGCTATCGATAGTGATATCGATAAGGTGGGCGAGCTTATCGATAACAAACGAGAACAAACCCGTCTTTGTCAGCAACTGGGACCGGCTTCGCGATGGTTGCCGACGACGCCGACGATGCCGGGAATGCCAAACCAGGCCAAGGCAGGCATCAACCAGAGTGACGGGAAGGAGAAACGGGCACACACCCCGGCACCCCTGTGTGCTGGTCCCTGCAGCTGCACTCACTATACCCGTATGCCCTGTTGGCCCGTTCGGAGACCTGCTCGTTCATGAAACCAGGCATTCTGGCATCGGGGAGGCAAGAAAGGGCCAGTCAGTGAGGGTGTGGGCGAGAAGCTAGGGAAGGGGCCGAGGAGCTGAGGGCCTTGCCCATTCAATACACAGTACGGAGTGTGTACTATGTAGCAGCCTGCAGCAGTGCCCGTGGGCACTGGGCAGTGGGTCTGTGTTTCCCTGCCCGACTCCCAGCCACCTCCAATCGACCAACAGCAGCCATGCCTCCGCTCTCTTCCATGTCGGTGGGCCCAATCCTCGTTGTCGATGGCTCGAGGTCTTGACTTCCTTTTCATGTCTCAATACTATACTCCGTACAGGCTGCTGGTCTCAATCTCAAGCTGATCCAAACTGCGTCAGCCCACCTGTGTGACGTCTTTCTTTTTCTTTTGGGGGGTTGTGTGTGTGTGTGCTACATAGTAGCTGCCATCCCGGCAGTCGCCTTCCCGCTGCCGCAGCAACCATCTCGCGTCAAGAGTGTAAATAAGGCTAACGAACCGCCCCGCCCCTGCTTTTTCTCTCTCCATACGGTACCATCCTCTTGCTGTGACTCTGCCGACTGGACAGGGGTCATCCACCTCCATACTTGCCCGGGTACCGAAAGCTGGTGGCTGGTAGGGAGAGAGAGACTCTTTTCTGGCTCTGTCTCTGTCCACCTGGGCATGCTGTCACCGTCAGCCCATTCCCGTTCCATTGGCATCAGGTTCCTGTCGTCGCTGGGTCGGTCGTCCTGTCCTTCCACCCAAGATCGCTTTACACGACATCGTCTCTTTTCCTGCGCAGTGCGCGCCCTCATGTCTCATAATACGCGTCGCCGCCCTTGTCCGCTTTCGTGTTGATCGGTGCGGCTTCCTGCACTGTGCTGGCTACGCTGGCCTTGGTCCCAGGATTTCTTGTTTGCTTCGTCTCGACGCCCAGCTCGACGCTCGCAGCCCGTCCGACTCCACTCACCAATCCACTCTGTCGACCAACACCCAGGCCCTGGGGCAATTCCTTTGCAACAACAACAACAACAACAACAACATCAAAACCAGGGACGACAACTTCGCCTGCCAGCCTGTCTGCCGGCCTGCCTGCACGATCCCCAATCTCGCGCCAAAACAGCATCACCGATGTGGACTGAGGGTCTCTGATGTTTTCCTCCATCCCGGATTCCAACAGCCTCCAAAACCGAGCGACCTCGCGCTCGCTGTTGATAGCGCCCCTCCACCATGTCGTATCGACCCCATCCTCTGCGGCAAGCATATACAGCTGACAATCCAGTCGACCGCCACCCGTCCACGACATCATCGGCTTCTTCGGGCTACTCCTTCTCCTCCGGCCAGTTCGACTTGAGTCGCACTACCACCAAGTCGTCTTCAGCATCTAGTGGTTATGGATCCATGGGTCATAAGCGCGGCAAGAGCGAGGCCAACGGCCGGCTCTCCTCGCCCAAGAGCCCAGAATCCCGCCCACAGACCAGCACGGGCAACATGTATAGCGCCGCGAGGCAATCGCTAAGGCCCTTACCGCAGGCTCCTGTCTCAGCACCAACAACACCTCCTCGCGAACCCTACCGCCATGACCGGGGCCAATCCATCGATATCGGGAAACTCGCACATTTTGAGAAGGAGCCAACCTCCCCGATCCCACCATCCCGACCCCGGGCCTCCACCATCCGCCCCAACTCCATGGTCATGCCACGTTCCGATGGTGTTCTTTCAGGCAGCTCCGGTCTGCCTCTGCCGCAGGTGCCTCTCCACCAGACACATGCAGCGCAGCTCGCTAGACCCGATCTTGTGACCCTCGGCAGGTCTTCCACAAGTCAGCTGCGCACGTTGTCCAAGCTGGCCCAGTCCGGCGAGGCAGAGGAGTTCGCCATCACATCTCCCGCGCAACAGGTCGTCGGTCTGCGTGGCCGTCGCAGGCTCCAGAAAGAACCTGGTTCAAGCCCCGCCGGGCAACGGAGCAGTGCCTATGGCTGGGAGGGCAGGAATTGGATGGACAAGCAACGGCAGTTCTTGCAAGCCTATGAGTATCTCTGTCACATCGGAGAGGCTAAAGAATGGATCGAAGACATTATACACAGATCGATACCTCCAATTGTTGAGCTTGAAGAGGCATTGCGAGACGGTGTCACTCTCGCGGAAATAGTCGAGGCGCTCAACCCAGACAGGCGATTCAGGATATTTCGGCACCATCGGCTTCAATACAGGCACTCCGACAACATCGCCATCTTCTTTCGCTATCTGGACGAGGTTGCGTTACCGGACCTGTTCAGGTTCGAGCTGATCGATCTTTACGAAAAGAAAAACATACCAAAGGTCATATACTGTATCCACGCGCTAAGCTGGCTGCTCTTCCGCAAGGGAATAGTTGACTTCCGCATCGGTAACCTTGTCGGACAGCTCGAGTTCGAGCACCATGAATTGGAGGCTATGCAGAAAGGCCTGGATAAACTCGGTGTCAACATGCCCAGCTTCGGTACAATGGGTGCCGATTTTGGTGAACAGGCACCGCCCGAGCCCGTGGAGACCGAAGAGGAGAGGATCGACCGGGAGCTTTCGGAGCACGAGGACACCGTCCTTGATCTCCAAGCCCAGATTAGAGGCGCCATATGCAGGATGAGGTTGGGCAGTGTGATGCAACGCCTCTGGAATACGGAGGACTTGTTGGTCGATCTTCAGTCACGCATTCGCGGGGACTGGACCCGCCAAGTAATTGGGTACAGACTGCAGATGAGGCGCTTTGCCGTCAACCTCCAAAGCGCAGCCCGGGGTTTCCTCGTCCGTCGGCGGCAGATGCAAAAAGACAGTCTCTGGAAAAACATGGAGGGCGACATCCTTGAGTTGCAGAGCATGATACGGGCTGCCAAAGTCCGTAGCGAGGTACGAGACGTGCGCTCTCAGCTGGCTCGAGTGTCTGGGCCTGTTCGCGATGTTCAGGCGGCGTTTTTAGGATTCCTAGCCCGCCAGAACGTCGTTCGCCAGAAGCAGGAGACGGCTCGCATGGCTGGCCCTATCGTTAGGTTCCAGGCTGCCCTCCGAGGAGCGCTTCTGAGGAACAGGTTGGACGACGACCAGGAACTACTTGCAAGACAGGCTCAGGCCATCACCGGCCTCCAAGCTGCTGCACGCGCAATGCTGACCAGAAACCAGGCCGCTGTGCAAAGGAAGACTCTTGACCACTACACCCCTGAGTGGGAGTCTCTCCAGGCTGCTTGTCGCGGAAGAAAGGCAAGAATGGCCGTCCAAGCCACGAAATCCGAACTAAGCCAGCACTCATCAACAATAGAGGCCCTGCAGGCCTGCATCCGTGCAGGCGCCGTTCGCCGTGATGTTACACGTCTCCTCGACGGCCTGAGCGATCATGAGCTTGAGATAATCGACCTACAGTCCGCAATGCGGGGCATGCTACGACGACAGCAACTTGACAACGATCGCCAAGCATTGGCAGAGCAAACGCCCTTTATCACCTATTTTCAAGCGTGCATACGTGGTGACCTGTCTCGCGCGAAACACCTGGCCTTGCTCGAGGAGCTCGAATCTCATGAGGATGGTGTGGTCGGCCTGCAGTCACTTATTAGGGCTGCGATGCTTAGAGAGAATATCGGTTTCCTGATCAGCGCGCTTGAAGAGGAAGAAGAGTCTATAGTTGCCGTCCAAGCCGCCGCAAAAGCTTTCATCGTTCGAGCGAGGTTCGAAGAGAAGAAGCGATTTTTCCACGAGAACATGCAGAAAGTCGTCAAGATCCAAAGTTTCGTCAGAGGAAAGCTTCAAGGTGAAGCGTATAAGAGTCTCACGACTGGCAAGAACCCACCTGTTGGGGCAGTCAAGAACTTTGTTCATCTTCTCAATGACAGCGACTTTGACTTCCACGAGGAGGTGGAGTTTGAGCGCATGAGGAAGACCGTCGTTCAGCAGGTCAGGCAGAATGAAATGCTGGAGCAGTACATCGACCAGCTTGATATTAAGATCGCGCTACTCGTCAAGAACAAGATCACATTGGACGAGGTTGTGCGACATCAACACAACTACGGTGGGCACGCGGGCACGCTACTCGCCAACAGTTCCATGATCACGGCGAACCAGTTCGACCTCAAAGCCCTCAACAAGAGCTCCCGAAAGAAACTCGACTTGTACCAGCAGCTCTTCTTCAACCTACAGACACAGCCTCAATATCTGGCACGCCTCTTCAAGCGTGTCCGCGAGCAGGGCACCGCGGAGAAGGAATGCAAGCGTATCGAGATTCTGATGATGGGCCTATTCGGATACGCTCAGAAGCGACGCGAGGAGTACTACCTGCTCAAGCTTGTGGCGCGCTCGATCAAGGAGGAGATTGAGGCATGCAACGCCGTCCAAGAATACCTGCGCGGCAACTTCTTTTGGACAAAACTTCTCAGCAACTACACAAGGTCCCCACGCGACAGGAAATACCTACGAGACCTCCTCGGCCCCTTGATCCGAGACAACATCATTGAAGACCCAGCGCTGGATCTGGAGAGCGACCCGATGCAGATCTACCGTTCTGCTATCAACAACGAAGAACTTCGGACTGGCCAGCCCAGCAGGAGGCCGCTGGACATCCCCCGGGAACTGGCTATAAAAGATCCGGAGACCCGAGGGGTATTCATCGACCACCTCCGTGACCTCCGCGAAATCTGCGATCAATTCTTACTGGCCCTGGAAGACCTCCTTCCTCGACTTCCCTATGGGATGCGATATTTGTGCCAACAAATGTTCCAGTTCCTCTGCCAACACTTCAAGCGGGAGCCGCAGCAACAGCTACTTCAGATGGTTGCCCACTGGTTTTGGCGGTTCTACCTCCACAACGCGCTGACATCGCCGGAGAACGTCGGAGTCATTGAGAAGCAGCTCAGCCCTCTACAGAAGCGCAACTTGAGTGAGGTCGCAAAGGTGCTCGGGCAGGTTGCTTCCGGCCGACACTTTGGTGGTGAAAACGTCTACTTACAACCCCTCAACGCTTTCATCGGAGAGTCCATCGAGCGTCTGGCTCACATCATGAGGGAATTGATCTCAGTTCCCGACGCTGAGAGCACGTTCGACATTGATGAATTCAACGACTTGTACGCGAAAAACCGGCCAACGCTGTACATCAAGATGAGCGATATTTTTGCCATTCACAATCTGGTGGCTAGCGAGCTTCCCTTCATTTGCCCCAACCGTGACGATGTGCTCCGTGAGATCATGCAAGATCTTGGTAGCGCCAAGAACAATGAGAACGAGATGACAGCTACGGGCTCATCCGATATCCAAATGTTCCTCACGCCAAAGCTTCACGATGTGGATGACCCAGAGGCCGAGGTCAAGGCTTTGTTTATGGAGACGAAGCGGTGCGTCTTGTACATCATACGCGTTCAAAGCGGCGCGCACCTTCTCGAAATCCTGGTCAAGCCAATTACGCCCGAGGATGAGCGCAAGTGGGAGATGGTGCTACACGAGGACTTCGCTGGGAATGACAACACCAGAGGCGCCTACTCGGATGCCAACATGGTCGATGTCACGAGGATGTCTTACCATGAGCTCAAGCGGACAGCCCTGCAAAACGTCATGGCGCTCGAGCACATGGGCCGGATTTCAAAACATAATCATTACCAAGATGTGCTCAATGCCATCGCTCTCGATATTCGCACAAAAAGCAGAAGGAGGATTCAACGACAGCGCGAAGTAGAAGGCGTGCGTCTCACGCTGGGCAATCTGCACGAGAAGGCCAAGTACCTCGAGCAGCAGCGCAAGAGCTACGACGACTACATCGAGCAGGCCATGTCAACATTGCAGAAGAACAAAGGGTAAGTCGGGAACTCTCCGTGCGGCATGTCTGCATTGCAAGTGGCGCGTGCTAATTCCTGCTACAGAAAGAAAAAGTTCCTCCTCCCCTTCACCCGCCAATACAACCACCAGCGAGAGCTTGAACGAAGCGGCCGCGTACCCAAGTTTGGATCGTACAAATACAGCGCGCGGCAGCTCATGGACAAGGGCGTGCTAGTTCAGTGGACCGGCACAGCGGACCGTGACTGGGACAAGATCAACCTCACCATCTCTTGCGACCAGGTCGGAGTGTTTGCAATCGAGGGCTCGAGGGGCCACATTCAAATCCCCGGTGCTAGTGCATTGGTGCCCATTGAGGACTTGCTGCAGGCGCAGTTTGAGAGCCACCAGTTTATGACGCTTTTTGAGGGAAACCTGAAGCTGAACGTCAATTTGCTGCTGCACTTGGTGTACAAAAAATTCTATAAAACTCAATAATGAGTAATGAGTCAGAGGCCGTTATGAGAAGGTGCAGGCAGAAGCGAAGAGTGCGGGACGAAGTATGATGATGGATGACCTGGATGAGGACGACGACCACCGCTGGTCACAAGACATGACACAGGAGACGAATCGTACGGGACGCAGTACTGAGATTTGGTTGAATGGACGGATGGACGGATGGATGGATTGACTCATGGATACCTATTTTACTCCCACCCACAGGCAGAATTGGTGTTATAGGCGTGTTCTGCATCTGCTTTCAAATGGAATTGATTACTGGAACATACGGAACCAGCCACAGAGAATGCGAGGGGGTGCGTGCAGGTTGAGACAGTCCCATGGCCGCAGCCTGACCGCTACGTCTTTATGCATTGTGCAAGAGGCCGCCGAACTCGCCTCTCATCTTTTGAACCACTGCTTCTCGGCCGATCTTAATATCAAATAAGCGACAGCGCTGAATCCGAAAGCCAGCTCAAACCCGACATCGCCCCCATATTCACCACCGCACAGCCTTCCTATGGGCCCCACGTACCATGACTGAGCCATTCCCAGAACCGCACCCATGACACCAAACAAGAAAGCGCACAGCGCTGAGTAGCCAGGAGGCAGCTTCTCGGGCGTGGCATAGTCGTCTACGACGTAGCCGCTGGTCCTGCGGAAAACAAAGTGCTCGGTCAGGGCAATGCCCTCGTAGATGGCCAGCCAGTAGCCGATCAGGAGCATGAAGTTCTCAAGCACCTCCTCGAAGCTGTTGTAGCCGGGGATAGAGATGGCAACATAGACGGCTGTGGCCAATGCCGGCCACACGAAGCGGGGGATGCGCTGTGTCTGCCTGGCCAGCACCTGGAGGGACAGAGACACGCTGTAGATGTTGGGGCAGTTGTTGGCGACGATGCTCAGCGCCAAAACGGCCAGGCAGAACCTGCCGAAGCCGCCGAGTCGCGGCACCAAGACAATGGCCAGGACCCCACCAATCTGGTTGGTGTCATACGCCTCGGCGTAGTCCTGGTCAACGGCATAGGCCGTCATGACGGCGGCGCCCAGGAGCTCTGTGAAGATCAAGGGGAAGAGCAGGCCCCCGAAGGTCCACAAGAAGATGGTCCGCCGGGGGCGGGTCTCGGGCTGGTAGGTCGAGTAGTCGGCCGCCATTGAGGTCCATCCAGTGGCAAAGCCGAAGACGCTCGCGGCGAAGCTCAGCACGGAGCCTGCCTCGGCCTTGCCGGACATGAGTGGACCGACGGCAAACTTGCCCGAGGCCCCAAACTCCCCGGCGACGATGCAGAAGATGACAAGGACTGGGATCCAAGACCATCGCTCGTAGGCGTGTACCAGGCGGTAGCCGAAGGTGGTGATGAGAAGTGTGGACAGGGCTATGATCAGCACACCTGCCCACCCGGGGAGGGCGTGAGCCCCCGGGTTGATTGCGCTGAGCAGCTGAGCCCCTACTATCGAATTCACCGCAGACCAGCCTAATAATGAATCTGGTCAGTCACGTTTCGCCCCTTCGCAGTCCAGTCCAACATACCTAAGCATGCAAGGATGTTAAATATTGCAACTGTGGGAATCAGGCTCGTCAGTCAGTCAGTAGTTCATGTTTGATTTTAGAAGAGGCCAGGAGTTGCCAAAGGGCGGGATTACACCTGTGCTTGTGGAAAGGATGTGTGTGTGTGGCACGACTCACTGATTTTAATGCCATAATAGCCGAAAAAGAAGCGAGAAACCACCATCTGCCGCAGGCCGAAGCGAGGGCCAAAGGTTGAGAAGAAGCTGACCGGGAGGGTGCCCAAGATGTTGATGCAGATGACCGTCAAAGCCGCATCAACGAAGCCGAGGCCAAAGACAGGTTGCGCCAGGGCTCCTAATGCAAAAGTTGAGACAGTCATGTTTGCCGACATCCACTAGTATCAGGTCAGAGGGATACAATTGACCTCGCTTGCTGGCCGAGAGGTTCCTTACCAAAGTGCCAATCATGCTCACTCCAGTGTCGGTTCTTTCATGCGGGAGTACCCGCTCGATACCCCGTTCCTCAACGCCAAACCTGCCAGCAAAGCGCCGGACCCTCGCGAAGAAACCCTTTTGCTCATCATAGACCAGTGTTTCTCCGGAGCCAGAGTGTGTCACCTCCTCGATGGAGAGGTTCTTTTCTTCCATACTGCTCTCTCCCCCTCCTCCTGTTTCTATGTCTCTGACAGCCATCACGCCCTTCTTTCTGGTTTGCTCTCTCCTTTCTCCTGTGTCGTTATTTCAAGGAGAGAATAGTGTGGATGGCAACAAAACACTGAAAAGTCTCGATGGAGGTGGAAAGCACAGGTGCCAAGGCTGGCTTGGCAGCACACTCGAGTAATATCACACGGGCAAAGTCTAGGGCAAGATAACACGCGGGTACATATCTGTACTTGGGTACGATAGCGGGCGGCAATGAAGTGGGACTGGCTGATGCACACCCAGCAACAAGTGCGCTCGTTGATTACAGTCATCAGTATGAGAAAAGATGGCCGGGATGTTTTATATCCCGGTATCGAGGATCCCACACAAACCTTGAAGTCAGGGAGCAGCCAAGTCATTCGTAGCCACCCTCGGCATGCCAACACTGGTGGCGCCCAACCCAAAGCTTGAGTCGTGGAAGCAAGCCCATGGAGCTGCCATGGATACCATCGGTAATCTGCTGACACGCTCACTGATCGAAAAGTACGAATATGCACATCTCGCTGCCCCTTGCAGCAGACAGGCATCTAGACCAGCCAGGGGCACAGCTAGGGCTGACATTGGCAGGGCTGACATTGGCAGGGGATGGATTGTGAGCTGTTGCTGTCCTCGCCGTCTGCAAGGGGCACATGCATCAATGATTGATTGAAACCTGAGAGGCAATCTGGGTAACTAAAGGAAAGTCAAACTTGGGACAACAACGTACAGTTTGGTCTATGCTTTCCACAACTCGTCTTGTTCCTTGAGATGCTGGTCTTTGACACGAGCTCGTGCCCTGCTCCAGGCCCATAGCGGACGTCTGGGCTGTCCCCACTTGAAAGCCAAGCACTGCATCGCTTCTTTGACAGCACGATACTAGTGGACGGTGCTAGGCCAAGTGTCCGGTTGTGTGATTGGTCCCTCAAGTGGTGCATAGGCGAATACTTGTGGATGGGGGAAAAGCCACACCAGTGAAACATGCAAGCAACAACGTTACCTGGTTTCGCTTCTATTTCACATACGTCCGAGGACATACATGACGCCTTCATATAGTAGTAAGCACTCAAGACCTAGCGTTTAAAAACATCTAGTAATAACAATAGTATTTAAAATACGATAGGTGCATGTGGTCTTAGCTTTGTGACGCACAGACAAGGCTTGGGGTACCGTCTTGACAGTAGAGAACTAGGTATATAAAGGGGTCTCAATAGAAAGTAGTGATAACTAGTAGTGTACCTATAGAGCCAGTAGCTTTTTCTCCAGACATGCCGTCACACCATCTATCCTCTTGTCGGTCCATTGGATTTTCAAGGAGGCAAGCGCCTCGGCACGGGATTACAGTCACTATCACAAGGTTGCAGACAGAGCTGTATCCAGTCCATTTGATGTCTCGTTCGCAAAGTCTGTGGACGACAATGGCCTGCCGGGCTGGCATGACATGCCTGAACATATTTTTCTTGTGCTCCATCCAGTACGCGGCCATTGAATTCGGCCTCTAAGTAGGCTCCAGTGTTCGTGCAGAACAGTTCAGGAACGAAATGTCCAAGCCGAGGCATACAATCCTCAATGGGCGGATGCCTGAGACAGCAGCAAGGTCGTGGCACAATGAGATCGCCTCTGAATATCACGCCATTGCTCGCTGGGTCAACCGGCTATTCGCCAATCGCATACAAGTGGAGAGCAACACCAGATCCGTTATCCCAAATTCAGGCCGCATCACTCTAATGCTCGGAGTGAAGTCGCAGTTTTTCAAACAAACAGTGAAATATGCGGACACTGCCTCCCAAAGATTGCAGGTAACCGTTGCATGCTTGCAGGTCCAAATTGCTGCTCTGATGATATTGATTGACTTTGTGTTTAGTCCACGTGAGGCTGGGCCCAGGTGCCACGATGCCGAATTGGCCGGACCCAGAAACGGCAACGTGCTTGCCAATGTGGGTGGCTGCAAGCAGTAGGGCAATGGAACTGGCTTCCTTTCGTCTGGCTAGTCATACAAAATGACTGAGAAGAGTGTAAATATTTCAAACATGCAGGGGCGCTTCTCCGGCCGGTGTAACAGTTGTTAGGTAATGGCAGGTGCAGAAATTGGTCTCTTGGTCAGCAAACTTGAACCCAAACAAATCCTGGAGACGAGTCGTGGGATCAAGTGGCTAGGACCGACCTCTCACCCATTTCATGGCAAACTTGGCACGAGCATCGTGGACCCAGGGCAGGGACAACCGCCAGTGAACGTGCCAATCTTTCTGTCTCCTCGAATAATGGTCGCACCACTCGGAGATTGCCGCGATTGGAGTTCTGGGGAGATCTTGTCCAGTAAATACCTAGGACAAGATAGCCACCACATGCTGTGCGATCGATGACAATGTTTGTACCGCACGAGATGCGTTTCCGGTGTATGCAGTGCATAGTGAATTCCTGATACGAGCGCCTTGGTTCAATGTTGTCCCACGCAGCTAGGTTGGTCTGGTGCCACGGCATTGAACCGCCGATACTTAGTATGATGACACGGGTTTCTGAGTTACTAGTTTGTTCTGGAATTATCTGGCTGGTACCGTATTGTTCCAGCATTCTTGCCCCCCCCCCCATTACCAGAGCAAGACGCCTTTTCAGAGCCTAGACATGTTCTTTTGGGGGATACCACATCATCTTTGGCCAGATCGATCCAAGGTGCGGAGTGGTAACGTCATCCTCTCTGGTCTTCATTTCGCATGTTCGCACATGTGACGTGCTTAACCCTGGGTTCACGGTTCCAAGAAAGACCATGTCGGGGAGTCTAGGCGTTCATGGTTGGAAAGAGCAGACGTTCCGGGCCTACAGCCTCGGCCACATTATGTTTTTTCTTAGAACTAGATAACTACATTTCTACTTAGTGACTTATTTCTTCCTTTAGAGCTTTTCTATAAAGTCTTTAATAAATTTATATATATCCTAGTAGTGTTCTTAATGAAGATTTTCAAACTCCTTTTCCTTTCTTTTTATCATACATTTTCATACCTTTAAGAAGTATTTATTTTCAATTGTAATAGTATATTTTGAACCATTGAATACTTGTTGCTATCGACCCATACATGACAACGCCTCATCTGATCACCTGGGCAGTCAAGTTTCAGTTGCGCAATTGGGTCGATCCCGCCCGTGTGCATCATTTGGGCTCCGTTTGCTGCCCAGGTGCCCAGGTGGTGTTCATCCGGTCTGCCCGTTTCACCCCCGACGGCCCACTCCGTCTCGTCTCAATTCTTGCGATTAGCCCCACAGCCATCATAGGCCTCATCTAACGAGATTTTGATGATCAAACCTTAGATAATACCCCTGCAAGGCTGACGGGAATAAACTCCAGGCAAGCCGACAAATCCACTCTACCACCCAGCACCTAGCCCCACAAGGCCACAACCTCACTCCCCTTCAAGCTCTACTTTCTGCTGAGTCATTATATTGATCTGAAGGCATGCAGACCCTCCCTTGAGCTTCTAGGTCTCTATACAGTACACCAGGCAGCAATAGGTCTACGAATACACAATCATGATGACTAGCGGCTGACTCAAAAATAGGGCACTCATCACGAAGCTTGGCTTCTTGCTCAGTATCGGTACATATGTAATGTTTACCCCGTGATGCTATTGCCGATTCGGTCAAATGCTTTCTCTCTAGGTAACGACTTCATGCATTGCTGTCACAGCTTAGTGGAATGTAGATAGCATCCATCTCCGTTGTGCGTGCCTACTCAAACTTCAAGCTGCCCAGGTGCCCCTGTGTGCTCAGATCCATAGTCATTGTATGCACGCGGACTCATCTGCTATGTACATTTTGCGTTCAAGCCCAGAACTGATGCTCGGATGAGCGCTGGAGGCTGTGTATCTCCTCCATTTCCAAAATGGCTTTTAATTGATGAGAAGCGATCAACATCTGAACACCCTCTCACCCTCTCACCCTCTCACCCTCTCACCCTCTCACCCTCTCACCCTCTCACCCTCTCACCCTCTCACCCTCTCACCCTCTCCCAGGCCGACCCAACATCAGAGCTGAGGCTGTGACCAAATCTCTCCTCCAAGAAACAACCTCCTGTCTTCCAGATCCTGTCAATTATATGCTTTCGGAAGTGATTTGGACGACCTTGGAGGGAGCCGCAACATACCCTCAAACTGCTCATTTATAGCTTCACACAGCAGGTGTCGTCACCGCCCTCGTGGTCGAGGCACTGGTAGCCATCATTTTCCAGCGAGGCGCAGGCGTTGGCGCAGGTGAAAGCGCCGTCGTAGCAGCCATCGATGACCTGGGCCGTGGCACGGGTGTCCAACTTGAAGACGGCGGGCTGCGCGGGAACCGCGGCGGCGTTGGCTGTGGCCAGCGCGGCAATGAGGAAGAAGACAGACTTGGAAAACATCTTGTCGGTCTGGGTTGCAATTCAATACAATTGGAAAGGACAGGTCTGATTTGTGGATTTGAAACGAGTGTTGGCCCGGAGGAGTAATGATTGTGAGTTGATGATGTTTGAGAATCTGCAAGTGTAGCACCTCAGCAGAGAATGACCTTCCTTTATATATGAAAATTCCGATGTGTTGCTGAGCCTTCTAAATGCCATTCTCCATCCCCTTGAGATGTGGCTTCCTCCATAACCATTACAGCACCTAGGTACCATGTGGGGAAACGATGAGTCGACACCCTGTTTGCCCTTGAAGTTTCTCAAAGTTCAGTGGAGCATCTTTTCTCGTTGAGTCATTGAAGTCGGTTTGCACACGACAAATCAACACATACAGTGAGTAAGTGATTTTGTCCTTAATCCGTATACATCCCGAAGGCATACGGTTCCTTCACCTGGTAATACCGTGAGTGAACCTTTGTCTCCGCACCGGAGAGGCACCTGGGTTTGTGAAGTGGACTTTCCATCAATAAAACCAGATCCTATACCCCCTAAGAAGCACACGAACCTTGAGAATGGGCTGCACTGTCTTTATTGTATTTGCCTAACCTAGCATCAAACTAGGGACACAATAAGATTGGATTGCCTGACTGTAAGTGTCAGACTGGATAGTGCCAGTGTATCATGCATAGGAGCAATCTGCCCAGATACCTAGGTACCTCTAACAGCACACATTATAGCGGAACATAGGTTAGTAGGTCGTCAAGACGGTGCCCCTTAGCCTTGTCTGTGCGTTGTAAGGCTGAGGCTACAAGTACCTATTGTATTATAACTATTGTTATTGGTATTGTTGGTATGGGTTATTATGTATGTATATGTAAAGAGTGGTTAGTTGAGTTGGATTGTAT